AATTCCTCTAACCAAATAGAGTTATTGGAATTAATCATTGTCATATACTCATATAATATTTATAGTAAAAATATATAGTATTTATTCATGCAATATATCATCATTATTGAGGATATTCTGTTTTATTATACTTTCGTACTTTCATTATTGCTGATATTCTGTTTTATTATATTTCCATTGTTACTTTGTCCTGAGGCCTTTATATAGGTGTATTAATATTAGTATGAAAGCAATCAAACAAACATTTAGCCTTCAGCCTTCTACGAATTCTATTATTATTACAAGAAATAAGGACAATTCCGATTGTAGAAATTGGCGGGATTTTGCTATTGATTTTAAACCATGATTCACTAGCTCCATGCTATGATATATTTTGGTAGCTGGTCCGTCAAAAACATGTAAATATATAAACGTAAGGAGAACTATATTTGTCATTTCGCTCTTCGTTCTTCCACAAAATTCTTTCCTAGCTTTTGGAGAAATTATTTTGTGCAGATACGGACGGTCCGGAGGTCAACCAGAATGCGTCACATCACCTGGTATTGAGCCGTTCCGTGTAAGGAATCGAGCAAAAGAGTGACGTGGTGCATTCTGGTTGTCCTCCGGATGGCATTCGGCATCTTACACAGAATAATTAATCCAACTTTTGTCGCTTCGCGGCCTGCTCCATCCCCTACGTCGTCAAACCTTTATTTCAACTTGATTTGCTATTGATTTTAAACCATGATTCACTAGCTCCATGCTATGGAATATTTTGGTAGCTGGTCCGTCAAAAAACATGTAAATATATAAACGTAAGGAGAACTATATTTGTCATTTCGCTCTTTGTTCTTCCACAAAATTCTTTCCTAGCTTTTGGAAAAATTATTTTGCGCAGATACGGACGGTCCGGAGGTCAACCAGAATGCGTCACATCACCTGGTATTGAGCCGTTCCGTGTAAGGAATCGAGCAAAAGAGTGACGTGGTGCATTCTGGTTGTCCTCCGGATGGCGTTCGACATCTACACAGAATAATTAATCCAACTTTTGTCGCTTCGCGGCCTGCTCCATCCCCTACGTCGTCAAACCTTTATTTCGACTTGATTTGCTATTGATTTTAAACCATGATTCACTAGCTCCATGCTATGGTATATTTAGGTATTTGGTCCGTCAAAAAACATGTAAATATATAAACGTAAGGAGAACTATATTTGTCATTTCGCTCTTCGTTCTTCCACAAAATTCTTTCCTAGCTTTTGGAGAAATTATTTTGTGCAGATACGGACGGTTCGGAGGTCAACCAGAATGCGTCACATCACCTGGTATTGAGCCGTTCCGTGTAAGGAATCGAGCAAAAGAGTGACGTGGTGCATTCTGGTTGTCTTCTGGATGGCGTTCTGCATCTACACAGAATAATTAATCCAACTTTTGTCGCTTCGCGGACTGCTCCATCCCCTACGTCGTCATACCTTTATTTCGACTTGATTTGCTATTGATTTTAAACCATGATTCACTAGCTCCATGCTATGGTATATTTTGGTAGCTAGTCCGTCAAAAAACATGTAAATATATAAACGTAAGGAGAACTATATTTGTCATTTCGCTCTTCATTCTTCCACAACATTTTTTCCTAGCTTTTGGAGAAATTATTCTGTGCAGATAAGAACGGTTCGGAGGTCAACAAGAATACTTCACATCACCTGGTACTGAGTGGTACCGTGTAAGGAACCGAGCAAAAGATTGATGTTGTGCATTCTGGTTGTCCTCCGGATGGCGTTCGACATCTGCACAGAATAATTAATCAAGCTTTTGTCGCTTTCGCGGCCTGCTCCATCCCCTACATCGTCAAACCTTTATTTCAACTTTATTTGCTATTGATTTTAAACCATGATTCACTAGCTCCATGCTATGGTATATTTTGGTAGCCGGTCCGTCAAAAAACATGTGAATATATAAACATAAGGAGAACTATATTTGTCATTTCGCTCTTCCACAACATTCTTTCCTAGCTTTTGGAGAAATTATTATGTGCAGATACGAACGGTTCAGAGGTCAACCAGAATGCATCACATCACCTGGTACTGAGCGATACCGTGTAAGGTATCGAGCAAAAGAGTGACGTGGTGCATTCTGGTTGTCCTCCGGATGGCGTTCGACATCTGCACGTAATAATTAATCAAGCTTTTATCGCTTTCGCGGCCTTCTCCATCCCCTACGTCGTCAAACCTTTATTTTGACTTGATTTGCTAATGATTTTAAACCATGATTCACTAGCTCCATGCTATGGCATGTTTTGGTAGTCGGTCCATAAAAATACATGTAAATATATAAACGTAAGGAGAACTATATTTGTCATTTCGCTCTTCCACAAAATTCTTTCCTAGCTTTTGGAGAAATTATTATGTGTAGATATGAACGGTCCGGAGGTCAACCAGAATGCATCACATCACCTGGTACTGAGCGGTACCGTGTAAGGAACCGAGCAAAAGAGTGACGTTGTGCATTCTGGTTGTCCTCCGGATGGCGTTCGGCATCTGCACAGAATAATTAATCAAGCTTTTGTCGCTTTCGCAGCTTGCTCCATCCCCTACGTCGTCATACCTTTATTTCAACTTGATTTGCTATTGATTTTAAACCATGATTCACTAGCTCCATGCTATGTTATATTTTGGTAGCCAGACCATCAATATATATATATATATATATATATAAACGTGAGAAAAATATTTGTCATTTCGCTCTTCGTTCTTCCACAAAATTCTTTCCTAGCTTTTGGAGAAATTATTCTGTGCAGATACGAACGGTCCGGGGGGCAACCAGAATGCATCACATCATCTGGTACTGAGCGGTACCGTGTAAGGAACCGAGCAAAAAAGTGACATGGTGCATTCTGGTTGTCCTCCGGATGGCGTTAGGCATCTGCACAGAATAATTAATCCATCTTTTATTTTTCGCAGCCTGCTCCATCCCCTACGCCATTAAACCTTTATTTTGACTTGATTTGCTTTCTTCATAGATAAAAAAGGTACATCACTCTATCTTTCCCCTACAAACTTTATTTTTAAACTTCATCAATTGTATTTTTTTTTTTTAGTTTCAGGAAATAACTTTGGGGTTCAAATATTTTTTTTGTTAAAAGAGAAGCATAATACTAAGTTAAGTGTTGCAGAGATGAGGATGCTTAGGTGGATGACTGGCTTGACCCTTAGAGATAGGATATGAAATGAGCATATACGTGAAAAAGTTGGAGTAGCTCAAGTGGAAGATAATATTAGAGTGAGTCGCCTTAGATGGTTTGGTCATATTAAACAGAGACCTTACGATGACCCGGTTAGGAAAGTTGAGGTATTAGATTTGGCTTATGTTAAAAAAGGTAGAGGTAGACCTAAAAAGACTTGGTTAGAAAATATTAGAAATGATCTTTCTTTATAGATTTAGATGATAATTTGACTTTTAACCGTACACAATGGCGAAAAAGGATTCATGTAGCCGACCCCACGTAGTGGGGCAAAGGCTTGATGACACGAAAAAATTTTATAGTTTATTTAAAAAAAAATTTAAAGCTATCCATGATAGTCTCAAGCCTCTATGAAGAGAAATTATTATGTGCGAAGGTCAGATGCATAACATCATCTAAAGACCAATCAGAATGCACCACGTCAGCGGTACCGAGCGAAGAGGTGACGTGACACATTCTGGTTGGTCTCTAAACGGCGTTCGGCGTCCGCACAAAATAATTAATCCAAGTATTAATTAAGTATCTGTACAATGACAGTATATGCTCAAATTGTCACAACACAATAGTGTGACAAAAACCTGCAGGTTGAATGTGGATCATCAGTGTTTAGAGCCCGCAGAATAAAGCAAAAAAGATGAGAATTCCATTTTCATAAAAACCTGTGTCTAAAATGCTAATAAATTTGAACATGCAAGAAGAGAACAATCGAATATAGTAGAAATACTTAAGGTATCAAACCAAATAGCCCCAAAGATAAATTGAAACATGAAAAATTGAAGAGCCAAACAATCACGAGATTCAAAGAATGAAACCTCCTCGCCCATTATAGAAAAAAAAAAATACAAGCATCCAGAAAATTTTATATAGCGCCTTACAACATTCTTAAATAAGCTAGCCAAAGAAGATTGCAACATAAAATGTTATTTAAGATTTTACAACCCATTTAAAAATATTCATAGTTATGCCAAAACAAATCTCAATAAATCATAAATTTTCCTATGAAATTCCATATCTCAAGATGTTCAAACTCTTTCCCCCCTAGGACCAACGAACGTAAATAAAAACTTGAAAATTAAAATAAAAAAATATATAAGAATATTTCAATTGAAGTAAAAAAGTTGAATGATTGATTTTGATTCAAAATAAAAAGACATATCATAAATGCAAATCTTAAAATTAAGAACATCCCACTTGTCTCTTGCATGTGATTTATCAAATACATTTTTTTTTTGTTTAGCTCCACGTTCGTGCTCTACTCTACTATGTTTCTCCATAGTCGTCCCCTTTTCAAATCTCTTGCCTAGATCTTCTCTCTAGCACGTTCTTGGGCTGTGATCTCTATGGAAAATCTCTCTTGTGACTTAGGAGAGTTTCTCTAAATCTTATCTTTGGTTTTCGCTTCTTTTTGTTGGCCTTCGATCAAGTCGAATTTGAACTTGATTTCATTAAATTGCCTCGATCAAATTATACCATGTTTCAAATTGACTCATATGAAGTCGAATTTGACTCGACTTCATTCGATCAACCCCGATTAACGTATATCAGCCATGTTGAACCTCTTGTGACTCAAATTAGTGTTGATTTTGTGTTCAATTTTGTCTAATTAAATTAAACCCAAATAAATTTAAACTGAGTCAAATTGAGCTTGGTTAGAACTCAAATCCAAACCAAATCAATTCAATTGGTTCAATGATCAGTCCAATTTACTTTCTAAATGAATCTGAATGTATTTCTAAATCCAAACATTGCATCCACAGTTCTGTTTGCCTTTGACTGTCTCGAGGCCTTCGCGCGTGATGTGCCCAGAAGGTACGGCGACGTGATATCACCGGGCAGAACAAACGAGGCCTCCGGTGTCCTCTTGTAGCCGCGGCGTTCTCGTTCAGCTCGCCCCAGAGCAAAAAGCCGAGCTCCTCTCTCCTCCTCTCGGTCTCTTCCCATTCGCACGCTACAGGAGCTCTCCCCTCCCTCATTCGCACAACTCCAGTGAGTCGGACGCCTTCTTCCTCTCGTTTCTCTCCGTTCGCAGGTCCAGGAGGCGGAAAACCCCCTCCCTGTCCCGTCCGGCTTTTGTCTCTCTCACGCACGACCTAGAGGAGGCGACCTCCTCCTCTCGACGAGCAGCAGTCGCACGCCAGCCCGAGCCCTGCCCTAACCGTCGGCCCCTCTCCGTTTGCAAGGTGATTTTTTTCTTCCTCTTGAGAATATGTTTGTTCTTTTCCACAAACTGAAATCTGAAGTCAGCTTTAATCAAGTTATGTTTGATCTTTTCTACAACTGAAATCTGAAGTTAGCTTTAATCTTTCACTCGAGAATAGTGTAATGACTATTATCTTTTTTTTCTTTACGGTGAAATGAGGAAGTCATGTTCTGAAGTAATGTATGTTAGGATTGTAATTGATGAAGATTGTTATCAAGAACCAAACCTAAACGAGCCATCAACCCTTTGTTTATGTGAAAGTTTACATCAAAAGACGACATTAATTTAGATTGGTTGGATTGTGTTTTCTTCACAAATAGTGCACTTTGTAACTTAATTCTTTTAAAAAAAAAAAACATATAACTGTTGCTCTGTGCTTTGTTTTGCCTTATTGGGTACAAACCCCTTTGCCATTTTATCCATAAAATATGACGTTGATTAACGACTATATACTTTTGATGTTTTTTTTTATTGGATTGGAAGGTGTATTCATTTCTTGTGAATGAATTATGTGATGTCTTGTATGATAAATACAATTTTATTGCTTGATTTTGGAAAACAATTGAAAGAGGTGGTGATATCAAATTCCTAGCAATATAAATTTGTAGTTTAAACCTTTCATCTATGTTGCACCGATACACCTATTTATGAAGGTGTGTTGTGCCCGATACACCGATACACGGATATGCATCCAATACGCCACCGATACGTGTCAAATACGCCAAAGCCGTATCCAATTAAAATACTATTTAATTTCAAAAGGACACGCGTATCCGATACGCATGTCCGTTGAAAAACAAAAAGAAATCCGAAAAAAAAAAGATGCGTCGTATTTACTTCCGCGGGTGCAAGCAAGGTTCTCTCATTTCCAAGATGGATTTGAGTCTCGTGATGATATGGGAATATTAGACATTGCTAATCTTTCACTTGATGAGCCTGAATTAGAAGTTATGTTATTTATTTAAGATGATATAGAAGTTCAAAGACAACCCACTGAAGAAGCTAATCATATCATTCCTTCTATAGAATAGTTGAAACTTCATGTGCTAGACAATTTATGTTTATGATTTTGTTGTTGTACTAGACATTTAATGCTTACTTATATTTTGATATTATAAGCTACAAGGCTATAAATGATGTTGTTTTCTTTTTTTTTTTTTTGTAATTTCAAATATTATGATTTGATTGCTTTTCTAATTGTTATGTATGATTTATAAATTATAATGTCGTGTCCGCGCCGTACCCGTATCATGTATTTTTAAGAATTGACGTGTCTCGTATCCATATCGTATCGTATCCGTGTCGCTATATCCGTATCGGTGCAACATAGCCTTTCATTATGCATCAAGTCGACCCTTTGTTATTAATGATAGATGTGATACTGGTATTAGCATTTGGCAAAGGAGTTGTAGGGACATGTTTTGCTCCAAAGAATTATGATTATGGTAATATGATCGCATACCTAGTCTCTTAAATTTTAACTCTAAAGACATGTTTGATGTTGCATGATTTAAGGGTTTGTGACTATGTTAGATAACTCTATTGCTTTTATATTTCGATTTGGAGTATACATGTTTTCAATGAAAAGAGCATGATGTTTATGTTGAAGGGCTTCATGAGTTCTTGGAATGAAGCAAATTCACATTTGTTCCTTTTCTTTATAATACCTATAACATTTGCGTCAATTTTAAAGAGCAAGGGGGGTGGTGTTAGATAATACTCTCATAATTAGCCAAGTTCCGTAGTCCTTTTGCTTGTGGTTGCAAACTAAACTTAATAGAAAGTTTGCATATTGTGTAAGGAATTTCAAGATTTGTTATGCATATTTAAATTCTCAAATGTAAATAAAAAAAAAGGATAATAAATTAAGTGTTGCTTTTAAAGGAGTATTGTATGTTGAAATGCCTTGGAAGAGAAGGTGATTTGCATGAATTTTCCATGGGTAATTGCTTGTAGTTGTAGATTGAGCTTAAGTATAAAGCATGTGGTGGATGTAAAGCTCTATTTCTTATAACTATATGATGAATATTTTTATATGCTTGTAAATCTCAACACTATATATTTTTGTTATTATATCATGGGGAATTCGATAACTGTGATATATAATTTTGTTTATTTTTGTCTTTAAATTATGAGTTTGTATAGAATCAATGTAACAAAAAAAAGTCTTTTCTCTTTTGATGTGTTTTCTTCTAGTAGTTGGAAGCATGTTTGTTAGCCATATTTGTTATTTAATGAAGTCTTCTCCTACCATTCTTTGGGCATAAAATGCGTGCAACTTGTTTAAAAATCAAAATTAGAGAACTTTTTTTTAAACATGATTAAAAACCATAGCCCGTTATATATTTTTTTAGATCGTGTCTTTATGTATAGAATCTTAAAAAAAAATCTCTGACTTGGGTGACAACGTCCCATTCATAGCCTGTAATTCAAGATGTACTCTTATATGATTGACGATCAAGCTTACATATGAATATGTGTTTAAATTTCATTTCTTCATCAATTGATTTTAGAGAAGATTCATGTATTTATTGTCTTATCTCAATGTGTAGGTTCTATTCACATGCTCATGCTTTAAATTATGTGTAAATTCAATATTGATAAGCAACATGATTATGTTAGATATGTACTCACATGTAAACTCTAGCTATGACAATGTACTTAGTTCAAATATCTTGATTGGATCAAAAGTTATATGTTATGTTTCAATTGCAACACGTAACTTGTGAGAATAGTCTATGAATGAGTTAAGTATATTGTAATAATGTATATATGCGTATATTTGATGTTATACCAATACAAAGATTTGTAATCGTGCTAAATGATTTCCTTGGTTTTATGTTCTGTGCATATCTGTATGTCTGCTATGGTTTAATTTGCTATTTACTTTTTCATCCAAGCAGTTTTCCTTTATTTTTGTCTTCGCAACTTATTGTTTCTGATCATTTGTATTTATGGATAGAGCTGGGATATGGGAACACTGAATTATTTATGGCTGCTTACAAGGAAGTCTGTGACTGGTGCACTATTTGGCATCACTGTATCAGATAGGTATCTGACTGTTTCTCCTGTACGAGGTAACTCGATGCATCCTACATTTGCCTCAAGCTCCACCACATTCCCTGGGTATTTAAAAGGTACTACCTTTAGACCAAGTGGTTATAGTTGGAAGAAGAAAATTAAAGAGTTCTGTTCTCAAGGCTGATTATACATTTATATGGAAAAGCTTCTTGATCACAGGTGATCTTGTACTAATTGAAAGATTCTGCCTTCACGACTTTAAATTTTCCCATGGAGATGTTGTGATTTTCCAGTAAGTTGAATGACCATTTGCTGTTGCTTTTAGTTTATTAAGATGTATCCCGAGAAATTCTTGTGCGTTATTTTGTATTCATGCAATTGCATGTTTTTTATTTTTTTTACATATTGCAGGTCTCCAAGTAATCACAAGCAAATATATGTCAAACGTTTGATAGCTTTGCCTGGTGAATGGATTCGTGTTTCCTCTGATATGTTGAAAATCCCTGATGGGCATTGTTGGGTTGAGGGTGACAATTCATCTTCGAGTTTAGATTCAAGATATTTTGGCCCTGTAAGTTATCCTAGAACTGTTTACCTTTTTCATGTTGTTGTAAAATGCAAGCTAATTTTGGATGCAAGACAATTGAAATGGAATGCTAGTTATTGTGAAGTTTGGACACAAAGGATAAAGGATATGGTGATTCAAAAGTCTTGAGAAGTAGGATGTAGGGACCAAAAGTGTTGAAAGCGGATATTGCAAATATGATAATTAACTTCATCTATAGATGCATGCATATCTTAGTGTATGGAAAACTTATTTTACAATGTGGAAAAATCCATGCTCCATACTTTTTTTGCAAAAAAAAAAAAAGGTTGAAAAAAATAACAATAATTGAATTTGCTCTACGACATAAGAACATTTTTAGGGATCATATCTATCAAGTCTCATGATTATATGATAACATAACATCGTGAAGAATTTATTCATAATTAACAGTTTTATTTAGTTCATTTAAACTCTAAACATTATTAAATAGAAGTCTGAAAAGTCTCAGTAGATTCATTCATGCATCATGTATTCCTGAATTACTGACTCATTTTTTGCATTGCCTATTCAATAGTTAATTGTACATACCTGATTATAGCTTGTGTAATGGTGAAGGATTGGGAAAACAAATAGGTGGATCGAATATAAATTGGGTTGAAGTTAAGTAGAAAGTTTTAGATGGAAATAACTATTTATGTATTATTCAATAAAGAACATTTTATATATAATTTTGGAATCAATATAACAAACTAAAGGCTAAAGCATAATGAAAAAAACATGCTCCACTAAATATATTCAGAGAACCTCTTGAAATGGTATTTCCTATGTCAGGACTCTCTCACAAGTTTGAGCATAAACATTAACTAGCTTCAAGTTGTTACAATGCTTGAAAATTGAGCTAGACGCAAAGACTTGGTGAACCTATCTGCTAATTACTTTGAGCTAGAAACATGAAAAATAATATTCTTTCAAAGAACCACATTCCATATGAAGTAATAGTCAACCTCAATGTATTTTCTTCTTTCATGAAACATAATATTACTAGCAATATAGATGGTAACACAATTATCATATTTTAAGATCATGGGTTGTGCAATTGGATAATCAAATTCCCTAAGGAGGGTCATAATATACTTACTCTCCCAAATATAGTGTGTTATGATATTAGAAAGCTGCTTTAAGAAGCAGTAAAAAAGCCGTCCCAAATAAAGCCTTAGTTGTATGCATTCATGCATCAATATTGATCTTCTATTCTGTAAGCCTTTGCAAAACTCTTAAACTCTTTAAAAGGCCATGGTATCATTTTTTTTCTTGTGAAATGTTTAAAATTATATCATCGTTTTTTAAAATATATTTTCTGTTTACTAGCTTCCAAATGAGCCTCAACAATACTTTGCTGAATAGTGAGGTATATTTAAAAACCTGATCATTTGTTTATTGATATCCATGTCTTCTGCAGATCCCTTTGGGTCTAATTAGAGGGAGAGTGACCCATGTTATCTGGCCTCCCCAAAGAGTAGGCAAAGTAGAGAGAAAGATGAAGCCAGAGAGAATTTATCAGGACTGAAATGTTTCATGGAAGGTTCATACAACCTTTATTCATGAATAATTCTTATATTATCTGTATCTTTTTCTGTTGGGATTCATTTACCTGGTGCATTAACTGATACAACTGAGGATCTGGTGTTATTCTGTTATGTCATTCACCTAATACTTCATTGAAAATGTTAAAATCTCTGTTACTTTTTTGTTTTTAGATGCTCAAGTATTCTAACATTGAAGTCTTTGAATGATTCTTTTTTTTCTTTTAATTTGCATTATGCCAGTTCTATGGTCAAGTTTCCGCAGATGCTGCTTGATTCAGCATAGTTAATATTAGTGTGTTTTGTTTGCTTATATCTTCGGACTAAAAGAATTTGAATTGTTTAGTAGTTCAAATTTAAGTAGTCTTGATAATGCCTAAATTTTGATTACTAAAGAGGTGGTCAAAAAGGAAAAGATACAAGCTATGATGGAATGACTTATAATTTTAGATAGCACCACATTCTTTATATTCTTCTTTGATCAGATCTAAGTTTTGTTTGAGACATTTTTCTTATTGCTTCGTAAAAATACAAATTTTTATATTAAAAAATTATTTTAGAAAGCATAAAGAAAACTGTCACAAACGAAGACTTAGGCCTCGTTTGGGACGGCTTTTTTTATGCTTCTTAAAGCAGCTTCCTAGTACAAAAATTAAAATTTTTGTACTAAGAAGCTGCTTTAAGAAGCAATAGGAAAGTCGTCCCAAACGAAGCCTTAGGCTTCGTTTGGAGTAGTTTTATTAATGTTTCTTAAAATAGCTTTCTAGTATAAAAATTTAAAAGTTGTTTAGAGCTGTTTTGAGAAGCAGTAAAAATGCCGTCCCAAACGAGGCCTTAAACATGGCTTAATCCAAATTTGGTTTGAGTTAGACATAGCTCATTAGTCAGCTCATAAAATATATTCATCACAAATAATTTTTATTATATTCATCATAAAATCAATTCAAGTATTTAAATATTATTTTTTTTAATCTAAGAGGCTTTATGCAATCATGTCTAGGCATCAAACTGATCTATATGTTGAAATTATTTTTTTATTTGGAGAGAAAAAAATTGATTTAGCTTTTGATAAATCTCGAACCAATTTATAACTAAACTCGACTCAAATTAAGATCAAATTTAATAATTTTGAGTTATACCTTCAACAACAGCTGTGAACAGCAGAATCAACTAAACATCAATCTATTAAAATGAAAAAAAAAAAATTAAAGAAGATGCTTTTAAAATCTTTAAATTTATTTAGAGATGATTGTAATAAAAGGATTAATTACCCCACCGGGCTTAGGTGGGTTGGTGGGTGTGCTTGGTTGGGAACCCCCCATCTCAAGTTCGAATCCCTTCTTATACGGCACGACTCCTTAAGTGGACAGAAAAGAACCGTGGGTCCTGCACTTGTGGGGTTGGTTGCTGGTAGATTCGCCAAGGGATTAGTTTCGCCGCCAAGTGCTTCTTTCGGGAGGTGGCAGTAGGTAGATACCCTTGTTCCAAAAAAAAAAATTATTATTATTATATATTACATTGAAATTTAGAATTCCATTGAAAAATAGTAGCCATAAAATGTTATATATTACATTGAAATTTAGAATTCCATTGAAAAATAGTAGCCATAAATAAAATGTTAAATGTCAGAAGTGGGATTTGAACCCACGCCCTCATCCGAGGACCAGAACTTGAGTCTGGCGCCTTAGACCACTCGGCCATCCTGACATTTTGCAGATAATCATTTTCTTAAAATATTATTAAAGTAATTAAATAGTTTTAGAAAGTGGTTAAGCTTAAGCATATATTACGTAAATTAAGATAATTAAAAATTCATGGACTAACCCTTTTTTTTATTATTTATTTTGTTAAAGGAAAATAGTTATACGCCCATAGTTATAATTTTTTGTACTTTTATTTTGTTAATGCAAATGCATTTTTTAAAAAATAGAAATAAGAAACGTGGATTACTAAACTGGAAAAAAATTAAGAATATTTTTTATCAAATGCTTATGAATTAAATAGTAGAAAAAGTTGTAAAAAAAACTTGTCATAATAAGTTAAACATCTATTTTTTATTTTGTGAGAGATACAAAGTCAATATAAAGTTGATATATCTTCAAAAAATTCATCTAATAAAACATAAATTTTGACATTATATTCTGATTTAAGCTTTAGAAATAAAGTTTGAGATCATTTCAATATCAAATTTATATTCATATAGAATATTTCAATGAGAAGAGTCCACACCATAAAAAGTATTTTGGATCTGAGTTTAAATGCACTCAAATCAAACACTTGGAGTACTATCTAAGAGACCAAAAGTTCTACAAATTTATGTGCTTAATACCAAAATAGTTTAAACCATCTTCTATCAGCTATTAGCAAAGAAACCATCAAATTGATACTATAAATAAGACTGTTACAAAATTGTAAAAGGAAGTTGACAACTTGGGAAGGTGGTTAGATAAAAAAAACTTCGGCTGTCCCAAGGACTTATCAGACAAAACCCTAAACCCTAAACTTTTAAGAAGCAATTCCAATCTAGAACATTCAAGCATCTCTCCCCCTCGTTTCCCTCTGCTAGGGTTTAAGAGGAATCCGCTAGTAATGGCCTCAGGCTCAATCCTCCTCATCGTGCCCTTAGGAATGGCAAATAAGTTGAGATTTTTGCTATATAGCATCATGAATAAACTTTGAAAACAAACAACTTTGATATATAGCATCATGATTTCTCGCTTTTTTTTTTGTCTTTATCCAGTGGTTGTCGGTATGGCACCGAATAAGTTGCGCAACTCTGATTTTTTAGGGGGTTCGTCTCACTCGCGCTCGTTTTTGGAGGCGCTTGCTGGCTCTTCTTCGGTTTTCTCTTTTTCGGATTTGCAGACATCTACGTTTCGTGGCTTGCCCTCTCTTTGGATTTCCGACCAAGAAATCTAGGAGTTAGCTATCCCTTTTCAATTTTTCTTAGTTAGATTCTTCCCTTCTAAGCGGCATTCTCTTGATTCAATTCGCAAGTTTTTCTTTAACCTAAAGCTAAACGGTAAAGTTTCGATCGCCTTGCTTGATCCTTCGCATATTCTGATCAAATTAGCAAAATGATATTGACTATTGTAGGGTATTATTCATAGATCCTATCTTGTTTTCAACTGTTATATGCAACTAACAAAATGGTTTCCATGCTTGGATGTTGGTGTTAAGTCGCCTTTCATACCGATTTGGGTCTCTTTTCCGAACTCCGTCCCCATCTGTACAACCCTCGTATTTTTCACGGGTTGGTGCTATTTTTGGGAAACCTCTGAAAATTCATGATGCTACTTATGTTGGATCCCGGCCTTCTATTGCTCACGTTTTAGTGAAGCTTGATATAACTAAATCCTATCCAAATCAAGTTTGGTTAGGTTCTGAGAGTTTATGGTATGTGCAGAAGGTTGTTTTGGATGAATTCCCCCCTTTTGTGCGTCTTGTAAGTGTATTGGGCATGTGCTTGGGAAATGCTGTCCTCCTCTTTCAACTGATTTGCCTAATGCTACCTCTAAACCGATTTTGAATTTAATTCCCTCATATGTTGAGAATGTTGTTGTTCCTACTATGACAGAGAATGATGTGCAGGTTTCAGATTTTGATGTTGGTAATTTAGAGGAAACTGTACTTATCAACTCTAATCCTAATGTTGTTATTCTGTCTCCTATTGCCTTACCGTATGTTCTTGTTTCTCCTGTTGATGACTTGGAGATTCAGGTGCCTGTTTCTCCTGTCTCTTTGCCTATTAATTCAATGGGCAATTTGGTTATTATTGATGCTGAAGTTGTCATTGTTTCTACTCTGGTTGGCCCAGTAAATTCCCATGTTGCCCCTATTTCTGTTGTTGTGAATTGTTCGGGTGGCTCAATGACTTGTGATATTGTTTTGGGTGGGGGCCCTCTGTTTGTGGCTCCTAGTTGTGCAAATTTTATTTGTTCCTCATTGCGGTGTTAATTCTATAGCTAATCCTTTACTTAATGTTAGTGTGGAGTCTTCGTATGTTATCTCGATTTCTTCAGGTGATGGTGGTGATGTTAACTCAGGGGGGGTTGGTGTGGTACAATGTCTGGGGGTTGGTGTGGATCCGCTGGTGGAGATGCCTATTTCGATTATTTCAATCGCTAATTTACAAGCCCATCTAGCTAGGAACAATGTCTGGTGGTAATGTGATTGGTTACACGATGATTTGATGTCTGAAGGGGAGGATACTTTTGATGGTATTTTGGATACTGGTTCGCTAGATACTGTTGTTAGAAATCATAAACGAAAGTCGAAAAGAAATGATTTCTGACTTTTTCGTGGGATGTGGTTTTTGGCTACTATATGGTTTTGGCTGCCTTCGTTGGTTTGGATCTGGACGATGAGGAAGCAGTTATTCTGCATGCACCTGTGATGGCCAGTGTTGAGCAATCGTGGTAGTCTGCTTATTTGATTTCTTGTCTATTTTTGGATCCTCACTGGATGGTCATCCCTGGCAACTGGGTGTTGGTCTGAGTCCGTATTGATCCATTTATGATTTTGGTTTTTTGTTGATTGTACCTCTCTTGATGTGGCCTGATCGAGTCTTGTGGTGTATCTTTCGTTTCTTTAATTTCATTTTCTTTTTGTTAAAAAAAAAAATCCAATCTAGAACATTAAAACCTAGTGTTCTAGCGCAGAGGATTCCAATCCATCTTGAAGAAGAGGTGAAGACATTTGTTTTCACAACCCATTGTAACTTAAGGATGTCAGCCGCCCTATACTTTTCCAAGATGGAATGCCTTGTGTGACATCAACACTCTTCTTGGCTTGGACAGGGGCCAAGTTCCTTGGACACATACTAATTGCCCTCTCTCAAGAGAGACCTCTTTCGTTTTCTTCGATTCCATATCAAGAGTAATTTGCAGCACAATTTAAGATATTTATAAATATGATTGGCAATTAATATAATAACATATATATAAAAAAAAAGAGAAATTAGAAGAAAAATAGGAAGAATTACTTAATATAAGAAAGTGATTTGTTATTTATAAATATTTTTAATAATTTTGTACTTAAAATTTTTTTAATACTAATTGTTATGCGTTAGAAACTTTGAGTCAATAGATTGTATATTTTATATCTCCGCATTGCACATAAATTTAACGTGTGCATATAGAAGTTGTTAGACTAATTTTTTTTTATGTGGAAAACCCAAAAGGAGGAAAAAAATATGAGATTTGGCCTATTTGAAAAATTCACTATAGAATAGGTGATATAAGAATCATCAATTCCTCACAATTGAAGAAGATGAGATTATTTGAAAACAAATATCTGATTTTCCATATGGGCATTACATAAATCAAATGTCCATAGATGAACAATTAACACCAACAATAAAGATTGATTTTCTCTATAAAAATTATAAGGGTCTCATATCCATAGGCAGACAATTAGTTCACAACATCAGAGTTAAAGTTTGAAGATGAAGATGATTGCTGGTGGTGATGGTCGTCGACAACGATATTGGTTGGTGGTCATCAATGGCCATACTCTCTAGTTCTCTCTCTATTCTTCCTCCCTTTATGTGGAGAATGAACTCTATTTATAGGCTTTTTGAGATCGGTATTTTAATAATTTGAATTAGAATCCAAAAAACTCCATCATACAGTCAATATCAATTCCTTTTGATCATGAAGTGTTCATTAGCATTTAAGGGTTTTTATGATGTCAGAATTAATTAGCCTTGGGTTAATTGGATTCATATCGTCGAGACACTCTATTCGACCATAAGCATGTCACATTTGAAGATCATTTGATCTTCTAATTAATATCCGAAGTTTTTTAATAATACTTTAAGTGTTTGATTTGGACTTATGTAGGCTTCAATTGGATCACTTTTAATGCCATTGAGTTCTCCTCATTAGAGGTTTGATTTGATTTTAAGTTTGCTGAAATTAGAGTTCAAATGATCTCAAATTAAATTCCGAAAATTTTCATATGAGTTTTTTGTTAAAGTACTACTAATATATCTTAAGTGCATTGAGTTCTTCTCAAATTTGACTCACAACCCTAAGCCTAACAATTTCTTTCTCTCTCTCTCTTTCTCCGACAGCGATACCAGATTTATTCACGAGAAAAGAGCCACTTTGTCTTTCTCCTCCACTCTCCCCACTTCCCAACATAGCCTTGTTAATAGTTCGCGACTTCTCTTCCTGTTCGGGAAATGGACGTTTACGGGAAAGCAAAAGTTCCCGGTGAAGTTTCAACGGACTTTCAGTCCGAGATGTTATCTTCTCCGGCCGGAGCCATTTGGGAGGACTTCATTCCAGGACAAAATATGGTAAATATTTTTGTTGCTTTCTCTGTTCCTTCTAATTGGTCCTCCTATTCTTTGAGTTTTTTCCTTCCTTTTTTTCCTCTGTAATCTTCCATGAAAGGCTATGTGGTTCGGTTTCTCTTCTCGTTTTCTACGGCTCTTTCACGATTGTAATGAGAGGAAGTAGACCCGAATTCTATCTCCAAGTTCATGCCTTTAAAGATAATAACTTAAGAATTCAGAGAAAAAAAAAAAATTTCTGTAGGTGTTTGCTTTTTAAATGTTTTTTTTTTCTCCATTTTGGAGTTTCATGAGTTCATATTCTTTTGTCCTGCATTTTCTCTTGCTCTTTTAATGGCATCACTTGTGCTTGTTTTTAGCGAGGGCTAGCTTTTGGTTAAATGTTGAGCTGAGGCCCTTTTCCTGTTTGTTGAAATTTCTCAAACGAAAAATACACTCCATTTATAAGAAAAACTCTTTATAAAAAAATCATATGAGAAATTTCTCATCATTATTTAGTTTTACTTTTATATTTGAGATTTATGTTGATAAGTTTATCAATATCATTGATAAATCCATATTAAAATATATACAAATATTAATGTAAAATGAATGATGATCAGGAGTTCCCACTTCATACTTATACAAAAATTTCCATATATGATTTGTGCCCCCGTTCTTGGAGAAATTATTCTATGAGGATGCCGTACGAAGCTCTAAGTCCAGATGCCGTGGTACCGAGCAGTACCGAGCCGCGGTACAATAAAAGAGTGACGTGGCGCATTTTGATTGGTCTCCGGATGACGTTCGGCGTCCGCACAGAATAATTTTTCCCGTTCTTGTGATTTTGAAGCTAAATGATAAAGCTTTTTTGAATGCCTGCAATCAGGAACGAGATGAAGAAGATAATATTAGCTTGCAGTGGCTCTCCTTTTTTATGGAGGATTGCTTCTCTTCCACTACAAGTTTCAATTTTCCAACACCGTTAATTCCAACTAAGACCAACAACGCCTCCAATTCTTGCGCTACTGATCCATATCCTGCACCACTCAGAAACCCAAATCCTTGTTCCTTTCAAAAACCCTCATTTCCGGCCAAGGCCAGAAATAAGAGAAGGAAAACTAAAACCAGTTCCCAGTTCATCAATTCCTCCATTGATTCTCCCCTCCTCCACCAAAAACATTGGCTTGCAGAGAGTGAGCTCCTTATTTCCCCTAAAATGGAGAAAAACGAGAACAAGCCAGAAACAGAAGATGAGGAAAAAGGCATTAATGGCAGAGGAGTACAGCACCAACAACCAAAGAGATGCAGCCATTGCTTGTCACAGAGGACTCCTCAGTGGAGGACAGGTCCTTTGGGACCTAAGACTCTCTGCAATGCTTGTGGTGTGAGATTCAAATCTGGTAGGCTTTTGCCTGAGTACAGACCAGCAAAAAGCCCCACCTTTGTGAACTACAAGCACTCCAACTCTCACAAGAAGGTGATGGAGATGAGAATGGCTGATTTCTCCACCAATTCCATCTAATTTAGGACTTGATTCACATATATCAATTGCTTCATCCTACAATGTACCTTTGTTTTTCTTTTTTATTTGGGAGACTTACATGCATACCATGTTCTTTTTATGATTTACATGTCCAATACATAAATCTTTATTTTTACTTATATAATATTCTATTCTCTAAATGATATCAAAAGTATCACTAATGTTACTTTTATCTAAAGTGAAATACATCTTCATGCATATGTTTTGATGTAATTTAACATCAAAATGTTGTGCAAGTAAATTTAAGTATTAGATATATAAATATATAAAAATTCAGTGGTATGTTTGTAAATTACCCTTTTGGTTTTGGTGTTTTGTAATTCTCTTATGTGTTGGTCTGTATTTTAGTTTATATTATTTTGTAATTTATGAGTTTAGTCTATGTTGTAACATTATTAGTAGAGACAATAAACAAAGTAATGCAGAATCAAAAGAATCTTTGTACAGAGAACCTCTTCTAATTATTTCTCTTGGCAGTGGGCCTTTTATCATAAATATTCTCATAAAGACACTTTGTTTTCATCTTTCATTGCAGTAATTTTAGCAAGCTATAAATTGACGAGACAGTTGATACTTTAATGTGTGTATTCTGCCTCTCTTTTGCTTTCTATTGCTTTTATTTTTGGCTGGTATCTTCCTTTAAGAGCTTTAGCTTTAATTGTACATTACTTCTTTTACAGGTTTATAGCCTTATTATATTTTGGCAACTCCTTCAATAGGATAAAGCTGAAGGTAGTTTATTTATTACTTTGGTTTCCTTCTAAGAAATGTAAAAGTTGAGAATGATGAACGAGGGAAGGCAAAATTGACTTATTTGTTTGAACTTTGAAGCATAGAAATGAATTTTTAGTCTTTTTAGGTGTAAAAGGTGAAATTTTTCATGATTATTTTCCATTTTTTAATGATTTTCTATCATATGTGATAAGTAAACTCACATATAGGTGGGCCCACTTGTATGTGGAGATGATTATAAGCGTATATTTTTCATTAAATTTAATCATAATTATTAACAATTAATAATTTGTGTACTCATATTTCCTGTACATGAACTTTGAGGATTATTCTGTGATATTTACTGCACGTCATTTCATTTGGGATCAAAGTGTCCCATTGATGGACATGGAGCTCTTCCAGCTATAAATTCTTGCATGTGATCACAACATTGTCTATTATGGGCTTCCCAACACAGTTATTTAGTGGCAAAAACTTAAAATATCTGCTGCTATTTTTTGGCATTTGTCATCTATATTTTAGGCACCTTTCTATCTAGTTTACTATGGCTGTGACTCAATTGCATTGAGATTTACACAAAAGTGATGCCTACCTTGTAAAACTCTGATCTAGTGGTTGCATCTTCTAGCTTCCTCATTCATGACAGATGAGTCCAATGAATTTGGCTACACTTAATACTCAAATATTCATGAAATGCAGAAAATTTTCAAAAAAATTGGCACCAATGTCTCCTGTTTCATCATATGCCATTTCAATTCATTTAGAATTTTTAATTTTACCTTTTGTCTTATCATAATGATATAAGAATTTCAGAAAATTCTAAATTATCAACTAGCTTTGAAGCTTTTTACAACATGAAATGTCTTCAAGCTTGCTGCCAGACATTGTGTTAGACCGGTCCATTGGACCGGTCAAGCCGGTTCGATGGGACAGGCTTACGCGAACAGAGGCAGAAATATCCGCCTCCTGTATGCGTTGAACGCACGCCTGAGCGTGCGTGAGCTGTTTAGGAAGGATTTTTGAGGGAGTTAGGAGGGAAATTTGAATGTAGACAGGTAATGCAAATAAAATGAAACCACAATGCCTTAGTGGAATGGAGAAGATATTGCAAGTAGACAGACAGTGAAAATAGAGATGGCCCAAATTCTTAGGAGAAGACCTCTAAAAAGACCACAGTGAATCACAAATGCCCATAATGAAAGAACTTATAGAAGGCCCAAAGCCCCTTCCTAGCACTTACAAAACAATTTTCAAAGACCCGATTAAGAGGAATCCGCTAGTAATGGCCTCAGGCTCAATCCTCCTCATCGTGCCCTTAGGAATGGCAAATAAGTTGAGATTTTTGCTATATAGCATCATGAATAAACTTTGAAAACAAACAACTTTGATATATAGCATCATGAATACTTATAATTAATCATCGTTAGGACAATAGATACATATCAAGTTTAAGAGATTTTAAAGTCAGGTCGTTAGCCACTAACCTCTATCAAGTTCTAAGCATCAAGAATAGTAAAACCACAAATCATCAAACATGAAGATAAGCTAAGTACTTGAGTGAGTAGCGAGATTTACCGTTTCGTCCTTACATTTGTTAATTTGGACTATCAATGGAGTCTTCACATGATGATAGCCATCAAACCAGACTATCTCCCCAAAATCATACCGGCCTTGAGATGATTTAAGGGGTGTAATTGTCACATAGTATGTTATCTTCTTCCTTTGTTTTGAGAAAACAAGGTAATTTGGCCATATCATGACATGTACTCCTTGAGGTTTTATAACACTCACATAGTAAATAGCATTTGCTTGTCCAACATTGTGAACCGTCCTCCTAATCGTCATCGTAGAGCGGAGATCGGATATAGTGATTGCTGGATAATTAAGGTCGATGTCAGAATGGTTACCATGACAACTGATGTTAATCATCTGTGATGGAAGGATCATTTTGTTAATTTGGCTTTCTTGATACCCTAAGCTGCAGAGGAACATAACATAATCTTGCGTTTCCATGTCATAAATGAGTCCTGGATCAGTTGCCTTCAATGGATTAACATGTCCCGCACCGATGTCAAAAGAGTCTGATGGTTTCACTGTTCCACGTGCGGCGACGATATCTGAGCTTGTGTCGATTGAGTAAGCTGCATCAAATGATATATTGCATAAAGTAAACAATATTGTTCTTGCATGAAATTACTAAAATCCTTTCTAAGAGAATTTAGAGGCTCAAATATTTGTTTTAAAAGTTGGTGTACATGGTATTTTATGATGATAAGACATAATTTGAAGAAAGAAAATCTTGTCTTACCAGTTGTCATTAATGCAGATTTAATTGCAGCAGGAGACCAATTTGGGTGAACAGACTTGATAAGAGCTACAATGCCTGATATGTGGGGGCAAGCCATTGATGTCCCTGAGTCAAAATTCCAGTTTATAGATCGCTTATCAAATGGTAGCAAAGTGGGAGAAGATATTGGAGGCCAAGCTGCTAAAATGTTGACTCCAGGTGCTGTAATATCAGGCTATAAGGAAAAAAAGAGAAAGAAAAAGAAGAATCATTGACAAAAAAAATAATTTAAATAACTAAATTGCCCTTGATACATGAAAACAAGATCATTTACCTTAAGAATATTAGGGGAAACAGAGCTTGGTCCCCTAGACGAGAAGTGCGCAACTGAAGGAGCTGGCAAGTGACCTATAGTTGTTTTACTGGGAAGAATTTGCACTGTGGGGTCACTTCATAAAACCACAAAAACTCATTAAGTAATCCATGATTAAAAAAATTTAAACTCTCAAGTCTTCATTAAATTCTAAAACATAATATATTTTGCTTCATAAGAATTTATTCATTATGTTCATATATCAATCTTATGAATGAATGTGCTAGGTGGCAAAATAATTAAATTTATAATAAATGCATTTAGAATTCATTTATTTCCCTATATAAAGGAAAGGTGCCCAACCCTCTATGTATTCTTGGCTATGAGCCAATATTTGTGAATATTTGACATCTGTGATCCTCTAGACCTCATAAACAGAGGAAATTGTGGAAATATGTTATATTGTTGATGAATGCAATCCTCTAGAATTTTTTCAGAGATGAGTTTTCCATATCAAATTAGGGTTCTTTCATCCATGTTGATTCAGTTTTTTTTTTTTAATAACAAAACTATTGTGATGCAACAATATTAACAACAACAACATCAAGTCTTTGTCCCACAACGTGGGGTCGGCTACATGAATCATTTTTCGTCATTGTGTCATGTTAAAAGTCAAATTGTCATTTAAATCTAATAGAAAAAGATCATTTCTAATATTTTCTAACCAAGTCTTTTTAGGTCTACCTCTTCATTTCTTAACATAAGTCAAATCTAATACCTCAACTTTTCTAATCGGGTCATCGGAAGGCCTCCGTTTAACGTGACCAAACCATCTAAGGCGACTCTCTCTAATCTTATCTTCCACTAGAGCTACTATAACCTTTTCACGTATATGCTCATTTCGTATCCTATCTCTAAGGGTAAAGCCACTCATCCACCTAAGCATCCTCATCTATGCAACACTTAACTTAGTATTATGCTTCTCTTTTAATAGCCAACATTCGGCACCATAAAGCATTGCAGGTCTCACCACCATCTTATAAAATTTTTCCTTAAGTTTGAGGGACTTTTCTATCGCACAACAAGCCCGATGCATTCCTCCACTTCAACCATCCAACTTGAATTCAATGACATAATGAAGTAAAAGAGCAATAAAATAAACATAAGATCTATGATCTGGAAAACATGGAATCCACAAGGAGATATAAAATAAAATAAAATAAAATGCTTACTTAGAAGATTCAATGTAGTGTAAGATTTTAGTTCCTTCGTAGAGATTAACATGAACGGTTGGAAGGAAATCATCTTGAGGCGTTTCTTTTGTCATGGACTCTGTAAAAATCATTCCAGATCCATTGATAGCCAAGATTGTTATTGCTGCACCTGTGCTTGAAATCTCTCCAATCGAAGCAAAACATAGAACAATTTTTCCTGTAGCCAGCCTCCGGCGATTCCACTTTTCAAACGAGCATGACCTTCATGTACAATAATTTCACATGGTTGAACTTGATAAACCCTAATAATAATTTTCAAAAATGAATAAAAATGATATGTTGTGATGCATTTTAGAACTAATTTAGCATTTCTATCATATGAACCGCAAAATATTCAAAGGAACCGCACCCGTCATCAAACAATTTGCCGCTATCTATCAAATTCATCTTCATCTCTCGATCAAGAAACCCTTCTCCCTGTCGAATAAAGAGAGAACATGCAATCCAAATTAGCAACCCACCACAAGTTCAATCTCCTGCACATTATATGTTCGTGAAAATGCGCACAAAAAATTCGACCATTGTATAGAAGAATTAACACAATTACCATAAATGAGGCTTTGTTGCCGAGGACGATCATCGTCGGGAAACCGCGGTCGATGGTTCCAGCGGCGACGGTGATCACCCACGGTGAAACGTTCTGAACGACGCCGGTCTCCGGCCCGTCGTTTCCCGCCGAGAACACCACCGACACGCCGACCTGCGATGCGTGGAAGGCGCCGATGTCGATGCTTGACTGGAAAAACGGCATCAGCGGCGGTGGAGCCCCGAGCGAGGCTGAGATCACCCCCACCCCGTCGGCGATGGCATCGTCGAATGCCGCGAGGATGTCGGCATCGCTACACCTGCCCTGCAGGTCCTTGAACCAGCATACCTGTATCCACTCCAAACGAGAAATTACAGGATCAATCTAATTCGAATATTCGAACTTACTTTCCGAAAAATAATTTGTGTGTATCATGTTACATTACATTGATGTGACCAGTAAATTTGCCAACTAAGATTTATATTGGTAATATTGTAAACCAGCACTTAACCCTTATAAATGTATTATTACATTTGTAATAGTCACCAAGTTGAAAGCAGACCTTGTAAACGGCGAGGCGTGCGCGAGGTGCGCCGCCGCGCGCTGTGCCTGCGGCGAGGTTGCCGAGGTAGGAAACATTGATGGAGGGCGATCCGGCGGCAGTGGATGCCGTATGAGTGCCGTGGCCGAGGCGGTCGCGGGGTGATCGAAATTCTGCTTCGGAGCCAGTGGCGTTGAGAGGGCCATATTCACGCTCGAAGCCCGCCAGGTAGTATCGAGCGCCGACAAGCTTGCGATTGCAGGCAGTGGCGGGATTGAAGTTCTCGCCGGCCACACATCTGCCGCGCCATGTGGCTGGAATAGGGCCCAGCGTCGGCTCAGGTTGGAAGCTCTCTGATTCAGGCCATATACCTACAGGAGATTTTTTTTTTCTCTTGAGTTCATTTTGGCTTAGCTTTAATGCAAAGTGAAGGCTCATTTTGTTACTTCAAGTAAAAATTATGCTTCAAAATTTGGAAAAATTGCTTGATTCATTACTTGATCCATCATTCCATCCTTATTTAGTCCCAACTCAAATCAGGAGATTATGTAAACTATTCTCTACAGTTAGAAATCCTAATTGTGTTTGCTTTTAAATTACACTACAATTTTTTTCAAATGCATGGCCTAGCCTTACTATCAATTCATGTTTCAGACTTTTCCTTTGAAGTTTGAATTGATGAGACCTAAAAGCTCCGCAGAGGCTAAAGGAGAGAGGAAAGTAAGATCGAGGAAATAATTTTTTACTGGAAAATCTGAAACAAAGATTCGAAAGTTAAGGAAAGAACTTTTTACAGGAAAAACCTGTATCAAAGATGCCAATGACAACATCATCACCATGTTCCAATTGCATTGGAGTAGTTTCAGTACTGAAAAGAGGTAGACCCATGAAATCCCAGCTTCTTGTTGTATGCAGCTTTAATGTCTTGCTTCTAAAAATAGATATCACTTCTTTCATCTCTGCAAAAGTTTTCAATTGATTAATTCTTTTAGAGCTAAGCAGTAATTTAGGTATAGCAAATGACAGTATAGTAGTGTTTAATTTTGAGCTTCTTACTGGCCATTTTGCTTGCTTGTGTTGAATTGAGTGAGGCAGCAAAGCCAGAGAAACTATGCCAGTAGCTATAGAGCATGGCCTCCTTCGCCTCATCCTCTCTGCAAAAGTGGTTTGTTGATGTTAAAAAATTACAGTGGTAGTATTTGAAATAGTTGTGGAATCAGGATTTGAGGGAGAGAGTGGAAAAATAAAAATAAACAAATAAACCGCACTAAGAAGGCTTGATGATTATCCCAAAGGACCCAAACTAGGGTAGTGTGAAGGTCACTCACTGCCTTTCCCTTATTCCAAGTGTTTGCATGAACCACTAGAATTTTGTGATGTGCTTATACTTGTTTACTAGCAATGACATTATTTAGGCTTCGTTTGAGATGGCTTCTTAATTGTTTTTTTAAAACAGGTTTTCATTACAAAAATTTCTTATACTAAACAATTTAGTACTAAAAAGCTGCTTTATAAAGTAATAAGAAAGTCATCCCAAACGAAGTCTTAGTCGTATTTTTCCTTTAAAGTGTAACTAAAAAACATTATTTTTTTCAAACTTTTGGCCACACTTTTAGAAGTTGTGAATATTTCTTATTTAGGACCAGAAAACACTCTTTATCTCACTTTTACTAAAAGATCAAATTTTGGTTAAAGGATATTGCTTTTAGTAACATTTATAAAGAAGAACTACTGAAAATTATTATTGAATCATACTTTTCAAATGATGGTTAAATTTGACTTATAATTTAATAGTGAACTAGGGACAGGCTGCAAGCATTAGGGAGACTTCATAAATTGAAAAAAAAAGGTACCTAGAGAAGACTTTAGAAAGGAGCTTGATATGAAACTTGGTGGTAAGGTTTTGCTGATTTCCATGGTTGTGGCCTAAGTAGACTATGTGAACCTGTAAAACATAGGAAAAGAAGACAATCATAAGATATCATAGTATTTGTTGGCGTGGAAAAGTGAAGGATCAATTTGCTCTGTGATAAATTTGACTTTTGACAAGGAAGCAGAGTAGGGAATTGAGAGTATGAGGATGCCCCAGAGCAATCGGAAAGAACTATTGATCATTTTGTCACTTGTAGACATACATAAATGGGAAGAAAGGAAGACTGAAGCTATATATAGGAGACGAAAGCAAAAAAATGTATGATTTGATGTGCTTGAAAGTGGATGTAATAGTAGTTGGTGCTTGCATTACAAGCCTTGGAAAAGTTTATAGTTGTACCTTGTCCCCCATTGGACAAATGATGGCTTTCTTTCATTCTCTTTTTTGTGTGGTCACCAAGCTGCAAGGCTAGCTTATGTGTAAGCACATTCCTACCTATTAATTACCACGATATAAAACTAATACTCCCTTTTTGGTTGAATCATATTATCCCTCTGGTATGAATGCTTTTAGATTTCAGATACACATATATATACATAATTGAGGTCAACTAGAGACAAAGAAAAAATGGCTTAGGATTTTCAATATATATACATGTAAGTATTTTATTGCCAGACAATTAACGATCTAGATGGTTGATAGACCGGCGGGACCGGCTCAAGGAGGGCCGGCTAAACCAGCCCTGAGGCTAGTTTACTCTAGGCGGCCAAGCCAGCCGCCGACCCCCTTGTGGGGCCCATTACTTGAAGAGGAGGGGGCGTATTAGGCAGGTTTTAATTTAAGGAGTTGTTTACTAAATCAGAGTTGTATTTGTATGCTTTAAATAGATGAGATTGCCTAGGGTTAAGGACTTAGGATTAACATGATATTTGCTGAATTTTGAGAGTTCCTAGGATTTGTTTGGGCTCTAGCCGCCGGCTAGAGATTGGGAGAGATGGATCCTCTTCTCCAATTGAGGATCTCTTTCATTTTTTATCAATTAAAAAGATTTATTTCTGATTATTTCTTTCAAATTCTTCTCCAATCTGTTTTTGCCAAGTGTTGAAATTCAAATTCAACAAGGAAAATTTTTGTTCCTACAAGCGTTTCCTATAATGGTCCCTTTAAAAACCCTGATGGTTATCTCCATCTAACATGTGACTTTTCTTTTTGTTGGCTCTCTGTATATGAAGCCCTTGCAAATGATACTTATCTTGACATGCTAACATATCAAAAGAATAAAATTGCATGCATTAACCTATATGGAGTAATTATTTCCTATGAGTGCTTCAAGCCAGTGTGGCTGCAATAATGTAGCCAGACTAAAACTATTAACCACAAAAAGAAGAGAAAATAGACCTGGACCATGATAATTCGCACAATCTTGTGCATCATCTTTATTCTTAAAAATAGGAATTAACACACTCATTCTCCACTCATCTGGCATCTTCTTAGTCTTCAAAATAGTATTAAAAAGTATAGTAAGCCATGAAATTCCTTCATCTCCTAAGCATTTCCATACCTCTATTGAAATATCATCAGGTCCAACAGCTTTTCCACCCTTCATTTTCTTTAAAGCCTCTCTAACTTCAGATTTACTAATACGCCGATAAAAACATAAATCTTTATTTTCATCTAGGGTGCTAAGGTCACTATAGGAAATCTTAATTTCACAATCTTCATTAGGCATGCTAACATATCAAAAGAATAAAATTTCATGCATTAACCCATATGGGGTAATTAGTTCCTATGAGTGCTTCAAGCCAGTGTGGCTGCAATAATGTAGCCAGACTTTTAACTATAAACCACAAAAAGATGAGAAAATAGCCCTGGACCATGCAACTTATCCTTGCACGAATTAATGGGATCAGGAAGCTATTATTGTTCTCATGAAGCCCTGCATGTTTTTCCCAAGTATGAAAGTAATAATTGAACCTACATATAGGAATGCATGTTGTCTAGAGAACTTTATGAATCTAGGAGATGATATTGCTTGCAAAAGTTAAATGTGAAAGAGATATATGCTTTATGGGTTTAGTGATTTTGTTACCCTCAAGGATAAATACAAGCATAAGAGTCTTGAGATATTAATTTTTATAGGAAAATATTTGGGTGGTATTATTATAAATTGAGATAGTTCGATTCTGACAAAATTATCATTTATATATAACTTGGGCTTTGTCATATTTTTAGTGATTGTTCATCATCTATTAGGATAATATTTAAAGAATAATTGACATAGATAAAATCAATACTAAGAAGATGTTTAGAGACATAAATGAACATTTAGATAAGACTATATCTAAGAAAATCATTAAAGAAATGATCATTTTATTGTATTATAACATTTCCCTATAATAAATAAGCCAAATATATCAATCTTTTTGTTCTAATCATTTTGTCTAGCCAATCTGCCTCAGCTCTTGGCAGGGTTATTATAAATAAAGCCTTACTGAACCATGCCTTTGGGGACTCCCAAAAAACTAAGCCCAGATTCTTTAGGGGACATAATATAGTTAAAAGGATAGGTAATACCTGTAACACGTGTGGCCTACTGTTGAACAAAGCCCCACTCTAGAGGAAAGGCAGGTTTATTTTCATCAGGATTTAGAACTGCATTTCCGTTTTAATTTGAGCTTTAGGCTTCGTTTGAGACGTCTTTCCTTAAAGTAGTTTTTTACCACTGCTTCTTAAAGTAGATTTTTTTTTAAAAAATTAATCTTTTATGCTAAAAAACTACTTTAAGAAGTACTAAAAAAAACCGTTCCAAATGAAATCTCTTAATTTCGTACTTGTAAGTAGAGTCTCAGTTTGTACATTTTAAAATATCTTAATAGTTTGTATATTCAATTTGATAGTGCTTTACAAACAAAATGGTGTTCCTGATTGTCTTTAGATGATATTTTGATTGATAATTGCTTAAATTATTAATTAAAAACAGGTAATTTTTTGCCTATTTTTTTACTGAATCTTTTTTTTGCTTGTTTCCAACTAGTTCAATTATGATTTTCATCAATAAATTCTTGATACAAAGCTGATGCGCTATTAAATAGTTTTTTGAGGCGAGGAGTTCATTAGGAGGAGAATGAACCTTTGATAATCTCACCTATTTGCCCACTTTTTGCACTGTTAAGTTTGTACAGAGGAGATTAGAGCAAGAAATTTAGGACAATTAGTGCCATGCTTATATTGGTTTCTATAGGCGAAGCTTTGATTAATGATGCTTGACTTTCTTTTGGTACATCAGAATATAATTCCATCAATGCATTCTCATGAAATTTTTGAATATTTAAACTGCTTGATAGGTCTGAGCCTCTTAATTAGCCCCAACTATGCCTAATTAATTGAATCTATCGAAATAATGTATCTACTTATTAAAGAAAACTGTAGCCTTGACCCTAGGCAGGTGATCCCTGTAATTGCCGGATGTAACTGAAGAAATCATCACTTTCTTAAAATTTTCCATCTGTTGAGTAAGTAGAAAACCACGTATGATGCACTAACATTTCTCCTCAAAGAAGCATGAAGTATCTGTGACGTATACGACACAACACGCCTCCAACACTTGTTGGACACACCGAAAACGTGTCGGGTTAAAAAAAATATTAAATACAAATTGAACACGTGTGTCTTAAATATTTTATGAATTTTTTTAATATAATTTCTTGTATTTAAAATTTAGAAACTAAATTTATTATTTCTTATCCACAACACAAAATCAATCATTTGCACTCAATACCTCATTCATCAAATGCTCTCATTTTTATTTCTATTTGGCGGGTTGCGACTTTGGTTTCACAACAATGTCCAATATCATCTCAACATCGACATCTGACGTTGTTACAACATCGACATTTCAAAAGCATCTCAACATCAAAGTTTGACGTTGTCTTGACATTGATGCACGATGCTAGTAGTTTTTACGCCCACAACTTGACAGCTCATCTTTGTCCGATGCCTTCTTAACATTGACGATCACGGTTCTCTCAACATCAACGACAGATGCCCTCTTGACATTGACTTCTGATACTTATTGCATAACATTAATGCCCGGCTCTCGACAGCATTGTCGTCTCCTCTTTCGATGTCTAATACATGACATTGGCGTCTGACTCTCGACATTCTAATATTAATCATTTTAAGCACAAATTCTGGTAAATGACGTATTACTTCTATTTTTTTTTTTAATATTATACTTATTCAATTTTTATACACTATTTTAAAATAGAAAAATTATAATATTATGCCTAACCTGTATCCATGTTCTATATTTTCAATCATTGACATATCTCGTGTCTATGCCGTGTCATATCCATGCCATCATGTCCATATTTGTGCACCATATAAAATAGAATAATTTCTCCATCATTTGACCTTCTATTTATAGATTTTATGAATAACAACAGCCCATATAAGTTGCTATAATTCCCACAACAATCAATACCATGAAATAAAATAGCCAATAAGAGACCTAATATTAAATTTTCAAACTAATTAATCCAATGGTAAAACACATATACTTTCAAAACAAATCTTAATATCATATAAAAACTTAATCTGGATTAGGGGTTGATTTGAGACGGCTACAACATTCTATACAGTTAGCTATGAAGTTATTATTGAGATTAAAAATCAAATTTCAACCACATAAATTTTTAAAATACAATAAAAATAATAATTGTCGAACGAATTTATAGTTATTCTTGTTGCGGGCGAGAATATACGTAACAGTAGAGTATGACAATAAAACGTCTTAGCAATGTATATATATCCGGCACACCTAAAATTTTGAAAGCTATATCAAAACAAAACAAAACAAAACAAAATAGTTTGAAAGTTATCTCAAACAAACCCTTGAAATATCTTAATATAAATGATATTAAGATGAATTTGAAAATTGCCGAATTTGCTTTGAGATTAACACAATGCTAAAGTTTCATATGCAGTATAATTTTATAATCTTAAAGCAGATTTAATAATTTTTAAACTTATTTTTATATAATTTATATTAATATATCTTGACATAATCATATTCCCTTGAGATTTGTATGCTATTTGCAAGTTTTTAAGTCGCTAATGAAACATTCATTTCTCAACCACTATGAATTCTCATCATGATTTTCCTTTTAACCCCATCCACATGCTCTTCCGACATTAATCAATCTTCCTCGTGACATTTTACTGTGTAAATGCATATATTTGAATAATAATTTCACCGACATGAAGATTAGTTTGTTTCTCTCTTTAGACTGCTTTAGTGGCCTTACTATTATCATGATGCCTTACTATTTATTATTATTATTTTAAATTAATCATATTTTAAGATTTAATCGAAAATAATCAAACATCATAGATTAAAAAAAAAGAAGAAGCTATCTTTAGCCCAACATTTATTTGTCAATCTTAAATTTTGGAGGAGCTTCCCTATTATAATATGAATAGGAGAGTATTGGTTTTATTTTGAGAACTTAGTTGCATGTTGAAAATGGAGACCGTCAATGTATGTTGACCTCCGGCGTAGGTGATGGGATAATAGCGGTTGTTAGCATTGATTGATTATAGATGACAATGTTCAAGTGATTGCAACGATTGATGTTAGTTGACAAAAGGCAATGACACTTAGGTGGCGGCGGTCAATGTTGGTGTTTGACGATGAGAGTGCTGATAATTGTTGGCGGTGATTGTCAACATTGATCAATGTGCAAGGATTCAAATTTTACAATTTGAGAATTCTCTCTATTCAAAATTCATTTCAAGTTTAGAACAAGAGCATATTTATTTCAACATACAATATTGATCAAACGGCTCAAAATGACCCCCATTAAATATTTGATCTTTTTTAAACAATTAAGTATCTCAATGACATAATGATTGAGGCATCATCTTAAGTTTCATTTGGAATGATTTTTTTATTGCTTTTTAAAATAGCTTTTAATATAAAAGTTTTTAAATTATTGTACTAAAAAACTGCTTTAAAAAACAGTAAGACAATCGTTCCAAACGAAGCCTTAGGCTCATTAATTTGGCTTATCAAGATACATGTATCAGCTTAAAAAACAAAAAAATTCAGATGATTCCAATTTTGACTTTGAAAATTTTCAAAATAAAAAACTTACATAAATATTTATGCTTTGATTAAATATTTTTTTAATAAAATGTTAAATAGAACATATATTTTAATTAATTAGTTATAGATTACATTCATTTTAAAATAAATTCAACGGCTAGTATTTCATTCCAGAGGCAAAGATATTGGAGAAAAAAAGCATGAATTCATGACCAATAAGAATTTGAGCTGCCAGAATAGCGTAAATTGATTGGTCAGCAATTCCCAAAGCTTTGCAACAATATGAAATTTCAATTTGCTTATTAGTATTTGAGCACCATCTAATTCGCAAGTTCTAAGCTTATTTTGGGTATTTTTGCTTCATAAATCGTAATAAATTTCTTTTCTATGAAACGCTACTTGCTTTTAAGGCACAATTTTGTAAGTGAGCAGTTTGGGCTGAGAGTGAAGGACTAGATTACCCAATCATAAATTCTCAATGGTTTTCTTACTGTTTTTTAAAATAACTTTCTAATATAAAACATTTTACTAATGTCACAGCACTGTGAGACGAACTGGACGATTTTCTTTCTCGTTTTTCTAAAGGGTTACATCCCTTAGGATTATTTTACTTGGCTTTCTCTTCTATTTGAGTGAGGAAGATATAGAGAACACTGGCATTTGAGAAGAGAAGCAAGGAGAGAGTGAGAGATAAGAGATATATGTACTTATTTATCCCAATTTTCATAGTGAATTTCTTGGTATGATGTGGCTCCGTGATTTTTTCCCTAATTTAGATTTTTTCACATTAAATCCTGGTGACCTTTATGTTTCCATTGCTTTTACTTTCTTGCTTGTTTCATCATTGTGATGTTTTGATCCTCTTTCCCCAACATACCATACCTTAAACCCCACAAAAATTCTCCTTCTTTACATTGTAGCTCTTAATCAACCTTGAGTTTCATAAATCATTGCCTTCATAACACCACCAAAACCTCAAGTATTACTCATCTATCTCTCTAACAGCACAAGACAAAGAGCACTAGGGCAAATTCAACTAATTTTTAAAAGATCTTATTCAATGAGCCAAGCACAAATAAAGTACTATAAGAACATGTTTAGTTTGATAATAGCAATATTACATGTGCGCGTCCGCACATGTAAACTTATATGTATTTATATGTATATGTTTGTTCATATTCATTCATCTATATTTGCATGGATACATATATATATCTATACATAATAACATATATTCTATAATCCACAATTGACTTCAAAATAGATTTTATATTTGTGAAAAACTCATGTTTAGCTAAGTAATTAAACAAAAAAATTTGGTTCATTTGTTTAATGAGTCGAGCCAAATAACACTTGAGCTCGCTTAAGCTCCTCTTATTTGCACCTCTACCAATGGCGGGCATCAATGTTAGCAAACAGCTCGCATCGGACAATAGTAGATAGAGTTCTACATTTATCTAAATCCAATCTTCTCCTCCCTAAGTCCTACGAATGTGTACAAATATAGCCTATTTATAGATTTCTAGAAGAGAAGTTCTAATCATTTCAATCATAAAACCAAGAACTCCATATTGTTAGAATAAGCTTCATTAATCATTTAATATTTTATGAGAAAGTACATTGCATCAAAGCCTCAACAATTATACTCTAGCAATTTCAAGAACACCGACATCAGGATTAATAAAAATACCAAGCTCTCTGATATTTCCTCTGATAGTTTCTAATCAAAGCAAATACAAGGTGGTAAACAAAGCAGAGTCAACGTACAGTGATGATCAATGTCCTTGGTAGTAATATTCACCTTACATGAGGCAACCAACATAATGAGCTCTCTGATATTTCCTCTGTAACTGAGGCCATTGGACATAGAATTGATCTGCTAGGTGTAATTTGTAGAGCAGCAAGCCACTTAAGGAGAGCCTCTTAACTCTTGCAATGCTCTCAATGTAAAAGATAGATGACCATCTAATACCAACCACCTACAGCACACAAGGTGTAAAGGATCAATAAATAACGATCTGCAATTTGCTATAAACACTCAAAAGGTATGACAAAACAAGGAATTTTGTGAAAAAGACCTGGGATACTGTGATAATTTCAAAAGAAAAAATACAAACCTTGAAGATAAATGCAACAAGACAAATAGGAATGCAGGTCCCAGGCCCATTGCAGATAATCTGGACAAATATAATCAGCTATTAACTTTTTATTGCAAATTCAGCTATAAGAGTTGGATGACATACTACTTCAGGCCTGAACTTCAGCATCAGCCACAGAGCATGCAATATTGCGACCAAAGTTGTGTAAATAGAGGTCAAATAGGACTGACCCACTTCTCTGCTTCGATAAATTTGCTCAAAACAAGCAATCTTTTCAATGTCTTTCTTATTGCCAATCTGCAAAGACATATTTTCAATTTCTTCAGCGCTATCGAGCAATAATTGAAATTTGTGACATATGAGAAAGTATAATATCAAGCCTACCACATATACAATCAAATGTAACCAAACCATTGGTACTACTAGTAGCAAAAACTAGTAAGTTCTCCAAGTTGCAATTGATGAATATGAGTGGATCAGCCAAGCCATAGTTTTATGTCATTTATGTGCTTATCAATCAAATACGAAATTGCACAATTGCCAATCCATAAGTGAGCTTGCCTAATTGTTGTTATTTACCCAAAAAATCAAGCTATTGTCCTTAATTAATAGAGATATATTTACAACTTTTATTAAAGCGGACCACCCATTTGATCAGATAATGAACTGCAGAATGCTAAGGGTTTATTTGGCTACAAGTATAATCTAATTTTCAAGTAAGATTTAGAATATGTTTGAAACAGCTGCAGCTTTTTGTAAATGTGATTGTAAAGTTGTAGCAGGAAAAATATTTTTTTTTTTTAATTGTTGCAAAAAATAACTTCCTAGTACATAAATTTATTTAAACAACCAAAAAAGCAATAGCCAAACATAAATTGTGATTATAGTCTGAAAAGCAAAACAATAAGAAAGCTATCATAAAAGAAGCAATGGTGAGTCTTGTAAATCTAGGTATAGTAAATCCTAGAAGCGTTAAATCTTGAAATTTGTTTGTCATGATAAATGTTAAATCTAGTTAAATTATAACAATTGTAAATTTCTTAAATTTTACTTGCCCCAAAATTAACTAGATTTGGTATTTAGCCTAAAATGGGAGGGAAATGGTAATTAAGAAAACAGTAGGATTTATATGGCTGAAAAAACTGTTTGGAATGATTTAGCTTAAATCCTCACTAAATCTTGCAGCAAACAGCCCTAAAAGTAACAATTCAAATGAGGCTAAATGGCAACGAATAAGACCTTCATACTTAGTGTTTATACCATACAAGAGCATATAAAGCGGCTTTTAATATCCATAATTCGCTCAAAACTTGAAACAAAGTAGTGATGAGTTGAAAAGAAACGCACCTCTTCTTTCTGAATCAGTGATTCCTCCAGAACCCTAGCTTTCTGAAGGCTCATGTTATCCGTGCCAGCCGCAATGTAGAATCTCGGTACAAACCTATCCTTCTCAAGTACATTTACAATGCTAAGCATCTCCGCTGTGTGCCCGCCTTCAATCATATAAATCAAGTTCCATCACAGATTCAATATTAGATATCCAAATGAGATAAACTTCAAACAAGTAAAAATTATTTTTTACCAGAACCAAGAACAATTAGGGTGCTGACACGCTGCGACAATGTCCGAAGAGGTCTGCCACTCCAGTACAGTACATAAGCTAGTCGAATTACCACTATTAAAACTAAAAATCCGATCAGAATCGCGACAGAATCTTGAGAATGAAATCCCTCCATGAATGAGAAAGATCCGAATCAGTGAGCGAAGCGGAGAAGATCAACAGCTGAATCGATCTAGCTGTAGAGTAAGATTGAGGGTGGAGATGGCGTCTATCAGAAAAATTAGGAGAAAGGAGTAAAGGCGGATTATGTTCGGCCAAACAGCAAACATGACAACTTTTATCCCGCAGTCCGTTTCTCCTTCGTTTTGCCTTAAATCAAGGATTCAGAAAATTCGGGCATTAGGTGAATTTAACTTAAATCAGCGAGTCTTACGAGCCCCGTCGATGCCTTTCCAGGGAATTCCCTGCGGCTCCTTCGCCGACGAGGTTTGGGGATTTTTTTTTTTTTTTGAAGAAAGGGTTTGGGAAATTTAGTGGACTGGTCTTTTGCGGTCGGCGAGGATTTCGCTGGAAGAACACAGGCGGTGGGAGTCAGGTGATGGAGCATCGGAGGGCAGAGAAGATAGAAAGTAGGGTTAGGGTTAGGGGTTTTTTCTTTTTTGTCTGGGAAGGAAAGGTAAAGGAGGAGTTAATATACAAAGCAGAAAGGTGAAGCCTGCCGGTTGCTAGTTGAGATTTCTTTTATTTTTCTTTTGCTAGTTGGAGCTTGCAAGTGGGTTCGAAAAGCTTTTCAACGACAGTTGAGATTTCTTTTATTGTAAGATGTTAACTTTATTTTGAACAAATCTATTTGCACAACTTCATGTTATTATTAACTTTATTGTAGCAATTTTATGATTTTAATTTTCTTCCTGTTAGTTTGAACTCGCCTGGATTAAGAACTGGATTTTAATTTTCTTCCCGTTTTTCTTCCCGTTATTATGAACTTCATGTTATTATCAACAAACTCACCTGGTCCCATTGTAGAAATTGCCTCGGATTCTTTTGTAAATGGATTTGTTGATCTCACCTGCCCAATCGGCTTCAATCCTAATCTTATTCCAGCAAAAGGCCTCATTTGCAATTGCTATTGGCATGCTTCCCATATCCAAGTCTTAAAGAGTTTGTTGTGCAGTGGTGCTTGATCATACTCTAAGTAGTGTGATGTTGGCTACTGTGAAAGTTGCTCTTTTTCAGGAGTGCTTCACATATCTCTTGTTTCGATTCTACCATATACATTTTCTTTATGCATCTACTTTCATTGCCTGGAGAAGTGCCATACTGCCAACAATGCCATTTTAGTTTTCTTCTATCTCAGAGCAAAATGCTTATTTGACAAGGCTTGGCATTCTTGGTGGAATGACATTGTTCCCATCAATTTTGGAGGTTTTCTCTCGGTCTTTACATTGTCACTTACTTTAATTTGCAACGGCCTTTCCCTCACTCAAAAATATCAAACTTTATTAGTTAGCAATTCTCTATTCTTTTGTTTTAAGAAGTAATGATTACACATAGACTTTATACAAGAATGAATATTAGTATTATGCTTAAACCACATCTTTGCTCCCATAAACTTATGATAGATTAAGGTTCTTCTTTATTTCTTCTTAATTTAATGCATATATGTTTATGCTAAAGATGGTAAGTCTTGGACCTTCTACTAACTTTCCCCATATAAATAAAAAAGAAATCAGATTACCTTTCAAAGGCAATGGCATCTTCCTATATTGGAATACATGAATATCAATTCTAATATTTTTTCATGGCATTTACAAAACACTCATATTAGTATGCATCTTAAGAGGTTTATATACTTTTCAGGCTAAATATTGATCCATTGTTGTTTAATACTACTAATAGATCAACGACAAAACAATCAATCTGCACAATTAACTCAAAGCATTCGTGAGAAAGTAGATATCGCTTGGAACCATTTTACTGAGTTTAAAATCACTGATGGTAAGAAGCAATAAAAATGTCTTCATTGTGGAATAATTTATAAGGGAGGAGGCATTCATAGGATGAAGCAACATCTAGCGGGGATTAAAGGGAACATTGCTTCTTGTAAGAAGGTGTCACATGACATACGACATCAGATGTAACAAAATTTGAATGAGATATCAAAGAAAAAACATCAAGCACAACAAATTGATGATTTACTTGGTGAAGATCCAGTTGAAGAAGAGAGGGGCTCATGTTCAGACACGAAATCACAAAGTTCAGATATACATGGTAAAGGAATGGATAAAGGAAAGAGAAAAATTGATGAAATTGATAATTTTTTTGCACCTAGAACAAAACCGGGATCTCAACCTTCCTTAAAAAGTGTGATGACATCTAAGGAGACAGTGCACCGTGCAGATTTAGCAATTGCTAGATGGTTTTATGATAGTTGCATTCCATTCAATGTCATCAACTCACATTTTGCACAAAAGGCTATAGATGCAATTGCTGTAATAGGACATGGATACAAATTACTGTCTTACCACAGATTAAGAGTGAATCTGTTACGAGATGCGAAAGAGGAATGTAAATTGCTAATTGAATCTTATAGAAAAACATGAAAAGAAACTGGTTGTACATTGATGGCTGATGGTTTGACAGATACAAGAAATAGGACATTAATAAATTTTCTTGTTTATTGTTCTCGAGGAGTTTCATTTCTAAAATCAGTAGATGCATCTGAGATGCCACAACATTGTGCTCATTATTCACTGATATCGTTGAATGGGTTGGTCCGGAGAATATAGTTCATTTTATAACAGATAATGCAACAAATTATAAGAATGCTAGTGAGTTATTGCATGAAAAATATGGAAATATCTATTGGTCACCTTATGTAGCTCATTGCATTAATCTCATTCTGAAAGATATTGGAAGCATGCCTTATATTACAGAACTAGCTAGAAAAGCTTCAAAGGTTGCAATTTTTATTTATAACCATGCTTTTATATTGGCTTGGTTAAGAAAAAGGAAAGGTTGGACTAAAATTGTAAGGCCATGAGTAACTAGATTTGCAACAACATTCATTACCTTGAGAAGTGTCCATGATCATAAACATGATTTGCAAGCATTCATCACCAGCAAGGCTTACATTGATTCAAAGCTAAGTAAGACAATGAAGGGGAAAGAGGCAGCCTCAATTATTTTGGATGCAAAATTTTGGAATGACAGTTTCATAATTTCTAAATTATCAGGGCCCCTAATTAGGTTGTTAAGAATTGTTGATGCATATGAAAAGCCATATCTTGGATACCTTTATGACGGTATGTTTAGAGCTAGAAAAGCAATGAAGACTATGTTTAGAAATAATAAAAGAATGTACAAGCCTTTCACTAGTATCATCAAGAGAAGATGGGATAATCAACTAAGACAAGGGATACATTCAGCAGCTTATTTTCTGAACCCTCATTTTCAGTATGATAGAGAAAATTATTGCAACAAATCTGGAGTTTTGCAAGGTCTAGTAGAATTGATTGACAATAAAGATGTATGTCCAAAATCAACTTTGGCAATGAATGAGGTGAGATTTTTTCGTGATAGTTTAGGAAGTTTTGGTAAGCCCATTGCATCGAACTTTTATTTGGTCCGGTGAACGTACGCAACTCTACGTTCGGCCGCCAGTAGAATCGAGCCACGCATTTTCATTATTTACCGCGCGCCCCGACAACTTGACCCGGAACGGACCCAAGATTGCTCGGTATTGGTCGATTTTGCTCGTCAATAACCAATACCGAGCAAATACCTAGCAATATCGAGCAAATACCGAGTTTTACCGAGTTTTTTCTAGCAATACCGAGCAAATGCCTAGCAATACCGAGCAAATCCCTAGCAATACCGAGCAAAATCCTGAGCAAATATTGAGTTGTACCGAGTTGTACCGAGTTGTAAAAAAACTCGGTACAACTCGGTATTTGCATGGTATTGGTCTTCACAGAGCGGTATTTCTCATTTTTGCAAAGCAATACCTAGCAAATACCGAGCAATACCGAGAAAATCGCGAACATAGCATTCCCGGGTTCCGCTCCGGGTCAAGTCGTCGGGCCGCACGGTAAAGAGTAAGAGCACGTGGCGACATGTTATTGGCGGCCGAACGTAGCTCTACGTCCGGTCAGAGGACGTAATAATTGTTCCATTGCATCAACGTTGGTTAGGAATGTAAAAATAATAATTTTAGATCTTATGTATATAAAAACTTTCTATTTTTTTAGAAATTAATTATAATTTTTTTTTTTTGAGATGAAAATTTATTTTCATAATAAGTTATTTTTTAATAACTATTTTATAACCAGTTTATAAAATCTTGTAAAACCAAATAGACCATTTGGATGTAAATGAGTAGCATCCTCAAATGTAGCTTAATTTGATTAATTAATAGAGCTTATTTCAAATTTGATTTTTTATGAATTTGGATCAGCAAACAAATGCCTAAGATATTAAGCTCTTTATCTATCTAATGCCACAAATGTTCGAGTTTACAAAATATGTAATAATTAAAAATTTATTCAAATTTTAAATTTAATTTTTTTAATTGGAAACAATTGTTGTTAAACATTCAATTTTCGAGTAATAACATTCATACGCAGTTCATTTTGATATGTTGATTGTAAGCTTTAGCTATCAAATAAGAGATCTTAGGTTCATAACTTGAGTATATGACATTTTAAATTTATCTTAATTGACCTAATTGTAAAAAAAATTATTGTTTTAACAAATATGTTCAAAATAATAATGTTAATAATATTCATTATTTTATAATGGCACTCAAAATAATAATAAAATCGTAATTTGAATAAATTATTCTAATTAATAAGTTAAAAAATAATTTGCGACTTAACTATTTGGACTGGAGAAAACCCGAAGGGATAAGGGCGACCCTTCCGCGGAGGAGAACAAGCGAGGTATTGCGCTGAGTCTCTCCGGCAACCTGCGACAGGTATGTTCTTAGCCTGCTCTGGAGACTGTTCCTTTTGTGCTTAGCTAAATTTATATTGCCATTTTGCGAATTCTAACTAGCCAAGATTCTCTCACGCAAGAAGACATCTCTTTTACTAGCCGAATCTTTTTTTTTTTTTTTTTTTTCAATCAGAGGTTTGATCAACAAAATTACAGATATTGAGCTGATTATAAATTCAGAAGTTTGCAAATGCGGTCAAAAGATACATTTTATTTTTAGATGTCTATTGTCTTACTTTTGATGCTTTGTCGCCTCAAATAGTCAAATATGGCTGCAAGTAGTAGCATACATTTTTTTAATCCTTTGAATTGGCCTGCTTCGCGAGAGAGGTAGAGTTTTGAACGTGTCGCTAAATAACTTCTTCGTCTCCTTCGACGACGTTACTTCCTGTCGGATCCGAAGTCAAACTGTGAGAACCCACGGCAGGAGAAGAAAAGAACTGAACAAAGAAGATAAGAGGTTTGGAGAATGAAGAAATAAACGTATATATTATTAAAGAACTGCGGTACAGAGCTTTATATAGAAACAGAAGGTAAAAGACATAAACAGAGACACTTCAGCATGTTGGCATGTATATGGTTCTAACAGGCCCCTCAAATTAAGCATTTAGGGGTTGAATGGTTAATTTGTGATGGAGTTCTGAGAAGCGTGCTGCCGAGAAAGGCTTTGTGAGTATGTCTACAATTTGATCCTTTGAGTTGAGATGAGTGATGGTGATGGCTCCTGAATTAGTATGCTCACAAATGAAATGGAAGTCGATTTCGATGTGCTTCATTTTGGCATGGAAGACACTATGGCCGAAGTGTTGTCAAAGTAGATGACTGTTGGGAAATGTTGAGTGATTTGAAATTCAACAACGAGTCGACGAAGCCAAAGGACGTCCGAGGTAGCAGATGACAGTGAGCGATATTCGGCTTCAGTGAATGATTTAGCTATAGTAGGCTACTTTTTGATGGACCAGGAGATAAGATTATTGCCCAGGAAGGTGCAAAATCCTGAGATAGATTTCCTATCTGTTTAATCGGCAGCACAATCTGCGTCTGCATAGGTCCGTGGTTGTAGATCTCCAATAGTGATCGGAAGTCCATTGTGTGAGGTACCTTTACTGTATCGTAGCAGACATTTGAGAGCTTGAAAATTGCTTATTGTTGGCACTTGCATGTGCTGACAGATGGAATTGGTAGCGAATGCAATATCTGGTGGAGTGATCGAGAGATATTGTAGAGAGCCTGCCAATTTGCGGTAAAGTTGTGGGTCGGTGAAAGATTGATCGGAAGGTGTCTTAGAGGATGTTTTTGGAGTGATTGGAGTAGGTGCTACTTTGCAGTCAGCAAACCCGGCTGTCTTAAGAAGGTTAGAGGCATAATGTTGCTGATGAAGAAACAACCCAATTGATCTGCGGACAACCTGTATGCCAAGGAACAGTGTAACAATCCCTAGTTATTTGATGTTGAAGGTTGAGTTGAGCTGATTGAGGAGAGTTGTTATTATGTGTTGATCATTCCCTATCATCAAGATGTCATTGACGTAAATCAATACGTATAGGTGTATGTGCTTGTGTTATAAATAAGAAGCGATGGGTCAGAAGACTCAGAACGACTAAACTCGAATATGAATTTTTGTAAGAAGTTGGTGCATTTTTGAAGCCACTGCTGGGGTGCCTGCTTAAGCCCGTATATGGACTTGTGTAATTTGCAAACGTGGTTTGGATGTTGATTGTCAAAAAAGCCGATAGGCTGCTGCATGTATACTTCTTCAATAAGATCTCCATGTAGGAGTGCATTTGCAATGTCTAGTTGAAGAACAGACCACCCTCGGTGAAGGGCTAAAATAAGTAAAATGCGGATGGTTGGCATTTTGGCCATCGGACTAAACATTTCGGTATAGTTGACTCTAAATTCTTTGGCGAAGCCTTGAGCGACAAGTCGAGCTTTGTAGCGGTCGACTTGGCTATTTGGTAGGACCTTAGTTTTAAAGGTCCATTTGCAGCAGAGAATAGGCTTATTGATGGGAGGAGGCACAAGTAACCATGTGGCTTGCTATTGAAGAGCTAAAAATTTTGGGGACATAGCAGAGCGCCAATATTGCAATTTGAAAGCTTGTAAGTGGTAGGTGTCACGAATGGAGAGGTGATAGTCGAAAGATTAAAAATTTTCTTGGGACATGTGATGTCAGACTTTGCCCTAGTTTGCATTGGATGAAATTTACAAGGAGAATAGGTAGCCAAAGGAGTAGCAGAGGAGGTATTGAGGCTCGGGCTTGGAGATACAGATGTAGGAAGTGGTGATGGATTTGATGGTGTGGAAGAATGTGTGGAGGCGGGTAAGCTAAAAGGTTTAAGAGAGGCAGTAGTAATAGAAGTTGGAATGAGTAATAAAGGGGATAGAGGCAAGAGAGGTGGAGAATGAGATAAAGGGGTCACAGTTCGTGTATAAGGAAAAATGTGTTCATTAAACACAACATGACGGGAAATATGAATTTTGTTGGAATGTATGTTAAGACAACGATAGCCCTTGTGAAGAGAAGAGTACCCAAGAAAAATGCATTCTTGAGAGCAAGGTGAACGTTTATGAGATGCGTAAGGTTTAAGCCACGAAAAACAAAAGCAACCGAATGTACGAAGATGAGTGTAGTTAGGGGCTTTGCCATGAAGCTTTTGAAATGGTGTCTGAAGAGATAGGGCTTTGGAAGGAAGCCTATTGATTAGGTAATTAACCGTAGATAGAGCTTCAACCCAGAATGAAATGGGTAAATCAGATGCATGTAACAGAGTGCAGGTGAGATCCATAAGATGTTTGTGCTTGCATTCAACATGGCCATTTTGTTCAAGAGTGTGGGGACAACTTATTTGATGAGTAATATCATGTTCAAGGAGAAAGGCTTTGAATAAATTGCTGGTGAACTCACCACCACAATCAAAGTAGAAAATTGTAGGTCGAGAATGAAAATTGGTTTGAATTAGAGAGCAAAAATAATTAAATTTGGTAAATGTTTCACTTTTAGAATACATGAGGTAAAGCCGCCAAAAATGAGTGTGATCATCGATGCATATTACGTAGTATTTTGTATCCATTTAATGATTGTTGCGCGGTTGGAGCCCAAACATCAGAATGGATTAAATAAAAGGGATGGGAAGAAATCGTAGAGATATTATTAAAAGGTTGTTTGTGGCTCTTAGCCAAATTACAAGAGGTGCAAACATAAAGGAATCGCAGATTACAAAGAGCTAGAATATTCTGAGCTAAGGTGGACAAAAGGCACTGGTGAGGTTGACCAAGAAGCGCATACCAGAGCTGAGTGGAGGAGATGGCAGCTTGAAAGGCCTTTGTGGATTTATGTGGCTGCATCTTGATTTGATAAAGGCCGTCACGAAGATGACCATTCAGAAGGGGACGGTTGTCCTGCAATTCCTTGATGACAAAGCCGTTAGCATCAAAAAAGATGGAAATTTGATTGTCAGAGGTAAGCTTAGAAATCGAAAAAATGTTGTGAGATAAAGATGGAACATGGAGAAGATTATGCAAATGTAACTTACGAGCCGGGTTAGGTAGAGGAAGGGCCCATTCCCTGAGTTGTGGATTGGAAGAGTTGAATCATTTGCGATCGAAATCGGGTTTGTGCCCTGATAAGAAGTGGATTGCTGTAGATTAGTGATGTCTGGAGTTAAGTGCGTTGAAGCACCGGAATCAAGAACCCAATCCGTAGAATGAGTTGGAGAATGACGTGTGAAGAAGGCTTGAGGAGACAAAGAGGTGGTTGGGGCGTATTTTAAGTTGCATATGTGCCAAAAAATTTAGAGTTGAATGGCCATTCTTCCCACGGATTTGACAAATAGGGCATTCGAGGTGTTGGGAGAGGACTGAGAAGGGGAAGCTGAGTTATGCGATGGGCGAACATAAGAGTTTCGGGCTTTAGAGGAACAAGAATGATATCTGCCACGAGTAGAAGTGGAGAGATTCATGTAAAGAGCAGGAGTATCTGCGGGAGGATTGGAACCTTTATGTTGTTCGTTTTGTAAATTTACTTCCTCTCTACATAGCAGAGAATAAAGAATACCAAGATCAATTCAATGGAGAGAAGTGCGAATAGAGGTTTTGAAGGAGTTGTATGTTGAAGGAAGGCCGTTCAAGATATAAAGAACGATATCTTCAGTGTCGATCTTGGAGCCGGACGTGTCAACGATGGTTTTGATTTGAGCTAGGTATTGCTGCATCGAGGAATTGCGCATCTGAATATGATGAAGTTGGTTCTTGAGTTGAATAACTTGAGAACGATTGGTTGGTTTTAACCGTCGTTCAAGAATCGACCATACTTCATGAGCCGTCGAGAAAGAAAGAACATACGGAAAGATTGAAGGAGAGATTGTTGAGAGTAAAGCAAATATCATATTGCGATCTATCAGACGCCAAAGATTATGATCAGATGTATAGGTTTCAGGCGGATAGAGAATTTCTCCTGTTAGATGACCGGCAAACCCATTAGTAGAGAAATGTTGGAGGAGCTGGAGGCTCCATATAGCATAGTTATCAGACGTGAGTTGGGTGGGAACCAAGTTCTTGAGATTAGAAATCAAGAACTTCAGGGAAGATGGGATGATGAACTCGGACAGAGAAATAGAGAGAGCTGAGGTGGGCAGGAGGGAAGCATCCAAATCCTGGTCCGCCATTGTCGTTTTCTGATGCCATGTGAGAACCCACGGCAAGAGAAGAAAAGAACTTAAGAAAGAAGATAAGAGGTGTGAAGAATGAAGAAATAAACATATATATCATTAAAGAGCTGCGGTACAGAGCTTTATATAGAAACAGAAGGTAAAAAACATAAACAGAGACGCGTCAGATGTTGACGTGTATATGGTTCTAACAAGCAGCCGAATCTTGTTCCGCCATTGTCTTTCTCTGATACCTTGTGATGCTGGACTTTTCCCCGGTTTGAATTGGATGAAATTTATGAGGAGAATAGGTAGCCAAAGGAGTGGCAAAGGAGGTATTGAAACTTGGGCTTGGAGATATAGATGTAGGAAGTGGTGAGGGATTTGATGGTGTGGAAGAATGGGCGGAGGCGGGTAATTTAAAAGGTTTAAGTGAGGCAGTAGTAACAGAAGTTGGAATGAGTAATAAAGGGAATAGAGGCGAGAGAGGTGGAGAATGAGATGAAGAGGTCACGGTTGGTATATAAGGAAAAATATGTTCATGAAACACAACGTGACGGAAAATATGAATTTTGTTGGAATGTATATTAAGACAACATGCCCTTGTGAAGAGAAGAGTACCCAAGAAAAATGCATTCTTGAGAGTTCGACGAAAAGAGTTCATTTCATCAAGAGTCATCTCCTCTTTTTTTTTTTTTTTTTTGAATCAAGAGCCATCTCCTAGGGCTCGGAGAAGGGGGGAAATAGGGTTTTCAGATAGGGGACGGTAGGAAGGGAGTTTTATTGTGGAGGTGTTAGAGTGGTCGATCACTATGGGAGGCTTTTTGGGCAAGGAGTGTGGATGATCGGAGGAGGAGGAGGATGAGCCGAGCCATAGGGATTTGGTCATGTGAAGCGAATGGAAGAAAGTTGGGAGTCCCATCCTTGATACATGGGGGAAACATGGAAGGATCACAACAACCACTACACTGGAAGAGGAAGAAGTTGTTGGGGCGGCGGCGATCCTAAGGTGAAAAAGTTGAATATGCGAATAATTGAGGAGAAGAAGAGTGAGAGTTCAATAATTTATACACAAGCTTCTTCCGAGGATAAACAAATCGATAAAGGGAAAGATGTGAATAAAGAGAGCAAAGAAATAAACTTACAAAACCAAGCTGATGGTGTCGATCAGAAAATCTACTGCATTAAATTATCTAGAGCTACAAAGATTGGTGAAGGTGAGCAAGAAAATCAAAATCATGCAGTTGCCTTTACCAGAGCGGAGGCTCTTCAGGCAATTGATATGAATTAGGTTAAACTATTTGGAAGAGGCTTTCAAAAAGAGGAATCTTTTGGGGAATTCAATGAAGATCATGGACTGCTCCCACTAACCATTCTTGGTGTACATGGTCACATTTTTACAAGAACTGCATTGGGCAACAATAACATAATCATCATACAACTTCAATTGTACTTAGTGTTCCTTACATTCTTGCTTGGAACGAAATCCTATTACTTTGGACGGACAATCCTATATGGCGGAGCAAAATAAAAAGCTACTGAAAGATGATTCATTGGGCGACATGGAAAGTTTGCAAAGAACTATAAGATATACTATAGAAGTCATTTTACAAATGGCCTGGAAATTATGTTTTTGCCTGCCGCTAATTGTTTATCAAATTTATGGATATGCAACTACTGATTCAATAACCTTTATGCTTCTTACTGCATCCATGTGGTTCCTTGTTGTCACCTGGTTTTTTGCGCCATTTTTTTTAACCTTTCTGACTTTGAGTGAAAAAAAAATAGTTGATAACTGGGATCACTGGAGCAAGTGGATAAAAAGTGAAGGCATTGGCAAATATGTTAAAATTTTGAAAGATATATGTTCTCTAGAGTGAAGCACGTGCGAATAATGAAGGATATAGAACTGGATCATGTGCTAAGTGGTTCTCGACAAGAAGCAGATTTTGTTATTAAAACAGATGATCATGTGACATTTCTATTCCGTAAACCTTGAGAACAAGGTATATTTCTTGGGAGGGAGTATTGATATGTTGGAGGGGCTCACAATCAAGAAGGGGGAGCTGTTTAGGAAGGTTCCTAATCAAAAGAGAGTTCTTTAAGAAATTTCCTAATTAAGGAAAATTATTTAGAAAGGTTCATAATCAAGAGGGGAGCTGTTTAGAAAAGTTTCCGAATTGTGTTTGTGCTATTTAAGAGGTTTTTAATTATTTCGGAAGGTTTCCTAAAATATATTTAATTGTTTAGGAATGTTTCATAAATCATGTTTGATTGTTTGGGAAGTTTTCTAAATCATGTTTTATTATTTTTGAAGGTTTCTTAAATTATGTTTATATTGATTAGAAATGTTCTATTTATTTGGAAAGACTTTTTAAATTATGTTTATGTTGATTAGGATGATTCTAATTATGTTATTGTGTTTTAGGGCTATTTAAGAAGTTGTCTATAGTTTTAGGTTCATGCTATTGATGAGTTTTGTGGGTGTTTGTTGTAGTTCTTTTCTTTGAGCGCTTCCTAACAGCATCAAAGGTGATTGGGAGAGTCAATCTATCTCTCGAATTGTAGATCACATGTATCTAGTTTTATCTTGTTGAAGTTTTAATAAAAAATCATCCACCGTTTTGATTTTACTGTAATTTTTTCTGATCTTTCTAGAGATTGGGCATCCCATTCGTATTTTCATGCTTCTAGTAACATTTGAACCATATGTTTAATTTTTTTAATTACATATGATATACTAATTATTCTTTTATCCTGTTAATTAGTCAGCTTATACATCTTGCTAGAAGTTATGACAGCTTATGTACATTCATACTTAAAAAATCTATTGCGTACAATTCTAATGTGCAGGTGTTGGTAGAAGACTACTTATTGTTTGCAGCATATTATTAGCGGACATAATGGTTGCTTCTTTTTCATTACTAGAGAATTGCTACAGGTGTTCTTCAAAACATATTGAAAAGAAGGCAAAGCACCGCACAACTAGTAATTTCCAACTTAGGCTTCATTTGGGACAGCTTTCTGGATGACTTTTAAAATAATTTTTTAATACAAAATTTTTTAATTCAAAAATTTTTTTATTAAAAAATTGCTTTAAAAAACAATAAAAAAACTGTCTCAAACGAAAGTTTATATGCCAGCAATAAAAAAGGTGTTTCAAATTTAATTTTAATGTCTTTTATAACCATCAAATTTATTTTGAGTTCATACTAAAAAATTTTGATTGAATAGTCATTGTGTTATATTCGTCTCAAAACAAATTTGATGATTATAAAATACCTCGCAATCAAATTTTAATCAGAATATCCTGACCCAAAATTTTCCATATTTTTCTCTCTTCATCGCAACTACTTAATCATGCTTGATTGTCTCATTTAAAATACATGTAGATGAATCCCAAACAAGAAGTCCTTCCATCGCAGCTTCTCAGGAAGGTTTACTTGGTAGACGTCTTGCTGTTCTCTGCAGCAGTCTCTCATTGGTTTCCATTTCTCCTTCACCATTGAAAGCTGAAGAGAAGAAAGGAAAGGAAGATGAGGGTGATAATAACGGAGTTATTGGGTCAATTACATCTCTGTTTGATCCCAACGAGACAACAAAGACTGGAAAAGTGTTGCCAAAGGCTTACGTGAAGGCTGCAAGAGAAGTAGTGAAAACTCTCAAAGCGTCACTCGAGGAAGATGCCAAAGATGTTGCCAAATTCAGGAGATCTGCTGATGCTGCAAAGGAAGCTATACGAGAATACTTGAATGGTTGGCAAGGGCAGAAAGTAGTTGTTACTGAGGTATTTCAATATCATATATCTCTCATACATATATGCAAAATAAGCATTTAAGCATTGATTGTCCACTTGTTTTGCATGAATTGCTTTAGAGGCTTTGAATGTGGTACTATATATAAGGTCAGAAATCAGACAGTAATATCTGCCATCTTCATATTAGGGAGAAATTATTCTTTGCTAGCGCTGAATGTAGTTTATCGTTCGGAGACCAATCAGAATGCGCCACTTCAGCAGTATTGAGCCGCAGCACCGAGCAATACCGAGCCGGATACCGAGCAAGGGGTGACGTGACACATTCTAGATGATCTATGGACGGAGTTTAGCATTTGCACGTAAAAATGTTGTTCTATAGTGGATAACAAAAGAAGAAATTGTTTTGAATTTGCCCCTTCCCCTTTTCTTTTTTTTTGGCAGGAATCATATGCTGCACTTGAAAAGGCCATAAGATCACTGGCAAACTTCTACTCAAAAGCTGGACCTTTTGCTCCTCTTTCTGAAGAAGTGAAGTCAAACATTCTGGAGTATTTGAATACTGCTGATGCTAACATATGAGGAAAATAACCATTGTACTTATGATTATTATGTTATGCTTATCTTTTCTCTGGAGCTTGCCAAAATTCATCATTTTTTATTTTTTTATTCTTTTTTTATAACAACTAAAATTCATCTTATTAGTTCTTATTGGAGCTATATTCTAGTTCAATTTTTAGCTTTCAGTTTTTAATTATTAATTATAATGATCTTTCATAAAAAAATATTCAAAATATTTAAGAAATAATTATATATATATTATATATATATATTGGGAATGTGGTATCCAACTATTGTAACTCTTGAAAGGGTGCTTGACGGCCTGACTAATCCTTGATTGATCTAGAAGAGGTATTCATCTCAGAAACCTCCGGACTCGCATTTGATTGGGTCTCACTTAAGAGGCGTTGTTATTCGAGAGAAAAATATACCCAACAGTATTCGCTCATTAACCAAACTAAATAATGGTGGGTCATTATATATATTTAATATATGTTATGATATAAGAACTCATATAAATATATTGATTGCAGATTTTGATTATCAATTAAGAAATTTTGGGTTTAAAGTTTGTCATATGCAAAAGTTACCAAAATTTTAGGCTAAAATATTTTAATTAAAATTTAATCGAACTGTTCCTTAAAAAAAATCTGTCGTAGGTACGTTGACACGCAATAACCTTTTCAAACCGTTGGACCGCCACATGTCGTAAGGACAAGCCACACTCCACCACGTGCCATCACCCCATCCCACGTGTTACAATCTCCTCTTCACCTCTCCCTTTAAATACACCGGTGTACTCTGGGATGATTCACTTCGATTCCGAAGCTCCAATCAGCCATGAGCAAGAATGAACAACCCCGCCGCCGCTCCGACCATCTGGATGAACCCATCAAGTATGGTGACGTTTTCCCGGTCCAAGGAGACCTTGCCGGTGAACCCATCCGACCTCGCGACGCCGCGTTGATGCAGACCGCCGAGAACAAGATCACCGGCAAGACCCAAAAAGACGGCGCTGCCGCCGTCATGCAGTCCGCTGCCACCTTTAATGAGCGCGCCGGCCTTGTCGGCCACGACGACTTCACCGACGACGCAGCCATTCGAGGAGTCACCGTTACTGAAACTGAGGCTCCTGGCTGCCGCATAGTTCGCGAGAGGGTTGCCGGCCAGACCGTCGTTAATTTCACAGTTCCGACGGCGACGCCGGCGGAAGAGGATGTCCCTGGCGAGAAAATAACTATGGGAGAAGCATTGGAGGCGGCAGGGCTTTCGCAGAGCGACAGGCCAGTGGAACAGAGTGATGCGGCGGCGATACAGGCGGCGGAGGTGAGGGCGATCAAAATGACGGCACCGAGAGGGGTGGCCGCGGCGGCTCAGTCGGCGGCCGAGATAAATGCTAGGATTGCGAGGGAGGAGGATAAGATTACGGTTGGTGACGTGCTTAACGTACGTTAAGTTTTTTACTTTGATGTCCAGTTTCGGAGCTTAATTTCCATCCTTCTGTAACTAAATTTAGCCAAATTTAGATAAATTTGACTAAAATGTAATAATTTTTAAATAAAAATTCTATCTTGAAACACAATTTGATTCGACTGATAAACTATTAATTAAGACTGCATATTGTATGTGGTGAATACAGAATGCGACGGCGAAGCTGGCGCCGGACAAAGAGGTGACCAGGGAAGACGCTGAAGCAGTAATGGGAGCTGAACTAAGGAATAGGCCCGATTTGAGGACGGTGCCGGGCGGTGTCGCCGACTCTGTCACGGCGGCTGCGCGGCTCAACGAGAAAATGAGTAGAGCTTAATTTTATTTTTTTCCTGTGAAGTGGAAAAAGAAAATATTTTCTAGTTACATGTTTTGGGCTACTTGGAATGAAGAATAATTGTTGCTTTGCTATGGAGAGAACGTTCATATGAGTAAATAATGACAATCAACAGTATATCCATGTTTTAATTGAACATGAGTATCCTAATAATTTTTTTTTTCATGCTTAAAGTCTTACTGTTCTTTGGTAAAATTTATATCAAGAAATTATTATACTTAGGCTCGTTTGGAAGAGCTTCCTGCTTTCTAAAACAGTTTTTTAGTAAAAAATTTTGGAAACTACTAATTTTTTTTATTAGAAAATTATCTTAGAAAGCAATTAAAAAGTTGTCTTAATACTAAGACTTCATTTGGGAAGATTATTCTGTGCGGAGTCCGAACAGGAAGAATTATTTGAGTTCTTCTAATTCAAACTGTGAAGATACACAATGTGTATAAATTTATATGCATCATACACTCACATGTTCAGACAATTATTTGTGTTGAATATTTCTTTTTATTTGGAACAGCTTTATTACTAAAAAATTAATTTAAGAAACAGTAAAAAAAATCATAGTTTTCTAGTACATTTTAAAATTACTTTAAAAAACAGTAAGAAAACCTTCCCAAACGAATGAAGATTAAGCCTTAGTTCGACTTAGATATGAAAAATGGTCACAATTGAAGCAAAATTTTTTGACATTCTTCATCAGCATAATAAAAATAAACATAATTTATTACCATCGTCTTAATTCTAAGCAACTTATAAAAAAATTGCAAGACCACTGTAACCTGAAAACACGAATGAACATGCCAAATTTTGAATTAACATAACAGTAATGTTAATAATTCACTCGATTTTATAACAGAATAATCAAAGAATTCAATCACCAATAATCCCCACAAGAGCATTGGTAGTCCTTAAATCTATGAAATCTAACATTATCCCTTACTATGATCTCTCTTCCAACAATCCCAGAGATGAATTTGATAGCCTGATGGCAATCTCCACATACCCGGAGGTTCTTGTTGATCCTTATGGAAATTCCCTGAGGGATGCAAATGAGACCAAAGGCGAGCGCAAGCTTCTCGCTGTGCTGATAAAGCTCTGATTCCTTCTCTTCATCCTCAAGCTCGTAGAGAGCGAATCGAGTGTCGGGAGTGTAACCGGCAGCCACCATCCTTTGAAGAAGCTCAGCCAGCAGGCCCTGAATCTCAGCATTCCTCTCATGGCTGGTGTCCTTTGCCTGGAAGACATGGACCGAGTTCTTCCAGGTTATCCAACTGCACCCAGGCTCTTTCTTGATTCCTACATCCTTCATTTCCTTCCTCACTTCTATGGATTCCTTCCACCTGAATCAAAGGCCACAGTGAGAATAGGAGAGTAATTAACAAGAATGCAATAACTAGAGAATTTAGATTTACATGAATATAGTTGGAGAATATAAATATAGTCCTAAATCAGAAATTAGGTGTCATAAGATGTTACTCAACAAATTGTGCACAAAAACGGATTTCCACTGTCGCCTGAATACTACGGTTTTTTCGACCACCATCCTTTGCCGACTACGGTTCTTCCAACAACCATCGCCAACTACGATCCTTCTGATCTTTGTCTCCCGCCGACTACAGTCCTCCCGACCTCCGTCGCTCACCGACTACGGACCTTCCGACCAACCATTGCCAACTACTAGGGGTGTCAATATTTGACGCAACCCGAAAACATGACTCGAACTCGACCCAAAAATTTCGGGTTAGGGTCAACTCAAACCCGAAACGGGTCAGGTTCAAGTTCAACAATTCGACCTGTTTCAAAAATCGGGTCGGGTTCAAGTTAAACCTTTGACCCGAAATTGACCCGTTTTGACCAAAAAATTCATTTTTAACCCGGCAACCCGAGATTGACCCGTTTTGACCTGAAAAGCGGAGATTGATTTATTTTTGGACCCGAAAATTAGTATTTTTTTGTTGGCAAAGGGTCATTCGGGCCGTGACAGACCCGTTTTAAAAAATGGGTTGAGTTCGGGTTGACCTGAACCTGACCCGTGACCCAAAATCGACACCCCTATCAACTACAGTTCTTCTGACCTTAGTCTCTCGCCGACTACGATCCTCCTTAGTCACTTACCAACTATAATCATTCCAACCACCATCGCCAACTACTATCCTTTCTAACCTCCGTTGTCCACCGACTACGGTCCATCCGACAGGTGGTCGCTTGACTACGGTCTTTTTGATCTCCGTCACCTGACTACTGTCCTTTCGATCACTGTCATTCGACTATGGTCCTTCCGACCTACATCGCTCACCGATTATGGTCCTGCCGCCCAAACGAGCATTTCAACATTGATTCTTTTTAACTCCCACCATATAATGCTCTTTATATGATGTATATTTGCAACATCGAGCCAAGACCTTCCTCCTTAGAAAGGGTCTCATTTGTAATCAATTTCACACACTAGTGGATCCATTCAAACAGGGTCAGACCTTGTGGTTTTTCTCCTTTTCAGGGGTTTCCACATAAAAATTATGGTCTCTTTCAAACGCTATAACCATACTCTCTTATTTGTTTGTGTGCTGGATCTTCGTTCAAAGTTAAGATGCTAAACTATATCATTCTCTACCACCGCGAATATTTCAGGACACAACAAGCCTAATATTAAATTTCATTGATTACTTATACATTGCATTCATCTCAAAATAATTAAATCATTTTTAAAATCATCATAATCAAAATTTTATCAGAGTATTTTGATTTTTTATTTCCAAATATTTTTCTTGAAAATAATAGGCTGAAATAACGGAAATCACTCACCTTCCAGCCGATGCAAATATATTTGAGAGCAGTACATGATTGCCAGAATCATAAGGATCAATTTCAAAAAGCTCCTCTGCAGCGATTCGGCCAAGCTTTTCTTTCCCATGAATCCTACAGGCATTAAGAAGCGCTCCCCACACCGACACAGACGGCTTCATCGGCATCTTCTTAATGATCTCATAGGCCTTTTCCTCCATTCCTGCCCTTCCAAGCAAGTCCACAACACAGGCATAGTGCTCATTCCTCCGCTTGATTCCATATCTCTCCTCCATCTCCTCAAACAATTCCATTCCTTCCTTCAACCTTCCTCCTCTCGCACAAGCCGACATTGCGCTCACCAAAGTAACATAATTAGGCTTAACTTCATCTCTTATCGTCATTTCATCGAACACTTTGAGAGCCATAGAAGCGTTTCCCTGAGCGGCGTACCCGCCGACCATAGCATTCCAAGTGACGAAGTTCCTCTCAGGCATCAATTCGAAGACTTGCTCGGCTTCCTCAATACTCCCGCACTTTCCATACATGTCTACTAAAGCGCTACCGACGAAGATGTTTCCGTCGATGCAGGATCGAACCGCCACGGCGTGAAGCGAACGGCCGAGCTCAAGGCCGGAGAGGCCAGAGCAGGTGGTGAGAAGGCTCGAGATCATGAAATCAGTGGGGATAAATCCTTCCCTTCTGGTTGCAAGGTAAAGTCGGAAGGCCTCTTCTTCTTCGGCGTTTTGTGCGTGCACCACGATCACAGAGCACCAAGAGACGTCGTTCTTGATGGCCAAGCTATCAAAAACCTGCCTTGCTTCAACCACGCTAGAACATTTTCCGTAGAAATCAACCAATGCGTTTCCTACAGACACATTGGTATCAAATCCGATCCTTATGATGAAGGAATGGAGCTGAGATCCGAGCCGGAAATACTCCACCGAGGCACAAGCGTTCAGGAAGGCGCAAAAAGAAACCTCATTGGGAATTTCAGCAGCCAATCGAAGGCGAATGAAGGCGTCAATGGCAGTTTCGGGGAAACCATCGAGAATTGCATTGGTCATGACAGCATTCCAAGCAACTATATTTTTATGTGGCATTTCATCGAACAGGTGGCGGGCGTGGGAAACAAGACCTGTCTTGTGGTACATATCGACGGCGGCCGAAGTGACGAAGACATCAGAAAGGAGGCCGGATTTAAGCGAAAAAGTGTGGAGCTGGAGGCCGGCGAGGGGGCAGCCGAGGCGAGCGGCGGCTTTGAGGAGGGAAGGGAGAGTGAAGTCGTTGGGGCGAACGGAGGAGCGGAGTAGGAGGGGGAAGAGGTTGAGGGCGAGGAGAGGGCGGTTGTTTTGGGCGGCACCAGATATGAGGGCGGTGAAGGAAACGACGGAGGGGTATGGGTCGAGGGAGAGGAGGAGGAAGGCGGGAGAAGGGAGGTCGAGCTTCGCGTACATGTTGATGAGGTGGTTGGAAAGGAAAGAAGGCAGGGGTAGAGGGTAGAGGGATTTGATGATTTGCGCGTGGGTGGAACGGCCGCGGAGAAGGGATCGGGAGGATACGGCGAGCTCGACGGCGCCGGCGAGGGCCTGCGGGCCGGTGGCGAGGAGGGAAGCCATGGGTTCATGGCGCGGGCTTTAGGAGGGAAAGAGTTCAGAAGTGAAGGGTGCGCTGAGGCTTTCCTCATTTATCTATTTTCATTAAGTGGCACGTATGTAAATCCCCCTTTCATTAATAGGGTTATTTATCATTTTTATTATTTTAAGGATTAATTGTCATTCATTAAACGTTAATTAATTTAATGACTTATTAATTACTTAATAATCTATTAGGTCAAAGTCAAATTGGTATAATGATGAGTAATAATTATTATTTTCCCTCTGAATTCCAACATGCAAGAGGCAAATCGTGGATTGGCATTCCTGTTGCTGCAGACAAACTGACATAGCAAAAGACAAGACTTATATATGCTAGGGTATGTGTGCTTGTTGATAATCAGGCGACTTACCCTGAAGTTATTCGAGTTTCTTTGGATGGTGATGAGGTATCCCTGAAAGTTCAATATGAATGGCGTCCTTTTCCGTGCGATCACTGTAAGTCTTTAATGCATTTATCGTCTTCCTGTCCGGTAAAACCTCATGTTGAGGAAGATTTAAACACTAAGACTAAAGTAGAAAATAGAGGTCGGAGTTTTAGTAGAAAGCCCCGTTACCGTGCTAAGCCAAAATCGCAGTTGGAGCAAAATGTTGATACTGCTGGGACCACTGATACGGGCATTGCAGATGAGATAGAAAAGCCAGCTGAAGCCATCACCAATGATTTAGGGCTTCCTCTTCATTTCCAGCCACATTCTCCCACTCTCAAAAATTATGCTACAATACTGACTATACCTGGTATTGATTCTACTACTTCCCTACCCAATTTGGAGATTGGGTCGGGTATCCCAAATCTTAATTCTCCTCAGGAAGTGAACTCTTCTGCCTCCAGCTCACAGAATTCTAAAACTTCTGATCTTCCTAAATCTATCAACTCTCCTAATAGTTTCGATGCTTTAACTATAGAGGATGATCAAAGCCAACAAGAGGAAGTATTAGAGGACAAGATTGATAAGCAAGTCAAGTTGCCTGATGACTTTCATATCCAGGGGAAAAATATACAGGCAAGTTCCAGTGAGGTGATCAAAAACTCTGCAAGGGGGAAGCAGTCCAAAAAATCCCAAACAAAGAAAAAGCATTAATGTCTTTTCCACCCATGGCGGTGTGGAATATCAGGGGTTTTAATCACCCTGATAAGGTTTTTGCTTGTAAGAATTTGATTCATTCCTTCAAACTTGATCTGGTTTGTATTTTGGAGAATCATATCAATGTCCAGTCGCTTCTGGATCCTTTTTTTGAATCTTCGCACTCTGTTTTTCCTTCCGAATCTAGCTGCCACAATTTCCATCTTAACTCTTCGGGTCGCATCTGGATCAAATGGAATTCTTCTAAACTTTGCTTCAAGCCAGCTTTGATTACTTCTCAGTTAATCTCGGGTACCATCTGGGTTGCTAGGCAGCCTATTCTTCAGCTATCTGCCGTTTATGCTTCTAATAATTCTACTGATCGTAAGGGATTGTGGGCTGATATTTCAAACTCAAATCATGATAATAAGCTTCCTTGGGCTCTTATAGGGGACTTCAACTGTTGTAGGTATGCATCTGAAAAACTTGGTGGAGCTCCTATCACCATGTCTGCTTTGAAAGATTTCAATGATTTAATTTTTTCTAAGGGTTTCAAGGAACTTAATTATGTCGGTTTCAAATATTCTTGGTATAATCAACGCAATGACAATCCCATCCACATAAAACTTGACCGTGTGCTTGTGAATGACCTCTGGTTGGAGTCTTTTGCTGAATCGTACTGTTCTTTACAAAATCATTCATGCTCTGACCACTGTCCTATTATTTTGCACTCTGGTTTGGTTTCTCAAGTGCATCACCGGTTTCTTTTTAAAAACTACTGGTCGAAGATGGATAAATTTTGGGCTCATCTTATTGATGTATTTTCTAAACATTCTGTTGGCAATCCTTTAACACACTTTACTGCTTCTCTCAAACTGTTAAAAGAATGTATTAAAAAGGAGGCTTGGTTTTCTATAAACGGTGTTAAAAAGTATCTTGATGGTTTATTGTGTAAACAAAAGGAGTTGTTGGGTTTGCTCCAGGATGATCATAACAATATGAGGATTAACATGGCTTATAAGGAGATAAATGCAGATATTGCCAACTTCACTTCTATTTTCAATTCCTGGATCATCCAAAGGGCAAAAGTGAACTGGTTGAAAAAAAGGTGAGGATGATTTAAAATTCCTTTTTGCAAAAATTAGATCCAGAAGGGGTGCTAATAAGTCTACGGTGAATCTCCTTACTTCTAATCCCAACTCTTCTAGATAGGAGGTTATTAAAGCTATCATGGATTATTATCAAAATCTTTACAATCCTGTTCCTCCTGTTAATTTGCGGCTTGAATTGTTTCCTGTTGGAACTAGGATTCCTGATGATTTTGCTCTTTCTTGCATATCTCTTGTGTTGGATGATGAAATTAAAAAGGTGATTTTCAAAGGTGCTTCCAATGCTGCCCCAGGGCCTGATGGGTATAACTTTCATTTTTATAAATCTGTTTGGCACATTATTGGGCCTGCGGTTTGCAAGGCTATCAGATCCTTCTTTCATAAATGCTATATGCCTAATGGGGTGAAAGCTACAGCTTTAGCTATTATCCACAAGAATAAAAATGCTACGACTATCTCTGATTTTAGGCCTATTGCATTGTGTAATACTCTTTACAAAATTATAGCTAAGGTGATTGCTGAGAGACTTAAGTCTATTATGAATTCTATTGTGATGGACACTCAAGCGGGCTTTGTCCAAACCAGGGTTTCCACTGACAATATCCTTTTGGCCAGTGATATTCTTGCTTATGTTGGTAAGAATAAGAGAGGTAACTATTTTTGTTCTAAACTTGATGTCAAAAAAGCTTTTGACACCGTTTCCAGAGAATTCTTACTCGCAAGGCTTATTCAAAAAGGTTTTCCTAATCTTTTTGTGAATTGGATCAAAGCTTGTATTTCTAATGTTAACTTTTCAGTGGTGCTTAATGGGGCCCTTGAGGGTTACTTCTCTTCTTCTGCAGGGCTTCGTCAAGGTTGCCCTCTTAGTCCTTACATGTTCTGCCTAGTTATGGACGCCTTTTCTAATCTCCTTGTGGGGAGGGGATTTAAAGGGATTGATTATGAGGGGTACACTATTTCACATTTGTTGTATGCTGATGATGTGCTTATTTTTGGAGAAGCTACTATTGACAATTTTAATTTGTTATCTAGTATACTTAACGACTTTGTCAATGCTTCTGGTTTATTCATCAACTATGACAAAAGTGCTATTATGCTTCCTAAACATTTGAAGAATTCTAGGGATATTTGTCAAGCCCTATCTATTGATAACTTGGTATCTAAAATTACCTATCTGGGTGTCCCTTTGTCTTTTTATAGGCTGAAAGTGGAAGATTTTTTGTCACTTATGGATAGTGTTAACAAAAAAATGAATGGGTGGAAGGCAAATCTTTTGTCTTTTGCTGGTAGGCTGCAATACATCAAATTTACTATACAAAATATCATTGCTTACTGGATTAGGGGATCCATTTTACCTAAATCTGTTTATAAATTTGTAAAAAGAGCTAGTTCGAGGTTCCTTTTTTTTGGCGACTCTCATATTTCTAAAAAGCTGCACATGATTTCTTGGGAAAAAATCTGCAAGCCTAAATTCAAGGGAGGTTTGGGTATTCCGTCCATTCCTGCTTTGCAATTTGCTTATAATTGTTCTGTCATATTCAAGATGTATAACGTTGCTTCCCCTCTCTCTAATTGGCTACGTATTAGATACAGATCGCCATGGAAACCACCTACTATGACGGCTTCTAAAGTTTGGCAAGCAATTTGTGTCACTGCTACTGTTATTAAATCTTGCTGTCAGTTTAAAATTACCCACAATGCTCTTATCTCTTTTCGATGGGATCATTAGTGCAATTTTGCTACTGTCTCTGAAATTTTAGGGGCTAATTACGGTGATATCATTCCTGACTGTCTTTTGAAGGACCTCACTTATTGCTTTAATTGGGTTTTTCCTGTGGATTTCCCGGGTATTGTGAAAAACTTGTGTGAAAATTTTAATATAGCTGTAGATGATGGGCATTGTCTGAGATGGAAAAATAGTGCATCTTATAAATTCAGTTACTTTATTGATGAGTATTATGCCAACTACTCTAACTGTTCTTGGTACAAACTAGTCTGGCCTAAAAGATATATCATCAAACATGCGGTTTATATGTGGCTTGCCCTTATAGGGGGTTTAAAAACTGTGGATGCCCTTCAAATTAGAAACATTAATGTCCCTGAATTGTGCAGCCTTTGTTTTTTACATAAAGAAACTGTTAACCACTTATTTTTTGAATGTCATTACACTTTTGGCATCATCTCCAAGCTTATTCCGGGTCTTAATAGCTTCCTTTTAAGGCCTAATATCATGCGGATTTTGGATTGGATCAATTCTAAGTATAAAGGTAAAGCTGATATCAAAAATTTCTATAAAATTGCGACTTCATGTGCTATTTATCATATCTGGAAAGAACGTAATTCCAGGAGATTTGGTAATTCTTCTATATGCCAAACTACTTTGATTCTTAATATTAAGAGGAATATATTTGATAAGGTGATGATTTGGAAAAACTCATGGCATTTGTTGGAGAATTTCTAAAAATGGTTTCTATCACGCGGTATGGTTTGGATGGGTGTATCTTTTTGGGGTTAATTGTGGATGATGTTTCTGTGGCTGCGTTTCTTATTCACTGGGTGAGGCCTTGTTCGAAGCTCTGGATATATTATGTAAATTTTGTGGCTGTTATCCTTTATTCTGTTGCTTGCTATGGCAATTTTATTGTGATCCTGGAGAATATAGATGGATGGATTTCATGCGTTGATTGGGAGGTTATGGTCTGGACGGATTGGTTTATTAACCAGGACAATGATGAAGCTCCAAACTGTTGCACAACGATTTACCACCTCTTGGATGGCCTTCGGGCAACCAGGGGTTTAGCCTCTCTAAAATTTTCTGAGTCCTGGTTTAAGAGTTTCTGGATCAAGCTCCTCTGTTTTTGGTTCAAATCTATTGTTGCTGTTACTGTTCGGCTACTCTTCTGTCATTTCAGGTGCTCCAGTATCCTCTCTCGGTATAGATGAAGGATTGGGCTTCCGGTTGCTGGATTCAGATGTTTTTGCCTCCATTGGAGCGGCTCAATACTTCTTTTTTGCCTTTCTTTGTATTGCTGATAGGCTTAGCTTTGTTTTTTCCTTACATGTAATTTTGGCTGAAAGGGTGGTATAGTTGGGGTTTTTTCTTCCTCTTTTTACATAAGGTTTTGTTTTTGCTTATGTAGAATTTTTATTTCTTGTAATCACCTTCTACATGTAACCTTTTTGTTATTTAATAGATGGGCTTAGGCCCCAATTATTCCCAAAAAAAATAATTATTATTTTTATTAATTATTTAATAATTTTCAAAGTATAGGTTTTTATTATATAAATGTTAATGCGGGAAACCCGTCTTCTTCCTCCCCGTTCTCCTCCCCTTTTATACAAAAATGCAGCTGCTGCTACGTTGCGCGGCGCACAATACCGGCGGCGAGAGCTAGAATTTCCGACAGAAACCGTGAGCCGAGCCGATCCGATCAATGGATTTCGGCGGCTGCGTAGAGAGATCTTCAGCGATGTCGCTGGAATCGAAGGAGGTTTTGCAGGAGGGAATATCTCTCGTCCTCTCCCAATGGTCGGCGCTTCAGATGGCGGTCCGGCACGAGTGTGGCGGGCTCGATTCCAGAAGCAAGTGCGATGAGCTCGCCGCAACCCTTCTCTCGTGGTTCTGCCAATCCAAAGGTTTCCTTTCTAATTTAAGTTGAGAAACCTTCTCTCGTGGTTCTGCCAATCCAAAGGTTTCCTTTCTAATTTAAGTTGAGAAACTGATACATAAATTTGAATTGAATTTCAATATCAGATATAGCTTGGGACAGCTTTCTTGCTGTTTATTCTTCAAATGGGAAGAGAAAATCTTCATGAATTTATTTTTATAAGAAAAAAATTATTCAACGATATTCTGATCAAATCTTTTTAATATGATGAGCGTTGAAGTCATTGGATCTATTTTGAGATAAATAGAATGGGAAGAGAAATTATTCATGAATTTATTCTTCTAAGAAGAAAATGCATGCTGGTAGATCATGATGACTGATGATTTGTTGCAAAAATCGATTGGAAACTTAATGAGATTTATTTCCATGATTGACAATTTTCAAAATGTGTTTATCACTTTCTATGTTTATTTTCCTTTATTTGCATATGATATCTTTAAGTTCTATTTTATAAAACGGCAGCTTCTGATGATATGATTATGAGGTAGATATATTAAATTTTGACTTATGCTAAAAAAGATAGAACTAGACTTAAAAGGACTTGATTATAAAAGATTAGAAATGATATTTCTTTATCAAATTTAAATGAAAATTTAAAATTTCGTTTAGATATATTAAATTTCTCTTTTGTTTATATAAAATAAAGAGATGATTTTTTATACCAATTATACAGTCGGTAACCTAAAATTCTATTTATTTATGTTTATTTTTATTTTCTTTTGTTCCATGTAATACAATACAGATTGCAGAGCAGCTGCTGTTAATGCATGAAGACTGTCTTTGTGGCAATTATTATATGATTCAAAAGCTACGTAGATGAACTATTTCAGCTATTGCTCTCCAATGCCAACGCAAAGCAGTGAACATATATACCTCATCTACAGGATTATTAGTGTCTACTGGTCTAAAGAAATCATAATGGTAGATATTTTACAAAAATTATTTGGGACGATTTTTTTTACTGTTTGTTAAAGCAATTTTTTAATTTTTTATCTAAAAATTATTTTAAAAAACAATAAAAAAATCATCTCAAACAAATCCATCGTTTCATCTTTCTACTTTCCATCATTTTTTTTACTGTACCATAACCACCCCTTGCTTGCTTATGGATATTTAAGCAAAGTTTTCGTGCTCTTCACTCTTTTAATTATTCATTTTTATTTGCATATAACTATAAATATTTGTCAAACATTGGATGCTAAAAACAAGTGGCTTAAAGCACAGAAAATGTTTTATTCCTTGCATGTCCTGACAATGGAGGGTAAGGTAAATCTTCTATAAATTGCAAGGTTGACCTCTAAGTACCTGAAACCCGATCCAAAAAAATTCAGGTTTGGGTCAACCCATTTATATAATAGGTCGGGCTCGGGTTCAGATTTTTGACCGGTATGAAAAACGAGTCGGGTTCGGATTGACTCGAAAACTTGTGGGTCAACCTGACTAACTCGTGAGTCGCAACCTTGGCCTAGTGTCATGACTCATACTCATGTCTGCCTAGCCTAGTCGCCACAGACCGCATGTCTGCATGGTCGACTGCCGACCCTCGACCCCGCCCCAACGCCTCCAGCCAACCAGCACCACCCCGCCCTGTCACCTCCTACCCTCCTCGCCCGGCCTCACTTGCAGCCTGACCAATTCACTGCCCACATCCCGACTCCAGAATCCTCCAGCCTACGACAATTCACCTCACATGCAAATGCAACCTCACCGGTCACCCCCTCTGTTCGCCCAGGCCCAGACCTTAATTCCCTATGCGGCACGGCTCAACGACTACGCTAATAAAAGGAAATCCATATCGGTTCGAGTTCGCGGGTCGGGTCAACACAACAACCTGCACGGGTCGAGTCCATGTTGTATATCCTGACACGTCTAGTTAAACATATAATATTCGGGTCAACTTGTTTACACTAGGGTCAACTCAAGTTGGACCCAAACCCAACCCGTTGACCCGAATTAACACCCCAAAATAATATCATTCCAATCAAAGCAAACTTCACTCAATATGGTGATATCTTCATCCAAAGCCAATTAGTAGGTCCATAGCACTATCATATAAACACAACAAAAACAACAAGACATGGGGTCAGCTACATGAATACTTTTTCTCCATTATGTTATGTTAAAAATCAAATTCTAATTTAAATCTAATAAAGAAAAATCATTTCTAATATTTTCTAACCAAGTCTTAACATAAGTCAAATATACTACCCCTACTTTCCTAAAAGGGTCATCAGAAGGCCGCCGTTTTATGTGACCAAACCATCTAAGACGACTCTCTCTAATCTTATCTTCCACTGGAGCTACTCCAACCTTTTCATCTGTATGCTCATTTCGTATCCTATCTATAAGGGTAAAGCCACTCATCCACCTCAGCATCCTCATCTCTGCAACACTTGACTCAGTATTATGCTTCTCTTTTAATAGACAACATTCGACACCATAAAACGCTATCATATAAAGAAAAAAAAACATAATATTAAAAAAATGATCATTTGAAGACATCACATTATCACAGATGCCAAAAATTAAAAAATTTACCTCAAATCACATTATTGTCCCAACCAAAATAAGGTTAAGGGTTCGGATAAACTGAATCAACCCGAAGCAAAACCGAGTAAAATAGAAGCTGAACATCAAAGATGTTCACTGTCTTCACTCACCATTAATACATGCATAATAGTAGAATGTGCACTCATTCTATAAATCTACATATTTCCTTTCCTATGTGAGGGAAGATAAATAACAATGCTCGGAAAAAAAAAATATAAATATTTGCAGGATGAAGAATTTGGCTCCATAAAACCTATGCACCGGAAATATTTTAGGAATCAGAAGCCTCTGTTGTTGGAAAAATTATTATGTGTGGTCATCGGATTGTCCATAGACGAATCAAAATGCGCCACGTCACCCGGTACACAACAAAAAGGTGATGTGGAGCATCATGATTTGCCTCCGAACGGCCTCCAGTGACCGCACATAATAATTTTTTTCTACTGGTGGCCTTGATTCATAAAGGCTTTGTCAATTGTAATACCAAAGCTCGATGAACAAAAATCTCAACCTCTGTTTTGCAACTTGACTTGAGAATACTCTTCAATCATCGATCTTGTTAATGAGGGCCTCAGAGACTGCATGGAAGCCTGGAAATGCCGATCATAAACAGTATCAGCAGTGATATCTTCCCTAAGAGCAACCATTCCTGCTTCCCTGCAGAGTCCTTGAAGATCTGCACCTGTGAAGAGATCTGTCTTATCTGCGATCTGTTTAAGGTCTACATCTGCACCCAGCTTCATTGTCCGCGTATGAATGCGTAAAATTTCATAGCGGCCTTCTATGTCTGGTGGTGGTACATACAGTACCTGATCAAGGAAATGTTGCAGTTCATTCAAGTCATGAAATAAGCAGAATTGGACAGAAAGGCAAAAGTTAGATCAGACTCAAGCAGGTTCAAATCAGGTAGATTTTGTCACGCCTTGATGGATATGGGTATCAAGTCATTCATGGGTATCAAATCATGGTGTACGCAGGTTAAGTTCTTCATCATTTGTCATATTCTAACTATTGGGGGCATGAATCCTCATTTTTTCATTCACTCCTATTGAATGCCACATGAGAGGTTAAACTTATGTTTTGTATTTTTTTTTTTTAATTCAATCTAAGATATCTTACGCCTATCCCTTCCTTTCCTACTTAATCGGCACTAAATTTTTTTTTTAAAAAAAAAAGGCACCACATGCACCTCAAGAGTGGTAAGATGCAAAGAGATGAAATAATGTGTCATTTGCACTTAGCATGTATCATAACATCATGCGTATGGTGGAAATTTTTAATTAGCATTTTTCATACTTCACCCTTTTAATAAATAAACAAAAAATCTTATTTACTACAGAATCTAACCACAGCACAAACCTGACTCATAAAATAAAATAAAAAACTAGACCACAACCACACAGTCTACACCTCCGCATTCCAAATCTGATCTGGGAGAGCAGAGTCCAATCTTGATCACCACAACAACTCCGACTATAAAAGCCCTGGTGATGGCAATTAAACCTCCAGGTCAGCCTTCTATATCCTCCTTTTTTGGCGCTTCTGATTCATATGCTTGATCCTTCGGCTTCTCCTTTGAGAGCTGATTGAACAATTAAATGCTCTTTTCCCGCCTCTATAAAAGGGCTGAAACTTTATTGTAAAAAACAGCTTTTTGTAAGAAAAATTGAACCAGAGGGTTTCCTTCGTGGTTTGTGAGCTAGTTGATGAGGACATCGGAAGATCAACGGCTACATTCTAGAGCTTATTTTATTTTATTTTATTTTTTATATCTTATGTACTAGTTTATCTTATATTACTGTTTTTCCCATTTTACCCTTAGGTGTGGTCATATGGTGTTGTAACCCGAAGTGCATTTTAGTCTTTGCTATTTTTCTTTTCATGAGACCTATTTATAGGCTAAATCTCTTGTATTGTAGGATGATGATTGATATGAAAATTTTCTTTTGCTTCTTCTTCTTCTTCTTCTTGTGTGATCACTAGAGAGAAGGGAGAGAGAGCTCAAGGTGAGCAAGTGCAAGGCCCACCAGTCGTTGGAAGAGTCCACGGCTCATGGTTAGTTTATTTATATCTTACTTGTGTGTTCTTTCATCTTCCTTTCCCCAATCCACCCGCCGGCCCCTTCCTACCTCTCCACCACCGGTTACTTAACCTCCTCCACCCAATTCCTCCTCTATTCCAACACCTCAAGCCGACCCGCTAACCTAGACCACCAACCCGACACCTAGCCGCCCCCTTCCCCCATTGCTGCCGGCCCCACTCTCATAAATTCCCCCTCATCATGTTGATTTCCATCACCATAATGACTTCCTACTTTAGCTTAAGCATGAGAGGGAAAGATTTGAGTTCTTTTGAAATTCAAATTCTTTCCATGTAGGGAATTCTAAATAAGGAAAGTTTTTGAATTTGAATCCCATCTAACCGCCAGCATCCCCATCACCCCTTGGATCCCACATTAAATTTCCCCATTAATTCCTTCCATATTTGATCCCTTGTAATTTAGGAAAGAATTTGAATTCAAAATTCAAAAATGATTTGAAATTTGAATTTCAAAAGCTTTCTAATTAAGCCTAACCCCTTTAGGAAAGAATCCCCAATCACCTTAAATCTGAAATAAAATCTCAGATTTAATTCCCAATTGCAATTAATGCCTTGGTCCACATACATTGATTGTGGACACAATTTTCCTCTCCCTCTCTTTATGGCCAGCCCCCTCTTCCCCTCTTGCTTAATTATTTTCTTCCTTATTGAAGGCTTCAATTAGGGAAATAATTAAACACCCCTTGTCCCTTCCCTCCTCTCTTATTTGAATTTCAAAATTCAAATCTCTGACTTAGATAACTCTGAAATAAATCCAGATTTATTTCTTTTAATCCTTCCCTCCATCACAAGCCACATAATCTGAGACTAAACTTAGATTTTCTTTTTGGAAGGCTTTCCCCCAACGCTAATATTCCCAAACTGTGACCTAGAGAGGAGTTAACTGCCTTCACAATGCTGCTGTCCAGCTTCCGTTCAGCCACGAAGTGCTGTCTCGAAAACTATAGAAAATTTCCTGGCTGTCCCACAGTCCCGAACTTCCAGTTTTGCTGTCCAAAATTTCTTGAGAGTCCAAACTGCTGCCGAGGCTCCCATAGCAGCTGTCCAATCATCCCTGGGTGCTATCCAGAAGAATTCCAGCAGCAGAAACAGCAGTTCTGTTGCTCCAAAATCCCCCAACTCTGAGAGCCTGATTTCGACGCTTGTAGCGCGACAAAACAACCACATATACACGCTTTTTTAGCGTGGTGGAAGTGCGTCGCGATGCTCTTGACGAATTGGGTAATCACTTGAAACCTCAATTTCGGCGTTCGCTGCACATCGGAAAACTGCCTATACACGTTTTTCTTAACTTGGTGGGATGAGAACCCAGTGCGACGCCTACGACGAAGTGGGGACACTTATAAGTACCCGCTCATGGGGAAATTACTACATTTTTTTAATCATGTGTTGTAGAAGATCAATACACATTTTTTTTCGTGTGGTGGGGAACGAAGAAAATACGACCGCGGTGTCCAAGGACACCTATAAGCATGAGCATGAATCTATTACACATAGAATGGTCCACTTACAAGCAACTGCAAGAAACTTATGAATGTCTACGTAAATGTGATGTAGAACGGGGAGGAGGCTTGACTCCTAAACGTCTGGGACAGCTGTTCTGAGCAGTTCTAGGCAGCACCGGTCGCTCCTAGAAGGGCTGGACAGCAGCAAACTGCTGCGGGAAACTCTGGACAGCATATTGGAGGTCTTGGGAAGATCCTGGACAGTTTAAAGATTAGGGAAGAAAATAATTCACTCCAATTTAAGTTTCAAATTCAAATGGATGTAAATTAAGAACTTTCCTAAAATAGAATCACTAATTTAGGAAAGAATTTGAATTTTGAATTTGAATAATTTCAAATTCAAATCATTCCCTAAATTAACCCAACCAAATTAGGAAATCCCAAAGAGGGTGGGAGGAAAGGTGAGGCCGGCGGCTAGGGAGCCATGGCCGGCGGTTGGAGGATCTTCGGGTTAGGTGGCCGGCGGCTTATGGTAGAAATGGAGACGACGATGGTGGACGGAGGTAGAGGAAGAAGATAAACGACTAAAAAAAAATAGGAGGGAACAAATAAAAAAAAAAAAAAAGAGACAAAAAAATTAAAGATACAACCGCGAGCCCGGACACATCCTGCGGCTGACGGGTACTACGTCGCCCTTCTCCAAGGGACTTGACGCCACGAGCCCGGACCCATCCTGTCATAGTATTCCCTACAAACAATGAAGTCCCTTGCAAACTACAAGCTATGTTCAAGGATAATGAAGAGCGTGTGATACTTAGCATCATTCACTCACAAATGATAGTAAAGGTTTAGGGCATCTTGAATTTGGTTGAAATTTTGAGATCTCTTATGTTTAGGTTTTCTTTGGGCTCTAGCGGCACCTAGAGATTTGGGAGAGATCGATCATCATCTTGAAGAGAGGTTCAATTGCATCTTGTTATTTTTCTTCTTCTACTAGTGCAGTTCTAGTATTTTCTCTCAGATTTCCTACCGTTTTGTTTGTGGGAAAAACTGTTGTTTACTACAGATTTTTGCTCTGTTTTTCATTATTTTGAGCTGTTTCCTATCAAATTCCCAACCATTTCATCTTATTAATATCATTCAACAATGGCAAATCCTTAGATAACCCTGTTTGAATCATTCTTCTATAAGACAGGGTTGAACAACATAGGCGGTATCATGTAGAGAAGCAAAGATCCTTAAAGCAGTTAAACCATAAATTGTGAATCATACCAAGTCAAAGCGGCCTGGACGCAAAAGAGCAGCATCAATTGCATGGGGCCGGTTAGTTGCAGCCAATACAATAATTCCCTGTAAAAGAGCCTTATCTTTATAGATCCAAAAGTTTGCCAATTAGAAGTTGCCAGTCGTATTTGAGATTAAGATACTACAGAACAGTGTTCTACCGTAGCCAATTCGAGGCCGTCCATTTCTGTCAACAGAGTTGAAAGAAGCCTTTCACCAATAGTAACGTTACCGTTTGAATTCCCACCATGACTTCCACTGAGAACAAAGAACATGTACAATATTAAGTGTAATGATTCTATAAAAAATAAACAGCAAATAAAAGTAATATTACAACCTTCGTAAATGTACAAGAAATACACGCAAACATGAGCAGGCATACAAGTATTCCAAATAACAATAGCTGAATTCATGCCATCTAGGCTTAGCATCTCAATTGTTGCAATAAAGCGGTAATGGATGTAGAAAATTAAGTCTCTGTGCTTGTTAAACAACAACAAGATGAGAAAAAATTCAAGTGTTTTTAGACCATTCTCTTATCCATACTATTGTTGAACAAGCAGAGGTTCAACAGAAGCTCCGGTTGTCAAAGATCAAAGAAGAAAAAGTTGACTAGATAAAGAAAAACAAAGCTGAACAATATCGAAGCATAAACAAATTATTAATTAATTCTCAATGGTAGGAGTCATATCTCTGGAAACATAACCTGAAACATAGGCAGCAGAAACCCAAATATTAATCATATGCTTGATCATTAAGACTTTGTTTGAGACGGCTTTCTTACTGCTTTTTAAAGCAGTTTTCTACTTAAAAAAAATTAATTTTTGTACTAGAAAGCCGCTTTAAGAAGCAGGAAGAAAATCATACCAAACAAAGCCTAAGTCACATTTATTAAAGCAAATGAACTATGATGGACATACGCAGATGTTTTCAAGAATCACCGTTTAGGAGCAATGGCATCGGCTTCATCAAAGAACAAAATACTTGGTGCTGCTAAACGAGCCTTCTGAAATGTCCTGCGCAATAATGCTTCACCCTCACCAACATACTTCGAATATAATTCAGCCCCACTGCATATGCAAGGAAATATGTCGCTCATATAGGAATACTTAATGGGCCTTAAAGATAAAAAGTTAAAGCATGATGCTTTTCATGAACTTGACAACACACTCCACATGGAAAATCCCAAACAGTTAAAAGTCAAACAATCAGTCCACAAAGATTCTATTAGTATGAAAGGAAAACTCATGATTATTACGGATACCTTGAAGAACTTTTTTCATTGTAAAGGATGATACGTACGTGATAAAGAATATCAGAGCAGCAAAGACATAAGAACAACTATAAATGTGTACAATAAGAGAGACAAGAAAAAGGTAGAGAAGGCAGCATGTGTTCGAAGAAAATGGTGGAAAATTCAAATTTTCAAGGTTTGCTTTGCTATAGATCTTGGCTTCGTTTGGGACGGCTTTCTTTCTGCTTCTTAAAGCCCTTTTTAAGTATAAAAATAATTTTTTTTGTAATTTCTGTATTGAAAAGCAGCTTTAAGCAGTAAGAAAGATGTCCCAAACGAAACCCTTGTGACTTAACATGCAGCTCAAAGCTGCACTTAGCCACTTGAAAAGTCACCAATTGACAGCAATCCTCTACAGAATCAGTGCATGCAGCTAAACACTTTGGAAAACTTAAGAGTCATCAGGTAATGAGTTTTAAGCTGCTTGGCTTCTCAAAATTCCATTACACCGCAATTTGATTTGTGTGGAAAATGAGCTAGAGAAAACACTAGGTGGGAACAGCACCTTTGCATGACTTCATGATAAAGGACAACGCAATAGCAGACTTTACTGAGAACAGCCGTGACATTTTTAATGTATCAAATAGCATAGCATGGCCTTGCCAAATGAAGCTTTGTCACCTTCACCATAACTTTTCAGGTATTACGCAGAGGGCAGAAGGTGAGGCCAATATTGCCCATCCTTACAGAAATAGCACCACTCCATCAATAAGCATAAATGACCATAGAATTTTATATGAATGTGGATCAAAGTAAATTATAGTATCAATAATGTTCATTTCCAATCAAGTGTTCATCTGAAATGCCTTTACTCCTGACAAGTAACATAAACATTTTACATTTTAAATAAAAACCCTATCCTGTAAATGATTATTTTCCATTTTTCGGGGGAAACCTACCTCAAGGAAAAGAAAGAAGCTTGAGCAGCATGAGCTACCGCTTTAGCAAGGGAAGTCTTGGAGCACCCAGGAGGGCCATGTAAAAGAACACCACGTAGTGGTGATATCCCCAACCGTGCAAAGGCATGGGAATGCTTGACGGGCCATTCAACAGCCTGTTGAAGCTTTTTCTGTTGCACAGATTAAAGAGAAAATTGATAAAATAATTTAGATAGTTTCAATTTTAGAAAGGTGTAACGAAATTTCTGACCTTCAAATCTTTTAGCCCTCCAATGTCATCCCATGATACCTTAGAAAAGTCTTTCGTAACACCTCTTGTGATACTCGGACCAACCTCAGATTTTGCGCCTTCCCAATCTTCCATTTTTAGTGTAGGTACCTCACCAGCTTTAGCCCCATTTGATGACCTGCGGTATGCGAGCCTAGCAGCTTCCCGGCATAATGCCTCTATATCGGCGCCCACATATCCATTGCAGGATTGAGCAATTACTTGTAGGTCAACTTTGTGATTTAGTTTTACATTCCTTGAATAGAGCTGAACATATTAATGAAAAAAAAATGGAAAATGATAAGAATAAAGAGCGCCATTAAAATTACAAACAACTTAAAAATATGCCTTAACCACATATCCACTCAGTTCCTAGATGATACAGGATAATCTGAGGTCAGGGTTTTCTAATATAACTAGAATGACATGACATATGCATCACATATCAAAAACTATTAATAGTAAATACCATAAACTTGCTTTCTTTAGACACAAGTCAATACAATAATTAGAACCTAAATGATAATGTAATGGTCAAATAAATAAATAAACTTTAACTTTGAACCATGTAAAATAAACAAGATGTTGTAATTTAATCACCACAGATAGATTTTCAATCATGCTAAATTTGAATAAAATTATGAACAATATCAAGCTAAAACAAAATATAAAGAAGAAATTAGATAAAAGGAAAAAATTCAAAAAATTAAGAAATCCACACCTCACACCAATATGAGGAGATGACTTTTCCAACATTAGGTAGTTACACCATTACCACACTTGAATTATATGGACTTTAAAATATCCCCACCGACTATGTTGAATATTTAAGAGATTCTTAATTACTTTTTGGAAAAAACAAATTTGTTATTAAATAAAACACCACCAAATAATTTTGATGATATTGTGAATGCTTTAAAATCTGGTTTGAAATTTTCAAAAGCATGAACTCCTATAATTAATTATCCCTCCCGACATAAAGAGAGAATTTTGATCAATTCTAGTCTATAGCTCTACAATACTTTGCTTAAGAAGCCTCATTGGGGGAAAACATATCATTATTGGCTCGGAGCTGATGGTGGAAAATGATGAGAAACCCGATCAATACTGCATAATTCCATCATATTAGATTGCTATGGACCCTAATCTACCAAGCAAATAGAAGTAGATGACCGAAGTTGAACATGCCTTGTCAAGTGCATCTCATGGTTCACAACTCATAGGCTTAGGCTTTGGGGAACATCCATACTTATGTTGTAACTATAATATGATGACATCGTCACAATCGAGCAAACCATTAGGTCAAGAGTTACACATCACGTCCTTGCTGACATGAAAGTTTTGGATATGATTATATTGATACATTTGATAAAATATTAGCTTGTTATGAGCTTTAATCGAATTTAAATTTCTCATCCTTCACAAACTAGTATGGTCGAAGGATGGTCACTCTAAATGTAATCAATCGATTATTGCTTCAATTTTTTACTTATTTTTTTGGCAACGTGAATAAGGTTAAACAAATTCCTTCCAATACAAATTTTGCTTGATTGCCCCCATCATCAATAATGAACTCAAAATATGTTTTTAATAGAATTTAAAATGACATTTTATAATAGCATCCTCTCCATTTATTATTATTAGTGATAAATTCAGCCATCATCAGGGATATGGCACGAAATATTATCTTTATAATTGGGAGCTTGACTTGGATGATGAGATAATCTGGTCAAGATATTCTCAAACCCATGATTGAGATATGAGCTTAGAGAGTTCATCATTATGATAACAAGTTCGATTTTGGTATTAACCCCCTTCAATTATAATATTAAATAATTAATCTCATCATCATGGTAAAGGCACCTCAACATGATGATAGTATTCTTATGTTTCAAATTTTATTCTCTCATTAGCAATGTGGATTAATCATTATTTCTACACATAAATTGAGGTTGAGGCATGTTTTCTATTATTTTACATAAAGATTATAGTGCCAAAAGTTTTGTTAACTCTGATACTTACGGATGTGATACATGCAAGGAGTTTACGAGAGATTAACAAGATAATTTATTAAAAGTTAACCAATATAAAATTAGGCGTCAAATCAAAGTAAGATTTTATAAATTCGTAGTCTTCCACTTGCTTAGGCAAAGAAGTATGTGCAGAATAACCAAAATGCTCTTAATCAAATACAAAGGCAATCATAATGTAACAACTTATAACACAAGTCTGAAATTTAATATTGAGATGTTCACCTTGAAGGTTTACACTCTCTACGGTTCTAGGGCTTAATAGATGAAGATCTTCTACACTAGACTTGAAATAGCCACTAGGAAGAAAGAGCCGAGGAACTTGGTCGTTGGGAAGGTAGCCGGAGGTGGAGAGGCGGGTGGTCGTCCAGTAATTGTCCACTCTCCAGTAGGTCTTTGTTCATCGATGACGTCCGCCGAGTGGAGGAGAATACGATCGACGTATTCCTCTACAGTGTTGTCGAATCCAAATCCAAGGTCGAAGAAAGGTGATTGGATGATGTCAATCTCCCCTTGAGAATTGCCAATGACGGGAAGGGTGGAAAATGTTCTATGCTTCTCTTGGTGTTTATCGACATAAGAGTTATAAGGCTCCAAGAGAGGGAGTTGCTGAGGGAGGCGGCTCACAAAGAGAGAGGGGCGGCTTGGGTGAGGTCTAAAGAGGTGTGGGAAGGATTTTAGTAAATCTGAATTTTGAATTCAGATTTTCCTAAGGGAGGGAAACTTTGATTTGGGGTTCAAATTAATTCCAAACGGGAGGCTTGATTGGGGCGGTAGCCAAGGGGAGTTTAATGGGGATTTAATGGGGTTCTAGGTGGCGAATTGGAGAGAGAAAAGGGGTAGAGAGGGGGCTGACCACATGAGGTGGAATTTGAGGTATAATTGGGGCTTGCCATTAAATCTGAGATTGATTTCAAATTTTAATGTGTTTAGGAGGTTTCCTAATATACGTTATTAATATGGAAAGTTTTAGAATTCAAATTTGAATTTGAATCTAAATGAGGCAACCTTCCAAATTAATGGAACACAATCTAGGAAAGTAATTAGGGATGATTTTGAAATTTGAATTTCAAAATCCTTGGGCGGTGGATTGAGGGCCGGCGACTTGTGGGGCTTGGAGAGGCCGGCGGTGAAAGGGCTGGCTGGGATTGGTGGTGAACGGGTGAGGGGAGGCCAGCGACACAAGTATGAGGCGGTTGGATTGGGTTCGGGCTTTGGGAGGAGGGAAGGTGATGGGGGAAGAGGAGGAAAGAAGAAAAGAAAAGTTTGGAGCCGCAAACCTTGGAATCCTCCGAAGGATGACGGGTATTGCTCTCACCCACCTAGGGTCTCTCCTCTCAAGAACTCACTTAGAGATCAAGCAAAGAAAACTAAAATTTCATTCAATATTCATCATCTGATACAATAGAGGAGGCCACAATATATAGGCCTAAGGAAATAAAAAATACAATGATGCAAATGCCCTTGGGGCTACAACTCAAGACGACTCGAAAGAAAGGGTACAATCGTAAATAGCAATTAATCCATAAAACATCAAAATAAAGACTAAGCATCAAAATAAAGGTTGTGGATCGTAGCCATCGATCTGCTCCTCCTGCGCTAATATACTCGTCGAAAACGTCTGTCGATGTCCTCATCACTTACTAATAAAGGATCGTGCTCAAAAGTAGAATTTACAACTTAAAGTTTAAGGAAGGTCTAAAGGCTGAGACTTGCAACCTATGATGCACGGACACGGACACGGCGACACGGACACGACACGACACGGACACGGGACACGGCTTTTTTTGAAAATATAAGACACGGGTACGGCGCGGACACGACAATATATTTTTTTATATAGTGTATATATATTAATATAATATCATATTAAAAATGTCAAATAATAATAAATGAATGGCATGATAATTTGTCTAGCTTATAATATAAAATATTTAGTACAAAATATCTAGTACAACCATAAAAATATAAGCAAATAATAACTTACTACAACATCAAGCATTTAAGCTTCAACTACTAGGATTAGCTTTAAATGTTTGTTTTTGGCCTTCAATATCATCATCATTAAATATCACTACTTTCAACTCTGGTTCAACAAAAGAAAGATTTGTAATTGTGCAAAAAGAGAGGAGATGAAAATATCTTCACTGTCAAAGAGAAATAAAAATGAGAATATTCGATGAATGGGTATTAAATGCAAACGTTGATTTGGTGTTGTCGATATAAAATAAGAAATTTAGTTTAAATCTCGCCAAATATAAGAGATTATATTTTTAAAAAATTATAAAATATTTAAGATACACGTGTCCACGCGTGTCAAATTTGTTTTTAATATTTTTTTAATCGGACATATTTTCGGCGTGTCGGAGGAGTGTCGGAGGAGTGTCGGACGAGTGTCGTGTCGGACACGGTGTCGGACACTGCACGCCACTTTGAGGAGAAGTGTCGGTGCATCATAGCTTGCAACCCATCTCTATAGGCAGGGCAACCCATAATTTTACTTTAACTTATCTTTTTTTTCTTTTTTTAATGTTTATAAAAATAGGAGTCTTATCAACTCCATGCGCTTAATCATAAAGAATAAGTTCAGCTATGCATGTATGTGTGTAGTATGTGATTTCAATGTCCGAACAGAAATTTTATGCATAGATTTTATTATGGTTACAGCTTACATACTAATGATTTGGAGAAGCCCAAATGTTGGACATACATTCCTTTCCTAGAAATAGTGTGGCCCAAGAGCATTCTCATTGAATAAATTTTTCTTCATATGAAAGACTTTAAAGGGATCATGCAAATTAATTAAAACTTATTTTGGGTGTGCCTCTTGTTGGATTGTTGGTCAAGATAAAAAAAATTAGTTTGATTGTGGTAAAGAAGATTCACTTAACCTTGGTAGCCATTGCAATAATGCAAGTTGTAGTATCAACTCTTTTTTTTTTTTTTTCAGAGCAAGAGAATTGATGAGGACATCAGAAATATACGACTAAGATCGTGCCTTTTATTTTGATCTATTTAATGTATTTGATTTATTATTGTTCATTTTCCCTTTCTACCCTCACTTGAGGGCTTTGTCTTATGTATGCCCTAGGGGCAATTGTGTCTTTGTTATTTCTCCTTCATATATTTGGCTATTTAAAGCCACCCTCCTCCTTTGGAGAGGTTAATGAATGAATATTATGAAAATTCCTGCACTTGTGTGTTTTGAGAGAGTTTGAAAGTTCTTAGAGAGAGCTTTGGAGAAGTCCCTTGGTGAAGGGCAACGGATCACCCACCAACCTTGGAAGAGTTCAGGTTCGTGGCTTTCTTGTTATTCTCTATCCTTTCTTTCATCCTCCCCTTTCCCCTTGTGGTTGGATTAGGGTTTTCCAAACCCAAAACCGCCGGCCTCCACTTCAAGTCCAAGCCCCACCACCGGCCAACACTCATTCCCCTTTCCACCTAGTCGTCGGTCATCCAAGGTGGCTCACCCCTTGATGGGTTGATCCACTTAATTCCCACCACAACACCTCCAAAACCCACAAACCCTAACCCTAGCCTAGCCGCCGGCCACCCCATCTCCCTCTTGCCTCCAAATTTCAAATCTCTCCACCACCTCTTTCCTTTTCCATACAAATCATTTTGAGAAAGCTTTCATTCCAATCAACCAATCAAGATTTGAAATTCAAATTGTTTCCTAAAATAAAGTTATATTTTAGGAAACTTATCCAATCCAATCTAAATCAAATTTGAATTGGATTGGAATTGATTTCCCCTCCTAGTTCCCACATCCTTAATGCTTTCCAAAATAAAACCTCTCACGTGGGAAAGAATTAAATACTTTCCTAATTTAAATCATCTTAACTTTCGAAAGAATTCAAATTTCAAATTCCAATTAAATTGAATTTGAAATCCTTTCCTAATGAGATTGATTTATTTTTGGAAACTCCCAAATCCTCTCAAAACTGAAATTTATTAGAGAGTTCTCTCTAATTCTCTTTCCACAATTAGCCACCTAAGTTTAGAAAGCAATTCTAAATCCCCCCAATTAAATCCCCATGTATGGCCAGCCCACTTCCTCTCTCCAATCCCCTTAATCTCCATAATTACTCTCATTAATTCCCCACCCAATCTCAACCTAAGCTGCCGCCCCTTTGGATTTCCCTAATCCTAAGCACAATTCTCTCCACCCATTAGTTTCCCCACCTAGTTCTGACTAGTTCTACATCTGTCCAGAAATTCTGGATTGAAAGGAAGCTACCCGGATTCCCAAACTCAGCAATAATACTATCCAGACGGGACCCTAGCAGCTGTTTACTCCCTGTACAGGTGCTGTCCAGGAATTCTAACTGCCCTCCTTGCTGTCCAGATGTTTGGAGAAGGCTCCAACTGCTGCCCGGACGTTGAAGTGTGCTGTCCAGGAACTCCAGCATCTTCCCCTAGCCTCCCGACCAGCAGAAGTGCTTTTCCAACTGCTGTCCAAGAAGGACAGCTTGCTGTCCACCAATTCCAGCAAGAGAATAACAACAGTCTTGCGGCCATAAAGCTACCAACTATTGTCCAGCATTTGAGAAGGTTGAATTTTAACAAAGGGTGACCTCTTACCTTCTCTCTTACTTTCCTCATCGATTCTTGCTTGTGGTTTTATTTGATTCATGCAAAATCTTGCCAAGCTCCGCTAAAAGCTTAGTATTTGGTAGGAAGTGTGTGAGAGATCTTTCATAGCAATACTCTTATTGTTAGACTAGGGATTTCTTGTTGAAACCCATCTCATATGCAACGTCAAGAGCAATTGATTGTTTTGTGGGTTTTTACTTTTCGCAAGTGACTTGGCCTAAGCTTTTGTTACCGCTCTTTGTGTTTTATTTCATTGTCTAAATCACCTTCAAGTTTTAGTTAACTTGCTCTTAATCATCAAGCATGCAAAATTCTTATTTAAATCATATTTTCATATATGTCCTGCATCAAGAACAGGATTCGCTAGCTTCATGAATGTTCCTGAATGGTCCAAATATTTTATAGAGTTTTTACAATTTTTTAAATTTCTTCCTAAAATATAAAGATTTTCTTCATTTTATTTCCCTTATTTTCCTTTCTCGCTTTCTTTCATGTTTTTTTTCAAAAATATCACCAAATAACATCAGAACCCCTCATTCTCTCAATGCATTTGAGCACGAACACGTGAACGTGAAGAGAAATTTGAGTCACAAAATGGGTTTTGCACATCTTTTAAAGTGCTTATCTAATTTTGGAGCATCATGACTAGAGTCGCTTTCATTAAAAAGCATGCACAGAGAGTCATATTGATTTCCTTTTTTATGTTCTCATTGGCAATGTCATTTTCATTGTCATGGGAATCTACTTCAATTTCATGTGCGTGAGCTTGATTAGTTTCCAATGCATTAATTTGTGGTTTAACCACATTAATATCATTATATGATTGTTTTCATTTATTCATCAATTTGTGATGAGGACATCGTCAGCATTTATTCCAAAGATCAATTTTTGCTATAGATGATAATTTTATTTTGGGTTATTAAGTTACAATGGATCTCTTTAATTTCTTAAAGTGACTCCTCCATCGCATGTACGTTTCACATCAATTTGGCCAACAGATTTTGCAAAATTGTGAAAATATCATCCCTTCCCAAGATCTATTAAGAAAGAATGACAATTAGCCTCACTCATTAATGAGTGATATGTTGACAAAACATATAGCCTTTAATAACAAATTTAAAGCACGGTCAGAGTTAAGGCTTCTAAATGTAATTAGAGTGATGTGATGGATGTAGATCACACAATAAAAATAAGATTTGTATATCATACATCATTAAATATCAAAACAACTTGCTTTATTTAGATGCAAATTAGTAAATAAAAAAAATGACAATCCAAATTATAAAATAATGATAGAATAAACATAGTAATCAAAACAAAATTTGTACCACAAAAGCAATTATAGCTTAATCATCAAAAATACATTATTATTAGTATCAAATTTGAACAAAATCAAGAAAACTAACAGTAAAAGAAAATAAAATAAGCTAACAAATCAAGTCAAGAAAGGAATCTATTTATAGACTCCTCATCCTTAAGTTGGTATATATGGTTTGTCCAATATCAGCAAAAAATTACTTTCAGACAACCTTCAAAAGTTTATAATTTAACATTATCCAACAACAACAACAACTGATCCTTGATGTAACCCAACCGAAATAGGGAAATACTTGGTCAATCCACCTTGTGTTTGAACACAAGTAATAGCTCCTGCATACATATCTTTAATGATTTGAATATAAGCATTATTGACTCCAACATTATCCATAAATAAAAAATTTTTAACAGCCCATTCATGCATCTGTGAAACAGAAATATAAGAATATTCGCCAGTAATAGCACACGCATGCCCACAATATCAGAAGGATTGCCATCAGTAAAATTACTCGTTAGAAAAGGACTATAGGCCATAGTCCCAAACCCTCCACATATAGCGGGAAAAATAAGAGGCAGCTATAGTTCCACACACTCAAAAAAAAAAAAATCATTGATGCTAATATATAAGCACTTCTATCTACCAACACTCTGATAGGCCAGTCCCTGGACCGACTGGACTGCTCCTAGTGTTTAGGAGGCAGAACAAGGGGGGTTCCGCCCCACTTCATTGTCGCCTCCGCTTGTGTGGAGTTTAATTAGGAGGGATTTAGGGGGAGGATTAGGAGGGAAAATACAAATAGGAAGGGTGATTTTGGGATTTTACTTAATTATTGCATGCTTAAGTATGTTTTGGAGGCTAGGGTTAGGTTCTTTTTTTATTATTTTTATTATTATTTATTATTATTATTATTATTATTATTATTAGGGTTAGGTTATATCTCTGATTTTTGCTGAAATTAGGGTTCTTGTATTCTTGAGTGGGCTCTAGCGGCATCGAGAGAGTTGGGAGAGCCGGATCTTCCTCTCCAATAGAAGATCCATTGCATCTTGTTGTTTTTCTTCATCTATTATCAATTAAAAGGTCCAATTTTGATTTTTCTTCCAAGATATTCTCAATTCCTATTTTGCAAAGTGTTGAAATTAATTTCAGCAAAAGGGAATTCTTATTTACTACAAGTGTTTCCTAACACACTTTAATTTGCTCGTCCGCTAACAATGTATTAAATTGCATGCTGCCGACAATAATGAGCAAGCATGAAAAATGACAAGTTTGCAATGGAATGAAAGTAAGTGTATCAAACCTCAAGAATTTTTAACCGTTCATCTGCAGTTGGAACACTAATTTCAATTTCAGCATCAAAGCGCCCTGGTCTTCGCAAAGCAGGATCAATTGCATCAACCCTAACAAGACAATGTTTATGAACATCGTTAAAAAAAAAAATTTCTTTTAGATGAAACAATTTATGCTACAACACCAGGATATGATAAATTACACATGAATTAAACATAAATTATTAAATTTAACTTCACAGTTAGCTCCCGAGATTATTTTTAAGCAAGTTTACCTATTGGTTGAAGCTACCACGACAACATGTGGAAGGGATTTTGATGAAGTTCTGCTTCCATCCATCAAAGTTAAAAGTTGGCCGACTATCCGAGTTTCTTGTTCCTTCCTAAGTCATAAAGTTAGCAAAAGCGTGAGAATGAGCCTGCTTGTCCCTTTCAAATAAAGAACTATAGACATGAATTCATGCACCCACCCAAAAAGAACTTCTTAAATTTATACCTATTATCACGGTGTGGGCATATGGCATCAATTTCATCTATGAAGATAACAGAAGGCTTCCCCGATGATACATATGAATGTGCTTGAGCAAAGGATTCTCGCAAAAACTTCTCACTTTCACCAACATGTGCTCTATGGAGAGATGATGTACTAGAAGCACATAGATAAGAAAAGAAAGGAACACAAGAAACCAGGTCAATAAAAATGAACTAACGGAATCAGCATATCAACCAATCACCAAAACATAAAATAGATATAAAATTCTCTTATATTGAATGGATTACCTTATCCTAGTTAGATGTGCACCACTCTCTAGAACCACAGCTTCCACCAAGCTTGTCTGGGACAATTGAAAATCAAATTGACGTATGAATTTTGGCACGTTTTAAGATAAGGTTCATACAAACAATAATAGAAGTGAAGCAAAGAATTTTGGCCTTCAAAAATCCATGATCCAACAATGTCCTCCTCAAACACAATTTTTTATCTGAATTAGCAAGCTTTTTTTTTCAGTCGTGATTCATAAAACTGTAGAAACTCTTAACAGAGCTATGAGTTTCAAGAACTCATTGGAGAAGAAGATGAACAGTAAAGTGGAAATATTATTTCGTATTTCTCCTTGTACCCGGTTACAGACTGCCTATATATAATGTCCTTAGCAAATACTTTACACGTGTATAACACTTATACGTTTACAAGAATAGTAAATGTATTGCTGACTATACACAAACAATTCAAGCACTCTAACATTCCCCCTCAAACTGAGAATTGGAGCCAATGGTCAGTTTGGATCGAAGTAACTTGAATCGAGGAGTAGACAAAGGTTTGGTAAGGATGTCCGCTAGTTGATCGACTGTGCTAATGGGAAGTAGCCGAATTACTCTGTTTTGAATGTGCTCCTGAACAAACCTTTGATCAATTTCAATGTGCTTAGTACATGCATGAAAAACGGGATTGTTGGCCAAGGCAATGGTTGAGGTGTTGTCACAGAACATGTCAACCGGCGAAGTGTGATCCAGACGAAAATCAGCGAGCAGCTTTTTGATCCAGATGGTGTCCGTCGTGGCTGCGGCTAAGGCGCGATACTCTGATTCAGTCGACGAACGGGACACGGTAGACTGTTTCTTAACTGTCCAGGAAACAAGAGAATCACCTAGAAATGTGCAGAACCCAGACGTCGATTTCCGGGTGACTGGGTCCGATGCCCAGTCCGCATCGGAATAGGTCCTGAGCAAGAGAGTTGATCTTGTTATGGGAAGACCGAAATCAGTAGTTCATTTGATGTACCGAATCAGCTTTTTCAACATAAGAGTATGAGACGAGGCTGGGTCGTGCATATGCTGTGATAAAGCATTGACAACGTATGCTATATCTGGTCGAGTTAGTGTAAGATATTGAAGGGACTCGATTAATTTTCGATAGGCAGCCGGAGAGAAGCAGGGAGCTGACTCAGACGTGTAACCTGTTGGCTTTGTAACACAGGGATTAGCGACTGAGTTGCAATTTTGCAACTCAACTAGTTCAACTATAGACTTAGCATAAAGAGTTTGAGAAAGAAAATACTTATCAGAGGTGTTGTCGATCTTGATACCCAAGAAGTGATTTGCCGGACCAAGATTTTTCATGGTAAATTTAAGCTGTAACTGTTGTACTAGCTGTTGAATAACGGATGGGTCATTGCCGGTGAGAAGAATATCATCGACGTAGACAAGCAAGTAGAGTTGCAGTTGATCACGATGGAGAAGGAGCGAGGGGTCTGCCTGGCTGTGCGAAAAACCGAGCTGAAGAAGATACGAGGTAAACGTTGTATACCACTGACGAGGAGCTTGACGGAGACCGTAGATAGCTTTACGAAGACGACAGACATGATGAGGATTTGTGGAATCCTCGAAACCTTTTGACTGTTTCATGTATACGACCTCGTTGATATCACCGTGCAAGAAAGCATTAGTGACGTCCAATTGAAGAATTTGCCAACGATAGAACAGCGCAATGGTGAACAAAATGCGAATAGTGGGAAGCTTAGCAACTGGACTGAACGTGTCGCTGTAATCTAAACCATATTCTTGTTGGTTTCCGAGTGCCACCAGTCTAGCTTTGAACCGAGCTACCGATCCATCAGAATTATACTTAGTGCGATAGGTCCATTTTGATCCAAGAACCGAGCACTTTGATGGAGGAACAACTAGATCCCATGTGCCTTGTTTTTGAAGTGCAAAAAACTCTTCTGCCATGGCACATCGCCATTCAAACTTTTTGCTGGCTTCGGAGTAGGAGGTAGGATCTAGAATGGATTGTTCCTTATGTAGCAGATTAAGTTTTTGAATTGGTTTAAGGGAGACAGTTTGACGTCTTGTAGTCATTGGATGTTTTTGGTAGAGAACAGCCGGCAGAGTTTGGAGGAGGCTATCCGAAGTTGGGATATTGACATCCGGTGTAGCAGAGGAGGGAGCGGAAGGATGAGAGGCGACATCAGGATCCTGAAACGTAGAGGTAGGAGCACGAGCTGAACCTGATGAAGAGGTGGATAACTAAACAGAGGCAGGAGTCAGTAGTGATGGTGGTAGAGGCGTAACATTAGGCGATGCAGCAGATTTCCTGTTAGTGAAAGGAAAAATTGTTTCGTTAAATTGTACATGTCGAGAATAAATAACTTTGTTTGTTACCAAATTTTGACATTTATATCCTTTCATGATGTCTGAGTAGCCAAGAAGAACGCATTCTGATGAGATTGGGTTGAGTTTATTACGAAGCATTCGAGGAATCAATGGGTAACACAAACAGCCGAACGGACGAAGATGATCGTACGAAGGAGTGGTGTGAAACATTCTGTAGACAGGAGTAGAGTTGTTGATCGTAATGGAAGGAAGACGGTTAATAAGATAGATCGCTGTGTAAACTGCATCAACCCAATATTCCATAGGCATTCCGGCATTGTGGAGAAGCGTACGAGCGGTGGATATGACATGCCTATGCCTCCTTTCGGCGACCCCATTTTGTTCAGGGGTATAGGGACATGTTGTTTGATGAAAAATGCCTGCATTCCGAGTGAATGCTTGGAATTTGTGATTCATGAATTCGCCACCACCGTCTGTCCGAATGGCCTTGAGCTTGCGGTTCATTTGACGTTCAATAAACGACACAAATTGTATAAAAATATTTGTAACTTCAGTTTTAGAAATAAGCGGAAATAACCAAGAGAATCTGGAGTAATCGTCAATGAAGATTACATAATAGCGAAACCCCTGATGAGAGGGAACCGGAGCCGGTCCCCAAACATCAGAGTGAATGAGTTCTAATGGGGCATTAGTGCAGCTAGTAGAATTATCAAAAACTAATTTGTGTCCTTTACAGGAAATACAAGAATTACAAATATTTGAAGAAGAGGAGATACAGAGAGAGGGATTAGTAGTTGTGATCTGCTGAATGATGCGAGTGTGCGGATGCCCCAAACGCTGATGCCAGTTGATAGCAGATTTTTTGGTGGCCGAGAGACCCGTGTGCTGAGCTGGTCAAGGTGCTGCACTTGTACAACCCGTCCTTACATGGACCTGTAAGAATGGTTCGATTGCTCTGCCGGTCCTTGAAAACAAAACCATTTTGATCAAATATGATTGCTAAGTTATTGTCTTTAACAAGCTTAGAAATTGACAGCAAATTATATGATAAAGAAGGAATGTGTAGAAGTTTAGAGAGAAGAAGCTTACTATCGGGGGTAGGAAGGATACCAGTGCTTGTGTGGGCAATAGGAACCGACCTTCCATCCCCGATTGTTACCTTATCAGGTCCATTGTAGGTAGTTGAATTGGACAGGTTTTCCAATGTGTTGGTCATATGAGCGGAGGCACCCGAGTCGATGTACCAGTCGGTAGACGAACTGTTCTCGATACTGGCCAGAAGCGCATTTGGTTTCTTGTTTGATTGCCGATTTGGCGTGTAATTAATATTAAGTCGATGCCAACACGCATCAGCCTGATGTCCCTTCTTCTTGCAAATTTGGCATAAGACGCCGGAGGATTGGGATGAGCGGTTCAAAGAATTGTTATCGGAATTGTTTCGAGTCCGACCACGACGACCGCGACCTCTGGACGTGTACAGCGCAGCCTGATTTTCAGGCAACCTGGGAAATTTAGCAGCAGCGGCTTTGAGGTGGATTTCTTCGCTGATGAGAAGAGAATACAGGCTGTCAAGAGAAAGCGAGGTTTGCAGTGTGCGAATAGAGGTTGTGAAAGACTGATATTCGGGAGGTAGCCCGTTAAGAATGTAGATGATAATGTCTTCAGGATCTACCGAGGAACCTGCGGAGGCAATTTGATCTACTATTTTCTTGATCTCAGTAAGATACTGAGTCATGGTGAGATTCTGCATCGATACGTTGTGAAGCTCATTCTTGAGCTGAATCACTTTAGAGCGATTCGAGGATTGGAACCTAGTATGAAGCGTAGACCAAATGTCGTGCGTTGATTCAAGATGAATCACGTAAGGTAGTACCGATGGAGCAATAGTAGAGCACATTGCGGTTGCAAGATTCTGATCCGTGACAGACCAGATTTGAGGATCAAGATTTGGATCCGCATTTTCAGATGCAGATTTTGGATCGAGGAAGCCAGCGAGCCATTTGCTTTGAAGAGCTTGGCGATCTGCGTACTCCAGATGGGGAAGTTGTCCGGGCATAACGCGTGGGGAACGAACGCGTGGGGAACGAGAAATTTCAGGTTAGATATGACAAACTTGAGAGATGGGGAAATTGCCGGAGCCGACGATGCGCCGCCTGTGGTAGCGGCAGTAGACGAGGAGGCTGGGGATTGAGAAGCTATGGCCAGGTCTTGAGAACCAGAGGACTCTTGATACCATGTAGAAACTCTTAACAGAGCTATGAGTTTCAAGAACTCATTGGAGAAGAAGATGAACAGTAAAGTGGAAATATTATTTCGTATTTCTCCTTGTACCCGGTTACAGACAATGCCTATATATAATGTCCTTAGCAAATACTTTACACGTGTATAACACTTATACGTTTACAAGAATAGTAAATGTATTGCTGACTGTACACAAACAATTCAAGCACTCTAACAAAAACAAACTATTCTTGCAGGGAAACAGTGCTATGTCAATGCAAAGAATGATACTTAAAAATGTTCTACCTTTCCCGTGCCAGGGGGGCCATAAAGCAGCAATCCTCTGGGCCACTGAAGACAGAGAAACAAAAACCAATCAAAATACATTGAGAATTCCTTTAGCTAGATAAGCATAGAAATCTTATGTGTTTACAAAGTGTAAATCATGGAGAGGAACCTTAAGGCCGAGTTTCTGAGAAATGCAGCCATATAGGAAAGGATGGATGATAAGCTCCCTCAGTGCTTCGAGAGCTCGTTTATTGCCGGCAATGGAATCTTCTGCTCTTTTCACTTTGATGTTTTCCATTACGATTTGAAATTAACTTGTTGCCTCTCTTCGTTCTGTCCTGCTACCCTGTGATCACCATTTTTGTTACCGTCTAAGGGGCTGTTTGGATGCAGGATTTAGGCCGGATTTGAAGCGGATTTGAGCTAAATCCCGCCAAACGGACAAAAATGCAAAACCAAATCTCACGGTAATTCAAAGCCGCGGTTGACGGAAATTCCCTCTTTTCGTGGTAAATCCCGGATTTACGAAATCCTTTGGTTCGGCGGATTTACGGGATTTGGCCGAAGAGGCGCGCGAAAGGGAGAAAGTTACCTTCACAGCAAGCGAGCTCCCGTTGTCGCTTCCGAACACAAAATGTCGTAACTTCGGATCTAACAGGAAGGGAACGTCGTCGAAGGGCGAAGTCGAACAGCGACGAAGAACTTCCGGACGAAGCAAAACGAAATAGAGAGGTAAAAGCAAAACCTAGAATCCTCTAAGTTATTGTTGGATAATTTAATTAATATAATTTAAAATATTATAATTAATTAAAACTAATTAACTAATTTTAAATAATTAATTCCCAAAAAAATTTTAAATAATTAAAGAAATGATTAATAAAATTATTAGTTAAATACTTAATTATTTCAAAATAATTAATATAATTAAATATGAGTTTAAATGAAAATAATAATCTTAAATATTATAAATAATAATTAAATAATTAATTAGTATTAACAAAAATTTATTATATATATTTTTAAAATTTTTCATGTTGTACTTTAATTATCCTAGAGATAAATATCAAATCTTTTAATCACTTTAAATCTTAAATTGAAATGCTAAATAGTTACATAAGATTTTTTAGGATTTATATTAAATATTAACAAATAATTTTCAGGATTTAACATTCTTATGATTTTGTAAATCCAAATTTAAAGGATTTAATAAATCCTACTTAAATTAAATCATCGCTGCATCCAAACAGCCCCTAAATGTTCTAAATGCTCTATCTCAAGCTTAATGAATAATTTATGTAACTATATGCTCAGCATTAAACTTCAACTTCTGCTTTCCACTTTCTGCATCCGCAAATTCCCTCCAGCATGCGCAATCCCGTCCCCAAAGAATTCTTGAGAACCAGGGCGGAACCAGCTTTTTTTTAGTTTAGGCAAAATTTTAATTTGTTAGACATTTGAATAATTTATATCCACCGTCCTCCCTCCATCAAAAGGAAAATGCAGGCAGTAAACTCACCTCCCCTCCCCACCACTTCTCTTCCGCCGCCGGCGATAGCTGACCACCGTCACCATCTTCTGCTTCCCACTTCCGCTTCTCCCACTAACATTCATCAATTCAAGCAACTCCACGCCAACATCCTCCGCTCCGGCCATGAACACTCCTTATCTTTTCTCCTCTCAAAACTACTTTCTTTGCCCTTCCCTTCTCCTTCCTCACTCGACTACATTCTTTCCGTCTTCCTCCACTCCCCACATCTCGACCCCCGCATATGTCACCGCGCACTCCGGACCTTCTCTCGCGCTACCGATGGCACTCACCGGGCTCTCACTGCGTACGCCGGCATGCGACGTTTTGACGTTGAGGTCGACCGGTTCATGTTTCCGACGTTACTTCGAGCGGCTGCCAGAGTTTCGGGTGGGGATGGTGGACTTGTACGAAGGGAGGTTCATGGAATTGTTCTGAAGTTGGGATTTCTGTCGGATCCATTCATTCAAACAGCGCTTGCAGGGGCGTATGCGGCTGGAGGAATGATTGAAGATGCCCGGAAGGTGTTTGATCGAATGCTCCAAAAGGATATGATCGCTTGGAACGTAATGCTAGACGGGTAATAGTTGCGTTCTAATGTTCTATGAAAAGGCTTACCGTTTCATATACGAAGACTGCATTCGACATTTACTGTTACATTAGGGCTGCTTGATTCAATGATATGCATGGTGTTGCTATGTTTTTTATATAATTATGTTAAAAGAACAATATTTTTTATTAAATGCAATATGCGTAGGTTACTAATATCACAATATGTTATGGTTTATAGAAAAATCATTAATAATTATCATCTTTATTTTTATTGTTATTCCTTTAAGCCATCATACTATGTAACATCAAGATGCCGTTAGACTTAATTAGGGGTGTAAATCAGACGGGTTGAGTAGAGTAGTGGCATTATCGACTTCCTTTATAAAAATCAAGCTCGAGCTTGGCTCAATTACTTCAGCTTGTTTAAAAAATTCGAGCTCGGCTTGATTGAAAAGCTCAAACTCGACTTGCTTATGATGCTCAAATTTTATGATTATAAAAAAATTTAAGTAAATGATATATTAAATTTTTTTTAAAATATATTTTAAAATTAATTATCTAGACAAGTTAACGAGTCGAGTCGGATTGAGCTTGATAATATTAACCTTCTTATAGCTTGATAATATTCCCCCCTAACACCATCCAACAGTTATTACCAGGCTGGCCAGTACAATGACACCCTGAAGCTGTTTGAAGACATGAGAAACTCTGGTTTAATCCCCAACAACGCGGTTCTTTCCACCATCATCACAGCATGCGGGCGCACTGGAAATCTGGATTTTGGGAAGGAAGTTCATTCATACATTGTTGAATCTAAAATCTTGATTGATGAGCACATTCAAAGTGCACTTATCACAATGTACTGCAATTGCAACTCAATAAGGACTGCTCAAAACTTGTATGATCAAATGTCTCCTAAGAACCTAGTGGCTTCAACAGCCATGGTTTTTGGTTACTCCAAGATTGGAAAGATTGAAATTGCACGTTCCATTTTCAATCAAATGCGTGAGAAGGATCTTATCTGTTGGAGTGCCATGATTTCAGGGTATGCTGAGAGTGAGCGACCTGGTGAGGCACTTAGACTTTTTAATTCTATGTTGGCAAGTGGAATGAGTCCAGACAAGATCACAATGTTAAGTGTCATTGCAGCCTGTGCTCATCTTGGTGCTATCGATCTTGCGAAGTGGATTCACATCTATGCCGACAAGAATGGCTTTCGTGGTAGTTTACCGGTCGACAATGCTCTTATTGATATGTATTCCAAGAGTGGAAGCTTGACAATGGCTCGAACAATATTTGAAAAGCTGCCTGAAAGAAATGTTATTACATGGACAACCATGATCACTGGGCTTGCCATGCATGGGGATGGAAGGTCTGCACTAGAATTATTTCATGAGATGAAGGCCATGGGAGTTGAGCCCAATGGTGTGACTTTTGTGGGCTTGCTCTATGCTTGTAGTCATTCTGGTATGGTTGAAGAGGGACGACAAATGTTCAAGTCAATGATGTTTGAGCATAAGATCGAACCAAAGCACGAGCATTATGGTTGCATGGTAGACCTTCTTGGCCGAGCAAAGCTACTTCAAGAAGCACATGAACTCGTAGATTCCATGCCTTTTCCACCAAATGTAGTAGAGTGGGGGTCACTGTTGTGGGCATGCCAGAACCATGGAAATGTTGTGTTAGGTGAACTTGCAGCAAGGAAACTTTTGGAACTTGACCCAGGACACGACGGCGCTTATGTCCTTCTGTCGAACATTTATGCAAAAGCTAATAGATGGGAAAAAGTTGAAGAGGTGAGGAAGTTAATGAAAGGAAGGGCTGTTTCTAAGGAAAAAGGGTGCAGTTGGATTGAAGTGGATGGTGAAGTGCATGAGTTTCTAATGGGAGATGAATCCCATTCAAGGTCCAGTGAGATCTATAGGAAGTTAGATGAGATAGTCAAGGCATTGGAAGTTGCAGGCTATTCTCCTGATACTGGGAGTGTGCTTATCAATTTGGAGGAGGATGAGAAGAAGGCAACTGTTCTATTACACAGTGAAAAGTTGGCCCTGTCATTCGGGCTTATTGGTTTGACTCCAGGATCATGCATTCGAATAGCAAAGAATCTTAGGGTTTGCAGGGACTGCCACTCTTTTATTAAGTTAACATCAATGGTTTTTAAGAGGGAGATTATTTTGAGAGATAGAACTCGGTTTCATCGATTCATGGATGGCAATTGCTCATGTAAAGACTTCTGGTGAATGTTAATAATTATTTCTGATTTTTATCCTCCAAAGGCTCATTATTCACACTATACTGTTTTTTACTTGATAATTAGTTCAAGTTCAATTAATTTTTGTAGGTTACTTTATTTAGCAAGGCGATATTTACTTGATATTCGCTTGATTATATTTATGTATACATAAAAATACGCATTCATGCATGACAATATGTATTTTCTATAGTATTTTTCATCTTTATGAGTATCTTATGCTCAGCTTGATAAGTTAAAAAGCTCGAATGCATATAAAATTTGTTGCTCGTTTACTTAATGAGTTGAGTTGAATAACCCTTGAGCTCACCTAAGCTTGACTTACACCTTAGGAGAATCATCTCCTTATTTCTTGGCAAAACACTTGCTTGACGTTTTCCTAAAATAAAAGGCTTAATAGAAAAAATAAAAATAACGCTCAATCCTCTCTCAGATATGTAAACAAGAAGAGTACCTATTAGATGACAATCATACCCACCAAGGATTAAGAAGGTTGGTGGGCGAGTAAAGTTTGGAACCTTCCATCCCAGGTTCGAATCCTGTCTACTGCAATCTCTCATCTTCAGCGGGGCAAAGCAAGTGTGGGCTCAATGCCGGTGGATGACCTTGCTAGGTTCCGCCAAGGGATTTGTTACGCCGCCAATCACTCCCTTTGGAGTGGCAATGGGTAGATACCCCCTTTCCAAAAATAAAAAAGATTTGCAATCATCAAATTGCTGTTTGTGCCCCATAAAATCACTTCTAAGCCAGTTAAGCTTACGGTTTAGCATAATTCATTCTAACGCTGGCCATGAAGTTCTAGCAAATGATAGTATATATGAAGGCCCATAGTACACATTAGGTGATCTTGCTTAAACTGAATCACTAAACACTAGAAAACTACACTAAAACTGCACTAAGCCACTCCCAAAATCAAAGGAAAATATATCATTTACTGTCGTACAGAGCTTTATAATGTCTTGAAGAGCTGATCTGCTACAAACTCTGAAAAATCTAATACAAAAATTCTCATAAGAAATGAGATGTTCTCAGAAACAACCCAAGCAGCAATGACATATCTCTCCACGTCTATGTTGGATGCATTAAATTAACTTCCTCAGGTTGATAGAAAGCATAAGGAATAGAACCAATGGTTAGAAGTCTCCAAGTTTCCTGCTTTACCAGCTTAAACATCTTTATGGACCTCAACCTTAACACATCCAATGCAGCTGGAAGCAGTTTCGGATCCTCAAACATTGCCCTCCTCTTATACTCCACAACCCAAGTGTTATTTTCCAACTGCATAGCTACTGCATTCCATCTCTTCAAGCTCCATGAGGTTCCATTTCCAGTTCTGGAGACTGCGTCCAGCTTCCCATCTGACCACTGGCCAAGAAAAAGAAGAGGCAATGCTTGTTTAAACAATAAAAAGCTAAAAAAATGGATTACCTGTGAGAGGAAAAACAGCTTTCTTCTTTTTTATTCGTCAATAACGCTAATTATAAGAACAAAATAGTTATTGAAATGCTTTCCACTCCATTTTCAGTCAAATTATCTTACCTTTTAGCATTAACTATAACATGATTTTAAACAATATATTGACTGTGCACATATGAGAAACATTACTCAAGGAATTAAGAAAAAAGGCACCTCTGTGATCCTGCCTAAAAGTAGTGTGAGCGATCGAGAATCAAACCCGGTTGAGATCAGGCCAGAAGTTCGAAGAGGGCTACCCCAGACACTCACTTCCTCTGCCATGGATTCGTATATTACACATCTCCAGTGGAAGAACTGACGACCTACCTGCTATCAGATATTTTCAGAGAAAAAAATAATAAAAATGCATTCTTTGAGCTTTTGAGGATGGTTTTGAAGCATTAAATACTTCAATTTTAGCCAGATTTGTTGAACTAGAACCAACATTCAAGAACTGGCGTGTGGTCAATACAAGAGAAAAATGAAGAAATAAATATACATTTTGACAAATTGAGATACAAAAGAATGACATGAATAAGAAAGAAAGTACTTGTTTCATTTCCCAGGCAGCGTCCAAGGAGCTGCAATTTAAGACATCTCCGTGAACAACACCTCCTATCTTTAGCTCCAAAACCCTTAACCTCGTTCTCAGATCCACGGCTTCACATCCAGATTCCTCCACAAACTGCTCCAAAATCTCCTTCGTCAATCTTGGACCAAACCCCTCTACAACCCCTTTAAGAAAACCTAGTTCCACGGCGGTGAACAAGAAAATCCCAACAAAAACCATCAGTTTCCAGTGCCCTATAACCCAAGATCCGCCCTTATCACCCGGAATTTCTCTAATTTGTGGCCGCGATTTGGCCTTCGATTTGATGGGAGGAGTGAGGGAGAAGGATTGAGTGGAAATGAGGTGGCCAGAGGTCGCCGGAGGCGTTGCCGGCTCCATTACCGGCCTCGCCGGAGGTGTCGCCGCTCTTTTGGGTAAATAAGAGAGTTTTGTGATGGAGCTTCCGGTGGGGATGAGGTCTAGGGTTGCATTGATGCTCGCGAGGCACATTTTGCAGTTGCAGTTTGTGTCCTTCCGGCAACCAGGAAAGTAACAGCTGCTATCGCCTCGGCCCTCCGACCGGTCTCGTGCACCGCCGGCCGTGTATGAGGACCCTGCCGTCACAGTCGCCGGTGTTTTGGAGGAGGCGGCGGATGAAGTAATGGAGCTTTTCATCGCTACGAATTTCCGCTTTTCTTGGATTTTTTTTTTTTGGCTGCGCTGAAATCTGGTGGGGTTATATTGCGAGGGCAGACGTTTTTGAATTTCGAAATGTTTCAACGGTCGGAAATTGAAAGCCAGACTTTGGAAGGTTTTTTAAATTATTTTTTATTTTTTTACTTCCTTTTTTCAGTTCGACAGACTATATAAATTTAATGAGAAAATAAATTTTAAGATATTACTTATTAACTTTCAAGTTTCAAGGCTAGAAAATTTTTATGATAGTGTTTCACAAGTGAATCTGAGTTATATAGATTTTAACATTCTTAAATTTACTTTGAGATATTGTAAATCTAATTGAATTTATATTGACCGTGATTAGAAATTTCTTTAAGATTTTCCAAGCTAGCTTTTCTTTCTTTAAGAAATTTTCTTAATTAAGCTAATTAATACTCGGCGTGCTTGATCTTTCGAGTGAAAAGTGACTAAGAGTTAATTTGGTTTTATTCACTTTGAGATTTGTATGGTACATATTACTTAGGTTTCGTTTGGGAGGATTTTATTAATGCTTTTTAAAACATTTTTAATATAATTTTTAATTTTGATATTAAAAAATTATTTTAAAAAACAGTAATAAAATCGTTCCAAACAAAATCCTAGATTCACCAACTATCCTTTAAGGCATTACTTAGATTCTTTTGAGTTAAAAGCAAATCCAATGACCTACAATAGTCATTATTTGTCCTATCTTTGTTAGGATCAAATATTTCTTCAAGATAGGCATAAAGCTTTTGGATAGTCATTAAAATGTGGGATACATTATTAATTAATATTCTACAAATCTCCAAGTAGATCTAAAGGTTTTAGACTCACCTTGACAACTTTTTGGTTATAACATCAAGACACAATTTATTTTTTTTCTTTTTTTAATATTAATCTAAACGCATCATTCATTTTTTTTCACAATGTTTTCAAATTTTTATATAGTTGATCTATTTTTTTCTTCATAATTTTATGTTAATTTTCTCCATCCATTACATGAATAAATATGATATGGATTGAATTTGGCTCAAGTTCTTATGAAATCTTGAGATTTATCAAACATAACATTATTTTAACATTTACTTTATATGAAGTGATTATTTTATCCACTCCTTTTCGTTCTTATCATCAAGCCAACATTTTAATGAGAGGGAGAGGAAGTAAGCAGTCCTACAAAAATCATGCCTTATGTCAAATAGTATTTGTCATGTGTAAGATGTTAAATAGTGATGTCATAATATTATGTGATCATGTTATCTGTTATGGCATAAGTTACATTCAGCCTAAAGTATATCTATGGTAGGGGATAACTTAGTTAATCCAACTCGTGGGCTGACTTGAGCTCGACTCGACTCGACTAATGGCTTGTGTTTTGAGCTTGTAGGAGTCTGCAAGCTTGAGTCAACTATGACTCAACTCATTAATTTATAAGTCGGCTCAATAAAAAATAGTACTATAAAAATATAAAAAATATATTAGAATTCAAAATAGATAAAACTACATTTAGAATTACATCTCTTCCTTATGTCAAGTATTTTCTTATTACTTTTTTGTCTTTTTTTTTAATTTTTTTTCATCATTTTATTAAAGAACAACTTGAATGGAAGTATTTTCTCTTTTTCACAGTAAATGTGCTCTCTCTAACTTGTGCAATTAAGCTTGAGCTTGTTGTCACACTTTGTCATTTCAAGGGAGGTTAACCAAAAACAAGCGCAAGACCTTGGAAACTCCAGAACACTCTACCGGGACCTAGAATACTCTAGAATGGCCTGGAGTATTTATAGAAACCTTGTATTAACTTGTGTAATGACTAGAAAAAGTATAGATTAGTCTAGAAGTATGAATATTCTAATTGTCTTCTAGAATCTTCTCTAGGACCCATCAAAGATTTCCAAACTCTCTAATTTTATAAAGTTCCCTTTCTTAGTGAAGCATTTACTTTCCTTTCCACCTCCCTTCTCCAAGAGTCTCAAGTGTTCTTACCCCACATTGTGAAATTTAGGCTGACTTAGCATTAGGTTGAAGTGCTAATGTTACACAGGTGACTTAGGCAGGGTCTCTCAATGACAAGTAGTATTAAAGCTAGATTGAAGGCATGTCAAAGTTCAATAAGGAGCAAGCTGTTGGGTTTGAACTTTGAAGTCACAAATGTGGAGGCATCTCAACAAGGTCAAGATCATGAAGAGATTCATGATCCTTCTGCATCAAAGCCCCATGGGAAGTCCAAGGATTTAATCTCAAGTTTTGATTCACGCCTTGCTCGAGTGAAGGAGGTTATGAATGTCATGGAAATTCAGGTGGATGAACTAGGTGAAAGGGAGAATGACCTAGAAGAGGACATCATATATATATATACATATGCTAGTTAGAACATATATTAGCTAGGTTAATTTAAGCTCTGCATATAAGGATGAGCCAGAGCCAGCTCTCCTTTAAATTTTTTGGGGATCAAAATCATATATGATTAAGGCTTCATTTGGGACAGCTTTTGACCATTATTTTTTGCTGCTTTAAAAAAAATTGTACTAAAAACTGATTTAGAAAACGGTAAAAAAGCCGCCCCAAATTGAACCTAAATTCTCATTTGAAGGTATTAGGGTTAGTGTGTTTTAGATATTAGCCAACGAGCACGATGTGAGAACCTTGCTTGCATGAGTGGTGTAATTTAATTCATTTCTTACAAATCTTAGATATCATTCTTTAGCTTACTTTCTGCCATAACATTTGAAGCTACACTCGGTTATAAACCATGTTCTAGGCTTTAATGCATATGCATTGTTATAAATGTTAAGGGATGCATTCATATTCTATTATGCATATATGATTGTGATGCCAATATATAAGATTCATTGAATAATCATGTATGTTATTGATGTCGCTGCGCAATAACGTTAGATGTAAATTTCATGTAATTTATTGAGTTTTTTGCACACAATGTTGTATTTGCATATACTCATAATTCCAGGAAAGGATAATAAGCTTTTTGCTCATTGTGCAAATGATCATGCTATTGATTCATGAACATATGGTGAGATAAGAGAGTAAATGAGTCAAGTCAAATTTGAGATACTAAAGCTCGAATCTTTTTCTTAATGGCAAGCTCAATCTTGAGCTAAGTCAAAACCATACGATGAGCTCAAGCTTGGCACTAGAAGAATGGTGGGCTCGAGCTTGAGCCGTAGTTAGCAATGGGTATTCACTGGAGAAGGCACTGAAGCCATGAACTTGAGTATGTAAAAGTTGAGACTGATGGAGGGAGCTTAGGGCTAACTCAAACTTGACTCGTTTGCTTAATGGAGTTTTAGTCAAAACCATAAGACGAACTAAAGCTTAGCTTTGCTAGAAAAATGTTGAGCTTGAGCCAATGTTAGCAATGGGCGTTCACTAGAGAAGGCAGTGATATGAAGAGCTAGAGAATGTACAGTTGGAACCAGTTGAGGGAGCTCAGTAGAGAAGGCAATGAGGATCTCGCCAAATAGTGCAGAGATGGGAGCTCAATGATGAGAACTTGCTGTAGAGTGGAGTGATGTGACCTTGCTCGAGATAAGGGTGTAAATGAGTCATGTCGAGCTTGAGTCAGGGCTAACTCGAATTTGACCCGTCTGCTTAATGAAAGGTTCAAGTTCAAGCTCTAGTTAAAACCATATGACAAGCCTAAGCTTGGTTTGCTAGAAAAATGGCGGGCTCGAACTTGAGCCAAAGCAAGTGATGAGTGTTCAGTGGAGAAGGTAACGACGAGATGAGCTAGAGAATGGAAAGTCAGGACCAAGGGATGGAGCTCAGTAGCGATGAAATTAATAGGAGGTCATAAAAGACCTCAACAATGGTAGCTCGCTCAAGAGAACAACAATAAGAACTTGCTGTAGAACAGAGAAGATACCTCATTGACCAATGAAGCAATGGTAGCTAGGTAGAGAACACAACGATGAGACCTCATTGGAGAGTATAGTGATGAGACATTAATTAAGACTTACAATGTTGTAAGTTACATCCCAACACGCAATGACTCATAAATCTAATGGCTGGAATTAATGGAGCAGAATTAATTAGATCTTACCAAACTTATAACCTAATGGAAGCATCAGATAAAAGCATCAGATAATGAAGAAATCGATTCCACCAAGTTTTTATCATCTGTGACAACATCGACTGAATGATAAAAGAAAATGTCAACAACGTTGAATGTGGAAAGGGTAATCTAAGTGTTTTGGTAGGTCGACGATATAAGCATTATCCTTGATCATTTGAAGGGCGGGAATTGGTCTGATTTTGCGAGGACTGAGTTTGGAGTAAGTTCTCGGTAGAAATATTTCTCGCCGAAGACGGACCGAAACAAGCTCGTCGGGAAGGAACACCTTGTGGTGGTGATGTTTATCAGCTTGCGCTTTATAAATGCTCACCGGAGATTTGAAGTTTGTTGCGGACTTGAGAAAGCATCTCTGAAAACTAATTTGCGATAATACTTGCTAGTTTGCCGCGGCACTTGGGAAGGACAACAACATCCACAGTATGATTAGGCTCCTTTGTTTATACAATACTAAATGGGCTCCTTTCTGTAGACTGGTTAGGCATAGAGTTGTAGGCTAACTCGGCTTGGCTTAAGACCTCCAAATATTTCAGCTGGTCTTGGACTAAGCAACGGAACATATTGCCTAGCGTTCTGTTCACTATTTTGGTTTGGCCATCAGTTTGTGAGTGCTACGCCGAACTTATTTGTAAGGTGATATTCATCCTCTTCCATAACTCCGGCCAAAAATGACTTTAAGAAACTTGATGTCTCTGTCTGAAGTTAAACTCCTCGATATACCAAGAAGGCGAACAATCTCATCTCAAAAAAAAAAAGCAATGTGAAGGGCATAAAAGAACTTTTTGCAAGCAATGAAATGCGACATTTTTTAAAATCGGTCCACCACCATTATGGAATCAAACCCAGGTTTAGTCCGCAGTAGGCCAAGAACAAAATCAAGACCGAGAACTTCCCAAATTGTTTCATGAATGGGAAGAGGTGTGTACATGCCCACATTCTGGCCATAGCTTTGTAATACTGACAAACCGAACACCTCTCAGTAAAATGGGAAACATCTCTGTGTAAATGTGGCAAAAAAATGCAGTTGGAGTTGTTCTACTGTCTTACCTCTGCTCACGTGAGCAACAAGCCCATTACAGTTAACTTCTCGGATTAATTGGTGCCGCTAAGATGATATGGAAATGCAGAGTAAGTCATGTTTAAACAAATATCTGTGACGAATGGCAAAGTCTGATTGCGTGCCACTCTCTAGCTTTGCAAGCTTTCCAAATGTTATGAAACTCTTTGTCTGTAGCGTACAGGTCCTTTAAGAAATCCAATCCAGTAATTTTTGTTTGCTGTTGAGTTAGGAGGGTGGAGCACCTGCTGAGTGCATCGGGGACTCTATTATGCTATCCGAATTTGTGATGGAGCATGACATTAACTTCTGAAGGTATAGGATCCAATAGGCATGCATTATGCTAATGGTTTTATGAGAATTGATGTATTTGAGCGATTGGTGATCACTACAAAACACAAAATCTTAGGGGCTGTTTGGTTGCCTGCAAAGTAAATACAGTGTAAAATAAATGCAGTGTAAAGTAAATGTAGTGCATTCTAAATACTTTGAGGCTGTTTGCTTGTCTGCAAAGTAAACGCAAGAGAACTGTTTCCTTTGTTTGGTTAGATATATCCAAAGTAAAGTAAAAACAGTGTATTTGTAATATTTTTTTT